TGGCTTCCCCTCCAGAAGCTGGGTCCCCTTCACCCAGACAGCCGTGCCAGAGGACGCAGAGGTGGGGTGGGGGGCGTGTGGTCGTCACCAGGGAGAGGCTCCAGGGAAAACCCATTTTTATAGGTAGTCCCGCGCAGGCTGGGGTCACCCTCGGGATACTGAGTCACGGCAGCCCTGTTGTGGGGGTGTTTCCTTTCCCCTTGGTTCCCGAGGAGCCGTACAGCGTCCGAGTGCAGGTGAGACCAGGTTTTCAAGACGAGCCAGGTCTTGAAGGATGTGAGATTTGGCCGGTGCTCTGTCTGGGGGCCTGGGGCTCGGCATGAACTCGGGAGGGGGGCGTGGTGGGGACCCTGCCGTGCCCAGGCCTGGAGAAGAGGCCGTCTGGTTTACATGCCCTCCTGTGGTGCCCTCCACAGCCGCACCCCTGCTGGTAGGGGCCTCGGAGACGATTGCAGGTGCCTCGTGCTGCGTCATACGTCCTTGCTAACACCGGGCCTGGCCCGTGTGTCCCGTCGTGTCCCTCATCCGCTAGCCTCCCTGGCCTGACCCCAGAGCAGGTTTGGCCCTCGGCACTGCGACTGTTCTTTGGGGGCATCCTGGGCATGGAGGGCAACTAGGCAGCACCTCCAGCCCCCACCTACTCAGTGCCAGGAGCTGCCTGGTCGTGACAGTTGTGACACACACCCGTGTCCCCAGACACTACCCAGTCTGAGAGCCCCTGGTCATACCTGGGGTGCGTCACCTCGCTGAGTGCCTGGTGAGCGGAAGCCGCGCCACAGGGCCGGGTGAGGCCAGGGGCTGCAGGTGGGCGCCACGGGCCACACGTGCTCCGGCACTGCCCATGCGGACGTACTTGCTCTCGGGGGCCCGGCTGGGTGAGGAGCTATATGCAGGGGGGGCGGGCGACTCCTGACCCTCGCGCTAGCTGTGCGGGAACCTCACTGTCCCATCAGATGATTAGGTGGCGTCTCTGTCCTGGAAGAGCAGGCTGGGAGGGCAGAAGCTGGTCCAAGGCCATGGGAGAAGATGCCCCCTTCTGAAGGGTTGGGTTGGTGGGTGGGCGAGTCCCTTGGTGACAGAACCCTGTGGAGGGGACAGTGGCAGCAAGGGACCGGGGGCTCTGGCCCCCTTCACCTGACATGACACAAGCCTACCCAGTCAGCAGGGCGGCTTGGTGGGGCGTGGAACCCGCCGTGGCCTGCGGACGGTCTGGGCACACTGCACGCTGACGCTTTGTTAGGAAATTCTCAAATCTAGGGCAAGGGCTGCCGAATGTTCGGTGCACCGCCAGCCATTCCCCCCTCACACGCCCCCCACGCCTCCGTTCTCAGGTGATGCAGGATCCAAGAAATACGGGACCCGGCGAGGGAAACCGGGCTCCTTCCTCTCCTGTCCCCCACCCCCAGCGCCCCTCCCGAGAGCAGACCTGTGCTGCTAGCGCGTCCCTGCCTTCCAGAAGTAGCGCATGGGCACGGTGCTACGCTCCTGTGCGGGGGTCTCGGCGGCTCTGGACCCCCCTCCTGCCACCCTTCGCCCCCTCTCCCAGCGGGGACCTGCTCTCACATGCGGCGCTGTCTTCGTAGTTGTGGTTTTGCACACACAGCCCAGAGTTCCTTTGGGGGAATTCTTAGAAGTAGAGAGAGTGCGTCAGAAAGGATGTTCCTTTTAAATTTGGGAAGCAGCTGCCAAATTGCCTTCCTTAGAAGTCGGGTTTCAGCTCCTGCCAAGGAGCCTGAGTGCCTGTCTTCGTAGCGGGAGTGGCCAGGAGCCGGGCTGAGGCTGGGGACCCCCGTCCACACTGGGGTTGCCACCTCCCAGCCGCACGCGAGGGTGGGCGTCTCGGAGGCCGTGCCCCCCCCCCACGTCAGTGTCTCCGTGGGTGGCAGGTGTTTTTCTCGCTTGTGTTTTTGTTTTTTGAGAGCGAGACAGAGCAAGAGGGAGAAGGGCAGAGAGGCGCGGGGAGAAGCCCAAGCAGGTTCCGCACTGTCGGTGCGGAGCCTGAACCACAGGACCACGACCCGAGCCGAAGTCAAGAATCAGATGCTTAACCGCCTGAGCCTGCAGGTGTCCCTGTGTCGTTTTTCTAAATAAAACCGTTAGTGGTGTGTCTTCCCTCGCAGACGCTTTTAGTTTCGCCTGAACTGTTGGGGACCCTGCTGTCTGTGAAACAGACCAGCCGGGCTGGGGAGCCTCCCCGGGGCATCGGCGCCATGGCCTTGGTCTCTGATTCGGGGGTCGGTTTCCGTTGGAAGTGAGCCCATCAAGGCTGAGGGGGTTAGATTGCCGTAGCCCACAGCGTGACCACGGCCCGTGTTGAGGCCCCTCGTTCCCCCAGAGCCCCACTGGCCCTGAGCAGCCCTGCTTGTGGAGAGTGGGGGAGGGGCGGCCATGAGCCTGTGGACTGAGTGCACCCTTGGGGACTGTCCTCCAATGGAATCTGCGGCCCGGACGGAAGCTTGTTGGGCCACGCTGCCCCGGGAGCGTCACTGTGCCGAGGGTGCTCGCTGGGGTTCACCCTGGGTCAGCCCAGCGGGTGGACTTGGAGCCGGGCTGGAAGGTGTCCCCCCCGCCCCAAGAAGTGAGGGAGGCTTGAGGCACATGGCCATCTCCCGCTGCCGGGCTCTGCTCTGTGACAGATGGGCTGGGCTGGGGACCTCTCCTGGGACACGCAGGGGGAGGGGGTCGGTCCCACAGGCTAACCCGAGATGCGGGGTGGGGGGGCTTAGCCCCACTTTGCTCACAAAACAGGAGGCCCGCTGTGTGGCCCCATGGGGACGACGGAGTTCAGAGGAGCCCCAGGCCCAGCGGAGGGAGGACACAGGAGCCCCTGTCCGTGCCCCCACGTGACCCTGCGGTGCCGCTGGCCCTTACTCAGCCTTCATGGGCACGAGGTGGGGGTGCGGGCACACCTGTCATGAGGCCGTGTGCCCGGGAACGTGGGATCAAACGTGCGTGGGGCGGGGCACACCGTGGTGACAGTGGCCACGCGCCTGTGCCTCTGGGTCTAGCCCCGTGGGCTTGGCTCTGGCCGAGTGTCCGTCAGGCTCTGGGCCTGGGCCACGTCAGGCCGGCTCTGTGTCCCGTAATCGCAGGTGAGGTGGAGGACTCGGGCTCGTGGTGGTCCTTCAGCCATGTGCTGTCTGCGGTCTCCACCACAGGCCCAGGGGCCCGGCAGAGAGGCCGTCCGGGGCCGTGGAAGATGGGACTTGGGCAGATCAGCCTGAATGCATCCTCGCGTGGCCACGTACCCGGGCTGCTTCCCTCCCAGGTGGCACTGAGCTCGTGCTTTGCTCAGGAGTCTCTCTTTCAAGAGGGCAAATGTCCTCTTTAGTCTTCTCTCTGTCTCTGTGGACAGGACGCCTCTAGGGACCCCCTGTGGGTGAGGTCACGCAGGATGTGTCTGTCTGGATTCTGTCACTGCACACGGTGTCCTCTGGGTCTGTCCAGGAGGTGGCAGGTGGCGGGACATCTTTCCTTCCTGAGGCCCAGTCACCTTCCGTTGTGTGGCCGGGCTGCATGCGGTTAATCCATTCACTCAACCTGTCGTGGACACTCGGGACTCTTTCTGTCCTCCGCGGGTATGAGTGACACCGGCTGCAACTTGAGAGGACGGGTTTCTGTGCCCCGGGCGTCCCCTCCTCCTGGCGGCCCCTGGGGTGAGGGGGCTACTGGACCCCATGGCTGTGTGCGCACACGCGTGTGTGCGCGTGTGACTTCTCAGGAGCCCATGGGGTTGGGGAAGGGAAGTCGGTGTTTCACAGGGACAGAGTCTCAGCTTGGAGGCATGGAAAGTTCTGGAGACAGATGATGGGGGTGGCCACACCACTCTGTGTGTTTGAAGGCGCTGAGCTGTGCGCTTAGAGATGTTCAAGGTAATGCGGCCCGTGTGAGGCATTTTTTACCACAATTTTTTTTCTAAGGCAAAGGTTGACTTCTCAGGAGCGCCACATCTCCAAGTTCACATCTCGTCCTTTTTGGCCGGACTTCAGCTTCTTGGTATCTGGCCTGTCATGAACCTGGGCTCCAGCCAGAGCGGCAGGGAGTGGGGGCAGGCACTGATGTCCCGCCCCACAGGGAAGAGCATCCTCTCGGGGGGCCCACTCGCTCCCCCTTGTGCTGGAAGGCGCACAGCCCTTTCCTGCCTCCATGCGCTTTGCCTTCTAGAACATTCTTCTGCCTCCCCCTTCTCCTTTTCAGAGGAGCCTTCCAAGCTGGGCTGAGCCCAGTGGGAGGTGGGTGTGAGCTCTACAAATTCCCAGGGAGCAGAGTGGAGCTGCCGAACCCCATCCCGCACGCACAGGTGTCGGCAGCTTGAGGACTGTGGTCCTACCCCCAGGCCTCAGCACGGGCTTCTTGGGGGCCCGGGGTGGGGGCGCAGTCGCTTAAGCATCCAACTCTCGGTTTTGGCTCCGGCCATGATCTCACCGTTCGTGAGCTCAAGCCCTGCGTCAGGCTTTGTGCTGATAGCATGGAGCCTGTTTGAGATTCTCTTCCTCTCTCCCTCTCTCCCTCCCTCTCTCTCTCTCTCAGCCCCTCCCATTGTGAGTGTGTTCACATTCTCTCTCTCTCTCTCTCTCTCTCTCTCTCGATAAATTTAAAAAAGGACACAGGCTCCCTCCTTCAAGAGGGAATCCACGCTGGGACCACTGGGACCCTTGCCCAACCCCCCCCCCACCTCAAGGTTGGATGTAGTCCGAGGGCGGCTTGTGGCTCTGGAGAGTCTGAGGGCAGGAAGGCAACGTGACGGGGTGCATGGATTGGAGGGGTGGACGGAGGCCGAGGGCCCTGGCAGAAGGTCCTTCAGAAAGCGGCCCTGGTCCCCTCCCTGTCACGTCTGCCTGTGGCTTCCCCAGCCTATGGGGTGTCCCCGGCCCCCCACCCTGGCTCCTGGGAAGGAGCGGGGGGGACTTGGCCATCACCGTGGAGTTTCCTGTGGTCGCTGGGCAGTGGAGGGGGCTGCTGACCACGGGCACTAACCCCTCCTGCCCTTCCTGCCCCAGGCTGACCTGAGCCGGCTGACCTTGGCCGGTGGGCCACGCCCGCCCTGCGTCACCATGGACCAGGACTATGAGCGGCGCCTCCTCCGGCAGATCGTCGTTCAGAACGAGAACACAATGCCCTGCGTGAGTACCGGGTGCCCTGCCCCAGCAAGCGGGGGTAGGTCAGCCTCCTGAGTGCAGGGGTGCTGGGCTGGTAAGAAGCATGTCCTCCCCCGGGCCTCTTGCTCAGCAGTGGCTCGGCCACACGCCACAGAGGCCTTCCTTGGGCCTCCTGCCGCGGGGCCACAGGGACCATCAGCTCCCAGGCCGCTGCTTCCAGTTTCCAGACAAGGAGCTGAAGGGCCCAGGGTCTCAGACCTGTGGGCGGGCCTGACCCGGCAGGGCCGTGGTGGCGGCTTGAGGTGGCCCTGTCCTCATCTGCGGAGCTCGGCAGAGTTTGAGGAGGCCTCCTGCCTGGACCCCCCCCCCCTCCCTGCAGCCACGCTGTCATCCTGGGGGCCCCGTTGGGGAGGCGGTGTGGCAGGCAGGCCTTGGCTTCCCGTCCCCTCCCCTGTGTGTCAGAGTCTCTGACACTCAGGGCACCAGGCGTGGATTTGGGGCCCATCCCACCCTGGCGGCCTCATCTTAACCGGATCACGCCTGCAAAGGTGGTGTCCAATGAGGTCCTGTCCCAGGTGCTGGGGCGGGGGGGGGAGGTGCAGCCCCTAGCAGATCCCTTAGAGAGAACGGACCCCCCCTGGGCTGGTTTTCTGGGAGCAGTGCCCCCCCATCCACGCGCCAGCTCCGGGGAGGGAGCCGTGCATCTGCGGGAGACTGTCCTTGCCTGATGGAGACGGGGCCCGCGGGGCAGCAGGGTCTCCTGCCCATCTGGGGTGGCTTAGATGTCAGCAAAGCCCTGTTATGGGCGCCTGTGCTCTGGGGCTCTGCCGTTCTCCAGCGGGTCGCCTCCCCGGCTCGGGGGACAAAGTGAGGCCCCACATGGGCGCTGCCAGCAGCGTTCGGCTCACTCGTCAAAACGCTTCACTTCTGCTGTCCGTGTTTCTAAAACGGATCCGCCGGTTCAGCGGCCAGAGGACAAGTGCAAAGAGGGGGGATGGGTCTGGCCTCAGGGTCTGAGAGGGGAGGCCGGGCTCGGCATTTCCATACTGGGGGGCTCTGAGGCACCAACCACCCCCCCACACCGTCATTCCAGGTCGCGGAGATGCGGCGAACCCTGACGCCCGCCAACTCCCCCGTGTCCTCCCCCAGCAAGCACGGGGACCGCTTCATCCCCTCGAGAGCCGGCGCCAATTGGAGCGTGAACTTCCATAGGATCAATGTGAGGGGCCGCCCAGGGGCCGGGGGGGGGGGGGTGTGGGCAGGTGGCCCCAGCTGACCCTGCCCCCTTTCTGCCCCTCGCCCTCAGGAGAATGAGAAGTCTCCCAGCCAAAATCGGAAAGCCAAGGACGCCACATCAGACAATGGCAAAGGTCAGGGGTCACGCGCCGTCCAGCCCCTCGCCCCTCTGCCCCCATGCAGCCCTCCCACCCCCCTAGACCCCCGCCTCACAGAGCCTGCCGCCTGCAGACGGCCTGGCCTACTCCGCCCTGCTGAAGAACGAGCTGCTGGGAGCCGGCATCGAGAAGGTGCAGGACCCGCAGACGGAAGACCGCAGGCTGCAGCCGTCCACGCCCGAGAAGAAGGGCCTGTTCACGGTGAGCCGCTCTCCCTGCCGGCACGCCCTCCTCCGGGCTGCCCGGCTTGACTTGGCTCCCGCGGCCCGTGCTCGTCCTCGGAGCCGCCGAACCCCAGGCCTCGACCCGGGCCTTTGCTCTCCTGGTGCCCCGAAGGCACGTGTCGGGTGCACGGTCCTGGGGCCGGGGCAGCCACAGGGCAGCGTCGGGAAGAGCCCGGCTTGGGTCCGCCAGGAGGCTGGTGGCCGTGGGTGGGGGAGGCCGGCACCGGGCGGTCGCCGTCCAGAGGAGGCCTCAGGTTTGAGCCTCGATTTGCTTCTCTGGATCCCTGGGACCCAGGCCATGTGTCTAGCCCGAGCTCCTCCCCCTGCACCCTGGCCTGGCCACCAGCAGCATGGGACTCCAAGGCCTCGGGCGTGAGGTCCCCGGGCGGGGGGCTGCGGCTCTGCTCAGCCGGTGTCCCCGTCCCCTGCCTGCAGTATTCCCTCAGCACCAAGCGCTCCAGCCCCGACGACGGCAACGATGTGTCTCCCTACTCCTTGTCCCCCGTCAGCAACAAGAGGTGAGTCTGGGGGCCGCGGCGGGCGGGCAGGCGGCACCTGGGAGTCTTGGTTAGTCCCAGCACTGTGCGCAGGGCACAGAGGTGGCTCGGGGACCTTCCTCAGTGGGGACCCACTGCAGGCTCTGTGGCGTGGAGCCCAGACAGGGGAGTCGAGGCGGGCTCCCCAGAGGAGGTGGCGGGCAGAGGGCATGGTGTGGCTGTCAGAGCTCAAGGCGGCCAGACGGCCCGCGGTCACCACCCACAGCTGTGGGGTCACGTGGGTGGCAGGAGGCGGGGCAGGATGAGCAAGAGACCAGGAGGGGGAGCCCATAGGTCACACCAACAGCACTCCGCGTGGTGGGCTCTCCCCACAGCCAGAAGCTACTGCGGTCGCCGCGGAAACCCACCCGCAAGATCTCCAAGATCCCCTTCAAGGTCCTGGACGCGCCAGAGCTGCAGGACGACTTCTACCTGAACCTGGTGGACTGGTCGTCCCTCAACGTGCTCAGCGTGGGGCTGGGGACCTGCGTGTACCTGTGGAGCGCCTGCACCAGCCAGGTGGCTCCCGCGAGCAAGCGCCTGGGGGTCGGGGGCCTCCGGGACCGGGTAGCACCCTGCTGCACCCCCTGCGGCCTCCCCTCGGTGTGCACGCTGGCCCGGGCCCCTCCCTGCCATGGGCCTCAGCCTCTGCTCGTGTCGGCTGGAGGGGACAGCTGTCCAGGCCTGGCCTGGGGATCGCCCTGAGGGCCACCTCCTTGGTGGCAGTCGTCAGCACCCACCCCGCTAGTAAATCTGTCAGGAGCTGCCGGGGTTCGAGGCCTGCTCTTGGCGGTGGGCAGGTTCCATGGGGACAAGCGAAGGCCCTCAGGGGGAGGGCCACGGCGGGGAGGGGCACCCGCGCTCCGGCCCCAGCTCTGTGTGGTCAGGCGTCCCCATGGTGCTGTGTCCCCTCCTGGCCCGCCGCCCCTAGGCACCCTGGCCACGTTGCCCTGGTGTTCGTACGCCATGAACGGGTGCTTGGGTGGGGGGACGGGCGCGCCGACAGGTGGGTGTGTGCGTGTGCACACTGACCGCTTCCCGTTTCCCCAGGTGACCCGGCTCTGCGACCTTTCAGTGGAAGGGGACTCAGTGACCTCCGTGGGCTGGTCTGAACGGGTCAGTGTGTGGGCCCCATCCTCAGGCCAGGCAGGGTCGGCACAGGGGAGATGTGACCCAGTCTTGCTGGCAGGGGCCCGCCCCAGGGTTGAGGGGCCCGCCCCAGGGTTGAGGGACCCGCCCCAGGGTTGAGGGACCCGCCCCAGGGTTGAGGGACCCTCGGGGACCCAGAGGAGCCGGCAGCCGGCCTGGAGGTCACTTGTCTAGGCTCCAGGAGTTCCATCTGCACCCCTGCCTGTTCCCAACCTGTAAAGATGGTCACAGTGGCCCCGGGTCAGGCTAGGTCCCCTGCACAGCCCTCCCCGCCCCCATAGCTGGCGCCGCAGCCGCAGGGGGAAACGCACAGAGGTACAGCGTGTGTGTCCCACTGGATTTTGACAAGCTGGTATGCTCCTGTGACCGCTCCCCCAGAAAGTCCCAAGGCAGGGTGTCCTTTCAGGTCAGAGACCTGTAAAGAAAGGGCCCCAAGGCCCTGCAGTGAGGGGGGGGCGGTGCCTGTGCCCAGGCCTGACGCCTGCCCCTCCTCCGTGTGCTCGGTTCTAGGGGACCTTGGTGGCCGTTGGCACGCACAAGGGCTTTGTGCAGATCTGGGATGCAGCCGCGGGAAAGAAGCTGTCCACGCTGGAAGGCCACACGGCCCGCGTTGGTGAGGAGCCACTGCATCCGGGGGGGGCGGGGGGGGGGAAATGGGCATGGTTCCCTGGGGGCCGGGCCTCAGCCTCGCTCCCCTTGCCTGGCCTCCAGGGGCGTTGGCCTGGAACGCTGACCAGCTGTCCTCCGGGAGCCGGGACCGCATGATCCTGCAGAGGGACATCCGGACCCCGCCCCTGCAGTCGGAGCGGCGGCTGCAGGGCCACCGGCAGGAGGTGTGCGGGCTCAAGTGGTCCACGGACCACCAGCTTCTCGCCTCGGGGGGCAACGACAACAAGGTAGGCGCCGGGGCCCTCGCCATCCTGGCCTCGGCTCCGAGTGGGGGCCACCGGGCTCAGAGTGGGGGCCACCGAGCTCTTCCGGGGGCGGGGGGGGAGGGGCTGTGCTCGGGGCCTCACGGCCACTGCCCCGCAGCTGCTGGTCTGGAACCACTCGAGCCTGAGTCCCGTGCAGCAGTACACGGAGCACCTGGCGGCCGTCAAGGCCATTGCCTGGTCCCCGCACCAGCACGGGCTGCTGGCGTCCGGCGGTGGCACGGCCGACCGCTGCATCCGCTTCTGGAACACGCTGACAGGGCAGCCACTGCAGTGCATCGACACGGGCTCCCAGGTGTGCAACCTTGCCTGGTCCAAGCACGCCAACGAGCTGGTGAGTGCGGGCACGGGGCTGCCTCCTCCCTAGACGGCCTTTGGGGCCCCTCCATGGAGAGCCGGGGGCAGAGGAGCCCGGGCGTGCGGGCAGGAGGTGTGGGCCAGGAGCTCGGGCCCGGCGGGGGCTTCCCGTGGGCCCTGAGGTTTAGCCAGACCCCCAGCGCCCCCATCCCCCACCCCTCGCCCCCCTCGCCCCCCTCGCCCCCCTCGCCCCCCTCGCCCCCCTCATCTTGTGAACCAGATGTGCCTGGAGGTGCCCGTCCTTGACCCAGGCACCCACGCACCCACGCCCAGCGCTCACCTGAGAGGCTCCCAGGGCCGTGGGACATTGTGCATCCGACTCAGCCCCGTCACCAGTCAGAGCACAGGGAGCACAGGCTGTCACCTGTGGCCTCTGTACCTTGCTTGTTTGGCGAGTCTGAGATGCAGGCTCGGGTGTCCTGGCATCAGAGAGCTGTCCTCTGAGCCCTGGGCCGGAGAAGGGGGGCCTGGGTTCCGACGGTGTCCTCTGCACCCCCAGGTGAGCACACACGGCTACTCGCAGAACCAGATCCTGGTGTGGAAGTACCCGTCCCTGACCCAGGTGGCAAAGCTGACCGGGCACTCGTACAGGGTCCTGTACCTGGTGAGCCCGCCCCGCCCCCGCTGCTGGGAGAAGTGCCCCTGACGGTACCCCACCCGGTGCCCCGGACACACAGTGTGCAGCCCTGGGTTGGGGCCCCCGGCCTGGGCGCGCAGGCGTCTGCAAAGGCGTTTGTGTTCCTGCACCCAGCCGGCCGTCTGCAGACGCACACGGTGGGAAACCTTGGTGGATCAGGGTCTGGGCACACGGGGGACCCCTGAGCTTCTCCCCGCACCACTGTTTGCCTAGTGTCGGAGAAAGGAGCTCCATCTCCAGATGTGCTCGTTTTTTTTCTTTCCAGAAAAAAATGTTTTGTGCTTAAACCGGCATTCTCTTTGTGCCGTCGGGGGGGGGGTTCCCCATGTTTCACAAGCGCGCCCTGGCCCTCCCCACCCCAGCCAGCGTTCCGCACTGCAGGTCTGTCCATGTGGGGGGCTGCCTGTGGGCCATATGGACAGTGGGGGTTCGTCTCCTTCCACAGGCCATGTCCCCCGATGGAGAGGCCATTGTCACTGGTGCTGGGGATGAAACCCTGAGGTTCTGGAACGTCTTTAGCAAAACCCGTTCGACAAAGGTAAAGTGGGTCGGTATCAGTGCCAGCTGCTCCCCCACGCGCGTCCCCCCAGCCTGTCCGGGGGCCCTCCCGCCGCCCCCAGACCCTGTTGGCCCTCATCTCCCCGGGAGGCTCCTGCGGGATGCCCGCAGCCGCCCCTCTGCTGCGTCGCCACACACACACCCCACCCCCGCCACGCGGCACGAGGCGCTCAGAGCCCAGCCGCCCCACGCACCTCAGGGTGCTGGCGAAGGTGCCTGCGCAGGCTCCTGTGGCCCCAGGCCTCCTGTCCCCCCCCCCCCCCCCCGGGGTGGAACTTCCTTGGCTCAGTGGCCCCTCCGTGTGCCCCGCAGGAGTCCGTGTCCGTGCTCAACCTCTTCACACGGATCCGGTAAACCCCCGGGCCTCGCTGTCCGCGTCAGAAGAGCACCGTCCCTCCTCGACGTGCACGGACCCTCCCCTCTCGCACACGGTCCCCAGAGGACGCAGCCAGGGGGGCGGGGAGTCGGGCTTGGAGAGACCCCGAAGATTCTCATTAAAGCCTGATTGCGAACCCTGGCGGCCGGTGTTTGGGGCAGGGGCGTGGCCGGGCGCCAGCAGGACAGGGGACCCGGCGGGACCACCTGTTCGGCCGCTCTGCTCGGAGCTCGACAGACGCTTCCTGGGACCCAGCCTGCTTCTGTCCATCACCGCGTTGTCGTCGTCGGACCTGCATGCCCTTCCCAGAAGCACGTGCTCGCCGCCGCCGCCCTTGCCTGCAGGACACACGTCCGGACGCCAGGCCGGTCAGCTGGGGCTGCACGGACAGCTGAGGTCGGCCCGAGGGTCAGAGGGACACGTCCAGGCGTCTCTGCAGCCAGCTCTGCGGCGCGGGGCGCAGCGTCCGGGGCAGGCTCTGCGCCCAAGAAGGCCGTCACCAGTGGACTTGCTGTTTGAGGAAGACGAGTCAGGTCCATTTGTTGTGTTGTGCCCACCCTAGCCCTCCACTGTCTTTGTCACTGATGGGTCGCAGCCCAGCCTTCTCCCCAGGCAGGACTTAGGCTCTTACAGCTTGCTGGGCAGCCAGTCGGGGGGACCCAAGGGCTGCATGGACCTTGAGGGCTCAGTCCTCCTCCCCACACCCCCAGGCCACCCCGGGGGTCTTGTCCGTCTGCTACATTGGCCGTGGGGCAGCCGGGGGAGCAGACACCGCGAGGGCCTCCTGAGGGTCCCCACCCAATTCCTGGTCCTCTGCTCTGTCCGCAGCTGCCCGTGGGCCCGTCCTCTCCTGCCCAGGGAGGAAAGAGGGCCTGGATGTGGCCCCAGGACCTGAACAGCAGTCCCCTCCCCCTCCGCAGATTGGCGGGGGGTGGAGGGGAGGGGGCTGTGTGCCAGGCGGAGCAGGTCTGGGCTGGGGGAGCCGCACAGATGCCCTCAGGTCCCGGTGGCCTTGCCTCCCTTCCACAGGCTGTGTGTGCACGTGTATATATGTACTCGTGGCTTTTGTTCGGATTTGCGTGTGTGTTTCTGTAGATGGGTCCCAGGATAGTTTAAGGGTGGTGGGGGAGGAGCAGAGCTGAGCCACTCCCGTGGGGATGTCCGGCTCCCCGTCAGCTGAGCCTGCCTGGCTCAGGGAAGGGACGGGCCAGGGACAGTGTACATAGATGTGTGTTTTCGTTGGTCAAGTTCTTATTTTTGTTTGTTTTTCTAAGAAAACCCTGACTCTGTCATGCTGTCGCCTTGGGCAGCTGCCCGCCAGAGCCCAGGGGCCGCCTGGGAGCCGGGACGGGTGGGGGGTGCCCGGTGCGGCCTGCGGGACTCGAGGGCGGGGGCCGAGCGCGTCCTGTTTCTTGTCCACTGCAGCATCGTTGTCATTAAACTGGTTGTGGGTTCACGCACAGCTGGGGCTGCCTGTCCGTCTCTCTGGTCACGTGCCCAGGGCCGCAGGTCCACCCAAATATCACAAACGGGCACAGACGACTCGCCCTGGGCGAGCTGGCTGTTCACGGCCCTGAATTCATGGTCCCCGGGGCAGAGGACACGGGTGTAGGCAGCCCGCGGGGGGGAAGAGGCACCCCCTCCTGGTTGCCGTTGGGAGAAAGGAGAGGAGCCGGAGGCCGTGGTCTGTGCCTGCATGGAGGGAAGGAGGGAGGGAGGGAGGGAGGGAGGGGCAGAGGAACAGAGCAGCACCGTGGGACTGGCGGTGCAGCGCCCACACGACAGCTCTGGGGTGGGGCACGTGCCTGGGTCACCTCCACCTGGCAGGTGGGGAAACTGAGGCGAGTGCAGAACGTCACCCACCCAGGGTCTCGTGCGGCGGGTGGGGGAGGGGGAAGGGCGGGGATGCCTGGCGAGATTTGTTTGCCCATCCTCGATCCTCAGATGTAGCTTTTTCGATTACAGGGAAGGGATTTAGTAGTGGTGGTGGATGAGGTGCGGGGGGCGGGGGGCTGCTGCAGGCGAGGACGGGGGCTGCCAGTGAGGGAGGCATCAGGAGCGGGGGCAGAGGACTCCGCAGGGACTGTGGAAGAGAAAGACCTGGAAGTGGCAGAGGGCAGCAGGAGGTCTTGGGGCCGGAGCGGGGGCAGGACCGGGCAGGTCAGGAGGCCCCAGGGGTCTCAGAGGGAAGGGTGAGCCCCCCTGCAGCCAGCACAGCACCCAGGCCCCTCCCTCTGGGTGAGGAGCCCCATCTGGGGCCGTGGGGTCTGGGGCCGTGGGGACGGGAGAGAGCAGACCATGGGCTGTGGCAAGAGTGGGGTGGAGCAGTGAGAAGCCCATGTGGCCATGACTCGGCCTTGGAAAATGTCACCTTTGAACCCAAGGCCTGGTAGGAGCGTGGTGTTTGATCAAGGTCACGGAGAGCAGGGGGCACCCAGGTGGAGCTGGTGCTCAGGGCAGAGGGCACAGTCCCCCCACAGGCTCTGGAGCAGATGGGAGGACGTGCGGGGCTACGGGAGGTGGGAGCCCAGGGTGTGCGCCGGGGCACTGAGGCCGGAGGAGGCGGGGGCGAGGGGCAGGTGGAGCCTGGAGGGTTCGTTACGTTGGCAGCAGCAGTGGTGGTAAAAGGCGCGCTGTGTACAGCTGACCATCTCGGAGCGTTTATCAGTGACTTAGTACATTCACGTGGTTGTGCTGCTACCGTGTTAGTTCCAGAACATTCCATCACCCCAAAAGGAAACCCGTCCCCATCAGCTGTCACTCCCTGTCCCCTCCCCAGCCCCCGGCCCCCACAAACCCCCTTCCTGTCTGTGGATGTGCTTGTTCTGGACGTTTCACATAAACGGAATCACACCCCGTGTGGCCTCTCATGTCTGGTTCCCTCCCTGAGCATCATGTGTTCAGGGTCCGTCCGCGGGGCGGCGGGTGTGGGCGCCTCGCTGCTGCTTACGGCCTAGGGACGTGTGCATGCATGGAGCACCATGGTCTGTGTCTGTCGTGCCGTTGAGGACGGGGCACCGAGCTGTGCACACACGTGTGAGGGTCTCACTCTGAGGGAGTCAGAAGCAGAGGGACAGGGTGGGGGGTGAAGAGGAGGGGCTGGGAATGTGGGGGCCCAGAGAGGAGGGGGGGGCCCAGAGGTGGGGGGTCCCAGAGGTGGGGGGCTGGGTTTAGGGCTGCCACTTCACTCATGGCCCAACCCCCAAGGCTTGTGCCTGCCCTTTGCCTGGTCCTCCCCCTCCTGGCAGCCCTCAGCTGGCTGGGAGGGAGCTGTCTGGACAGGGGCCAGTGCTGGCCAGTACCGTTGCCGGGACACCAAGGTGGCCTTTGTTGCTGTCAACAATGGCCCCACAGGCCTTCTGGGAGCCCTGGGGACCCAGAGGCAGACATGCAGACCCTGTGGTTGCAGCGACAGGAGGCTGCCAGGCCCTATGTCCCCCAGGGGACCCTGGAAGTGGCCTTCCCAGCACCTCTTTACAGGTGAGTGCGCGCCTCGCCTGGGATTGGGTTTGGTTTCTTTTCAATGTCATTGATTTTTGAGTAAAGGCATGCTGGTGCTGTTCCCCCCCCCCTCCCCCGCTGCCCCCATCTCCTCTCCCCTTCCTACCCTGGCTCCTCCCCCCATCTCCTCTCTCCCCTTCCTACCCCAGCTGCCCTTCATCTCCTCCTCCCTCCCCCCATCCTACCCTGGCTCCTCCCCCATTCCCCCCCCCCCCAGAGCAGGGAACATGTGGGAACCACAGGTCGGAGGCGCACGCGCAGCAGGCAGACCTAGCCGGGCGTCTCTAGGAGTTTCCTGCAGCTGCTCTGCCAAAACCAGGGGCTTAGACAATAGATGAATACCCCCCATACCCGCTGTTCTGGAAACCAGAAGTCCAGCTCCAAGGGGTTAGTGGGGCTGGTCCCTTCAGGGCCTGAGGGAGACTCTGTGCCACCCCTTCTCGTGCCTTCCTGGCAGTCCTTGGCACCCCTCGAGGACGCGCCACCCCAATCTCTGCCCTTTCGTCACATAGCCTTCGCCGTGTCCAACCCCCTCCTCCCAAGGACACCAGGCGCTCCCCCAGGGCTCCCCCCCCCCCCCACGGCCTCAGCTTTACAGTTGTGTCTGCTGAGACGCCTTTTCCAAATAGGGTTCTGTTCCCAGATTGCAGGGGGGTGTGGGTGACCCGGAGGAGGGCTGGGAACTGCACCAGAAAGGGGGACTGTGCGTGTGGCTTTAGGGACACAGCGCGTGACACAGCGTGAGGGGGCGGGTCCCCGGGTGTGTGCACAGGGCCAGCAAGGGCCAGCGCCCGCGCCCGCGCTGCAGGGGGGAGGCGGGGGCCAGGCGCTCGCACGCTGTCCTGTGAGGTGGCAGGAAGGCTCCGTGCTTTAGACCCAGGAGGCCTCCATCTGAGTTCTCGAGCTACACCGGGCACCCTTCACTTGTTTGTTAAATTGACGGATGCTTGATGTGAACATACGTGTCATTACTTTAGACCATTTTCGTGGCATTTTACAAATCACACACGTCTTACGGTTCAGACAAGTTTGTTTCAGAGGGTAGGGCGCGCAAGATGGTCTGGAAACCCCCTCGGGGGAGCGGCAAACCCCGTCTGTCGGTTTCCTGCGCCAGATGTTCCAGAACCTATCAGGTCAATCCCTCTTCGGGAGACACGGGGGTTCTGTGATCGGATGAACTGGAGCCGCGTGCAGGCGCGGGGAGGAGCCTGCCGGGGGCGGCCCGGAGGTCAGAGCCCCTGCTCCTGCCGCGTAGGAATGGCCATCGAGGCCTCTGCTCAGTTTGGCAGCTTTGGGGTGTTTTCTTCTGCTTTTACTGTTAACTGCGCCACGCTGAGGCTGTTTCTTACACCACCCTCTGCTACCCCAGGGCCTTTGTGCGTCCATCTAGCTCGGTGCTGCGGCCTCCTTAGAGAAGCCGTCCAAATGCCCAGCCCTGGACAGGCTCTGGCCCCAGAGGCCTCCCGGAGCAGGAGCCCCCCCCCCGACGCCACCCCGCATCCCCAGGGGACGGACGAGGGGAGCTGAAACAGGACAAGGCTTAGTGAGGGCTCTGGACGCTAGAGGGGAGGGGCCACGAAGGGCCGGCCTCCCGCTCTGCATGCCCAGGGTGGGGGTGGGGCCCAGGCCCAGGCCCCCTCCACGCTGGCCACACGTGGTGGAGGGCAGAAAGGCCCATTCCAGAGGGGCCGGAGGGCGGGGGTGGTCGCGGGCTCAGCCTCTCTCCCCTTCCCCCCTCAGCGATGACTACCTGTCCCTGGAGGGGCCCCGCTGGACACCGGCCATCAAGCAGGCAACGCGCTGGAAGTACACGCCCCTGGGGCGCGACGCGGCCGGCCAGCTGGGGTACACGGGCCTGACCAACGTGGACCCCCGCGAAACCTGGTACATGCTCCCGCGGGCCCCGGACAGCCCCTACCGCGAGGCCCACGCCCGCTGGCACGGCTGCCACGGCCACCGGGAGCGAAGCCTGCCAGCTGGTGAGTGCTGGGCCCTGGCGAGGCCGGGCCACTCGCCGGGGGAGGCCGAGGCCGGCGCTGACCTCCTCCCCTGCCCCTGCAGCCTACGCCCAGCGCCTCCGGGAGACGGCCTGGTACGACCCCGTCATGCCTGTGGAGCACAGGGCGCCCGCGGTGTGGAAAGACAGAGCCATCCAGGGCAGGGAGTACGGTGAGGGCCGGGGGCTCAGGGACACGAAGCTGCCCCGGGGCCGGACAGCCGGGGACGGGAGGTGACCTGGGTGTCCCCTGCCCCCGCAGTGGTCGACAGGCACCGACACGGCATGGAGCCACCGTGGCGGTCGGACCACGTGCCATACCTGTCGGTGCCACAGCGGCCGCGCCACACTGCCCAGGACTTCCGGCGCTGGAGCCTGGAGGCCTACTGCCCCTCCACCGGCCAGCGGGCCCCGCCCGCACCCCTGCCCACGCGCTGAGAAAGGCCCTGCCACCGCACGCCCCTCCCCACCATGTCTCTCTCCACTTCCGGAGCCCTGGGTGGCCAGACAGCCAGATAAAGGGAGCTACTGAGACCCTGGTGACCAAAACTCTGGGACCGAGGCAGACAGTCGGGGGAGGGGCGCCAGCTGTCCCCTCCCCTCCCTGGGCTCCAGGCACATAGCTGAGGCCATAGTCTTCACCGCTGGGTGGCTTTTTATTCATGATCAGCAGTGGCCTGGGCACAGGGTGTGGGACTCGGGTCCCCCCTCCACCCCTCAAGCCTGAGACTCCCATCAGGCCCAGGAATGACACACTTCATCCAGAGACCAGGCAGCACCTAGGAAACCCCGACCAAGCCTGGGGTGTGGGGTGAGCTGGGCGCACTCCTGGACCACGCGGCCAAGCTCAGTGTCGGGGCTGCTGACCGCCCTGCCCTCACCTGCCACCCTCACAGCCAGGTGAGGGTGGGGGGCAGGGGTGGGTGTTGCAGGGGGGAACACGGAGAGCTCGGCCTGGCCTGTAGAGTTCATGTGCACGGGACAGCAACCGTGGGGGGCGCGTGTCAGGCTTGGGCTCCAGGGTCCCCTGCAAGGGAAGGGGGAGTCAGTCTGAGAGGCCGGGGCCTGTGGGCAGGCGTGGGGGCAGCTGGTGGGCAGGGCTGGGGCGCAGCCACAACTCACAGCTGCGCAGGCGAATGGGCCAGACGAGGAGACTGCACAGGCAGAGGGTGGCGGCCACGCCCACGCCGCCGGTCACAGCCACCATCACCCAGCGGTAGAAGACGATGCAGGCCCGGCAGCAGAGCTCCAGGCTGGGGGCGGGGCAGAAGGGGGGGGCAGCCGTCCGTCAGGGCCCTCGGGCTCAGCTGCTGCGTGGCCAAACCCGGGGGTCACCCCTACCCCCACTCTGCCTCCCGCGGGTCCAGCCTCACCCTCACCTGCCCGGCCCCTCCTCCTGCTCGTGCCCACAGCAGCCACCAGAGGGCTCCCGCCGGCCTTGGCGCCCCGGGCCCTGCCCCCCTCCGTTACCTGCCCCAGCCACCCAGGCCTCCTCGGTTGTTCGTCCAACACGCCGGGCCTAAAGCCTCTGCTCCGTGGTTCCTCCCCCTTTACCCGCGATTCCCGGACACACAGCAAGTCTCAGGTCCAGGGTCACCTCCTCAAGGAAGCCCACCCTGACCTCTTGCCCAAGTCAGGCCCTCACAAGTGGTGTTTTCTACACACGTTGCATGGGTTTGGGTCACGCAGCTATGTGCTCATTAAAGTGGCTGGTGTTGCCCTCCGGTCCCTGAGGACAGAGGAACCGACCGCCTTTGTTCCCAGACCCCAGGCTTCTGCGAGGCTCAAGCTCAGTCAGTGGTCTAGAACCATCTGGGCCTGGAACCTGAGGTTCGAAGCTCTGGACCCAAATTCTGCTTTGCCCCAGCCCTGCCCCCTCCCCGGGCGCATCTGGGTGCTGTGTCCTCCTCGGCGCACAGCCGACTCCGCGCTTGTTTACAAGTCAGCCAGGCGACCTCACCCATGTGCTGCCCCCTGTCCAGGCTGAGCCCCCACACCCGGCGCCCCCACACCCAGCGCGTGTACCAAGTGAGGAAGCGAGCAGCACTCACGAGCAGGGATGCAGGCTCTGGATGGCCATGACCGCCAGCCCGTTGGCCACCTTATCCGAGAAGCTCATGGCACCGTACACGAAGGCCCCGCTGTGCTGGGGACACAGGCAGGGAGGTCACCCCTGCAGCCCGGGCCGACCCCCGCCCGGCCCAGACCCTCAGCCTTACCGTGTGGGGGCCGATGAGGTCGGCCGTCATGGCCAGCGAGGTGACGAGGATGGTGGCACAGCCCGCACCCAGCAGCACGGCGGCCGCATACACGGCCACGCCCAACGTGTCTGCCAGCGCCACCCAGGCCGCGAAGGCCAGGATCACCAGGAGGCCCGTGAAGTAGGTCAGCTGCGGAGGAGCGGGCCCAGGTCAGGGCCCCCCACCCCGTCTCCCCCGCGGGCCAGCCGCAGCCACTGGGGGGGGCCATCCCCCTGGAGCCCGTGCTGTGGAGCCACGGCCGCACCAAGTCCAATAAAGTTAAATAGAGTAAGACGTTCAGTCCCTCCGTCGTGCTGGCCAGAGTTCAAGGGCTCCACACCACCCCCGGCTGCTGCCCTGGTGGCCCAGCATTCCAGAGCTGCTCCAAAGCCGGGGCTCTAGAACTCCATTCCCAGACACCTCCCACCTCCGCGGCGTGGGTGCCGTGGTCCGGAGTCCCCCCCCCCCCCCCCCCGCCCCGAGCTCGCAGCTGTGGGGTCCTTCCCTTCCTCCACCCACACCCCCCACCATCCTGCCCACTCACGTTCCTCCCGATGCACTTGTTCACCGGCTTCATGAGGAAGGACGAGCAGAAACCGCTGACGTACATCACCAGCGGGATGGTGGCGATGAACTTCTGTAGGGGCAGAGCGCGCGCGGGCACGTCAGGCGCGGGCACGTCGGGCGCGGGCACGTCGGGCGCGGCCCCGGCCGCCCGCCGGCCCCACTCACCTTGGGCAGGCTGAGCGAGTAGGTGAGGTACATGGCTATGTACGTCTGGGACAGGTTCACAACGAGCCTCGTGCTCATGTACAGCAGGCCCACCTGTGGGACGGCCGGCCGGCAGGCAGGCTCTGGTCAGAAGGGCCCTCCCTGCCTCCCCCTCCCCCCACCCCCACCATGAGCCATCTGCAGGGCAGCCCGAGACAGAGAAGTCTGCCCGGGATGTAGGATGGCGCATCGCCCCCCCCCACACACACCTGATAGAAGGCCGGCTCCCGCAGCCAGTGCTTCCAGAGCAGCAGGGGCTGGGCGGTGCGGGGGGCCAGCAGCGGGCTGTGCTCATCCGGCTCCTCCGCCCGGGGCCGGCGCCCCTCCCTCGTGCCCAGGTGGAACAGCAGCGAGAAGACGGCTCCCACCCCGACCACTAGCAGGGACAGGTTCTGGAGGCCAGGCGGGGCCGGGGTCAGCCCGCGCCCCGGGCTCAGGCCCCCACACACACACCGCACCCCCACACCCCCACCCAACTCACCCGGAACACCTGCACGTCCTGGACCCCCAGCTGGTCCTGGACGTCCGGGGCCCCGTCCGTGTGGGGGGCGCCCTGCAGGCGGAGCAGCACCCAGGCGGCCCCGTACACGGTGATGTTGGCCACCACGGTGAAGGCGTACCTGGCGGGAGGCAGGCGAGGTTCAGCGTGGTGGCCTGGGGGGGGGGGGGGGCTCAGCCACCAGATGTCAGACAGCCCCAGGACAGCCCTCCCTCCCCGTGATCCAACAGGTTACAATGACCCACGGGTCCACCCTGACATCCGGGGTACCGGGACCGGGCAGGGGGTGCGGGGGGCTGGAGGCGCTCGGAAGCTGGGGTTCTGGGACTCTGCTGTGACAGGGCCAGGGCTCCCCGGCCCAGAAGCACCCAGGTTTGCTCCTGCTCGCAGCCCTGGAGCAGTCCCTCCAGGGGGTGAGTAGAGGGAGGCAGAGCCTCTGGATCTCACACCAGGACTCGGTTTCCCTTTCTGAAAGCGAGAACCACGCCCCCAGAGACCACAGTGAGGGCACAAGGCTGCTGGTAAAGCACCTGCAGGCAGAAGGCGCCCCATAGCCCGGCCTCCGCCCAACCCAGCCTGCCAGCAGGGCCCGCGGCGGGGGGGGGGGGGGGGGGGGGGGGGGGGGGATTGCACAACCCCGAGCTTGGGCGCCACGATGCGGAAGTCAGAGGTAGGGTTGGTGGGGGGCGAGGCAAGGCCCTCCTGAAGGTGCAGGAGGGGCGCACGCTTAGTGGGCACCTGCGTGAGCCAGCGCCCCCCCCCCCGAGGCTCCTGCCACAGGGGCCGCCGCCCCCTGACCAGCCCCTCTGCCCAGCGCACGCTCGCCCTACCCTCTCCCTGCTGCACACGGGCCATGCGGGCGGGCTCTGCGCCAACCCCAGCCTTGCCATGACGATTAAAGACCATGCAGCAAAGGGCCTAGACCTGTGTGCACACAGCAAGCACTGCATAAATGCCCCCACTGTCATATCCGGGGGAGCCTCTTTCAGTGCCTCAAGCAGCCACCAGAGAGGGCCAGCGCCCGCCGTAGCCACGTGCGGCAGGCGGGATTCCGCGTCGCCCAGGATGTCCCACAGGCTGGTCCCGTCCTCTAAACCCTCCCCTCGGGGAGGGGGTGGGGGACCATCAATAAGCGCCATCACTCCCACTGTTTCCATAAAAGTGACAAAGCGGTTCTGCAGATATCGGTAACAGAGATTATCCTGGGTGAGCCAGGCCTAATCAGGAGACCCTTGGAAAAACCCAAGCCTCAGATGGGACCCCAGCCCCAGCCAGCGCCTCGACAGGGGGGGGGGGGGGTCCAGATAGACCGTGGAGCATAAAGTACAGCTGAGCAGCCAGACCCGTCGCCCGCAGAACCCACGCGGTGGCGGTGTCCGAGGCCGTTCAGGCCGCAACAGCGGACGCGTGCGCCGTCTCCCAGGCGGGCCAGCTGGGGCTGCGGGACCCAGGGCCACACAGCCGGGCAGAGCCCGACGCGGACGGGGCCCCGTACCTGAGGGCCGTGAGCTCCACCTTCTCGTGGTCGCTGGTCGCGAGCTCGGGGACGAGGCTGAGGTGGGCGACCTGGGTGGCAGCCCAGCCGAACTGGAAGACCACGACGAAGGGCCCGTAGTACAGGAGGGCGGCCCACTCGGGGGTGCGGCCCCCGCAGCCCAGGCACGCGCTGAAGATGAAGGGGAAGGAGAGCAGGACACAGACGGTGCCTGAGGGCGGGCGGAAAGCGAGGGTCACACCACGGCGCTTGCCTAGGGCCACCCGCTCCCCGGGGTGCGACCCGCGGGGGCATGACCTAGGCCCAGAGGAGCCCCCCCAAGTCATACGGCGGGGTCGGAGTCAGCGGCCCGGCGCCTCCGGGTTAAGGGTTCCCAGGACTAATGGGGAAACCGAGGCAGAGGGGCCCGAGGTCGTGCAGCCCGAGAGGACAGCAGGGCCAGGCCTCCACCTGCAAGTTCAGCTTACCCCCCCCCCCCCCGGTGTCCAGCAGGGAAACAGGCCCATGAGGTCATGTGCTATAGCGAGTAGGGGGGCAGGGCCGGGATCTCCCCACACCAGCCTTGGGCTCCCCGGGGCTGCTCCCTTGGTGACAGGTGGCGAAAGAGAGGAGCCGGAGGTCACGCGGCAGGTTGAAAGGGCGCCGTGGGGGGTCGCCTGGAGCACTGCCCACCAGACACGCCACTTATGGCCACACATCCCCTTCCTGCTCGCCTGGCAAGACCTTCTCCCCAGCTCCTACCACGTGGCCCGCGGGGCTACCAGCGGTCAGGAGGCCAGGGGACGCCGGGCGAGGCCACACTGGGCCCTGCCCTCCCTGAGCCCCCGTGTCCCCATCAGCCCATGAGAAGGCCGCTTCCTGGGAAAAACCCAAAACTCAGAACAAGCCCATGTTCCCAAGTGGAGCCAACAGGCCCTGCGGGACCTGCCCTGCCCCCTCCTCCCTGTCCCAACAGGCTCCATCCCTGCCCCAGGGCCTTTGCACGGCTTGTGCTGCTGCCTGGAATGCTATTCCCCTCCTGTCCCAGCAAGGCTGAGTCCTCTCCGCCCCACTCAAACCCCGCATCCTCAGAAAAGCTCTCCCTGGTCCCCGCCCCGACACCGGCCGTCTGGACACGGCTTCCTTCTCACGTGCCTCAGCACGCACACGGATGCTGTCGTCTCTGCTGGCTTCCTGCCTGCCTCCCCCGCCAAACCGGGAGCGTGGGCAGCAGGTCTCTCTGGGTCACTTGTGCGGCCCTGGGCCACCAGCATGGAGCCTGTCACAGATTTTTTGAATGACTAATAACAGCGCCTTCTATGTACAGCTTGAAGGGGTGGGTGTTACCACCATCCCCCTTTGCCAGGCGGGGACACAGGCCCGTCGCGGGAGCCGCAGAGCCGAGAACCTGGCCTGCTGGGCGCCCCGGCCACTCCCGCCCTCTGGCTCAGGGCCCTCGCCCCCACCTCCCTCCTTGGTGGGCCCAGCCGCTCCCCTCCCCTCCCCTCCCCGAGGCTCTGGACCTCACGCCCCAGACCCGGGGCCCCGTGATGGGCTGCGGTCCCAGGATGGGGAAATGAAACCAAAACCACCTTCCTTTGCTATTTCTCTGGAACGGGCGCCTGGGAGGGGCCTCCTGAGCTGCTCCTGGGGGCCCCGGGCACAAACTGTACAGTCGGGTCAGAAGAATGTGCTGCCCTGGCCGGAGTCCACCCTGCAGCCGGCTGGGCCGGGTTAACCTTTGCCTCCACGAGGCTGCCTGGCCACGGGGCCTTGGGCAAATGGCTTTGGGCCTCAGTTTCCAGAAAGTGGAGATCACAAGAATACTTGCCTCATGAAGTCAGCGTGAGCTAACGTGCATGGGGCGCCCGGGGGGGCTCGGTCAGTTACGCGTCCGACTTCGGCTCAGGTCATGATCTCGCAGTTCAGGGGTTCGAGCCTCACTCAGGGTGGGCTCTGTGCTGACAGCTCGGAGCCTGGAGCGGCTTCAGATTCTGGGTCTCCCTCTCTCTCTGCCCCTCCCCCTCCCCCACCACTGCGTTCTGCATTCTGTCTCTCTCAAAAATGTTAAAAAAATTAAAATAGGGGCGCCTGGGTGGCTTAGTCAGTTAAGTGTCCGACTTTCACTTAGGTCATGATCTCGCGGTTCGTGGGTTCGAGCTCCGCATCGGGCTCTGTGCTGACTGCCAGCTCGGAGCCTGGAGCCTGTTTCAGAGTCTGTGACTCCTTCTCTCTCTGACCCTCCCCTGCTCACGCTGTCTCTGTCTCTCTCTCCTAGAAATAAATAAAACATTTAAAAAAAACTTTATAAAAAAAATTAAAATAAATAAAAAGATCAACGTGCAAAACCTGCCTCGGGAGCTTTAAAATTGGTATGTCACAGATGCACAGCTATCTCAACCGGCTGGAAAGCACGCACGCACGAACACGAACACACACACACACACACACACACACACACACACACTCCTATTCATCCTTCAAACCCCCAAAGCTAATGTCCCTTCCTTCAGAGCTCTGCTTCTCCCTTATGAAACCCAGTCCGCCCACACGCCCCAGCCCGGACCCCACAGCGAATCCCACGTCTGGCGCTCTCGCCTCTCGGGGCTGGGGGAAGCCAGAGGGCTTGTTCAGGGAAAAAGTGAATCCATCACCACCACCCACAGGCTCAGCGGCAAAAAATAGAGAAGTGGGAACTGTCACCAAGGTGGCTTTCACTCAGGTCCCCTTATCAGGCCTCAGGAGGAGCTGCCTCAGCTTCCTCTCTCCTCACATCCTCCCGGGTCTCCCCCCACCCTCCCCCTGCGGTGAAGGGGTGCAGGTGGCGGCCCGCAGCCCCCAGGCATGTTGCACATGAACACAGGGCCTTCAGCTCTTTATGTACAAAGGTGCCTAACCTTTGCTGGGGGGCCGCCGATTCTTCCTCTGGGCTCAGGGGGGAGCTTCGTGGAACCCCAGGCCTCCCACCGACGGAGGGGTCTCAGAGCTTTTAGACACGCGGCGTCCGCCGCCAGGGATACCTTCCCACGGCTGGCTCCGTCTCCCCAGGGGTGTCTCCCCTGTCGGCCCCAGGGAGAAGCCCCCCCCCACATCTGTCACCTGGCAGGCCTAGGAACTCTCTCGTTTGCTCGTTGAGGAGTAACCTGAACAAAACCGTATCTAAGGCTCTGGGCTCAGCTCCGTAAGCGATGGGCACCTCAGCCCGAAGAGGGGCACCTGTGTCCCCGTGGAGCCGAGCACAGGTCTGCAGGAGCCTCCTGTGTCCCCTGCTTCCCTCCCCGACTGCTACAGTCTAAGGTGACCCAGGAACAGCCGGCTGCTTGCAGATCTGCTGCACCTTGCAAAAAACAACAGGGCACTCAAAAGGGCCCGGGGCAAGTCACTGCCTCCCGGGTCACTGTTCCCAAGGGCAAGGAGGCAGCAGCCCGCCCCTCCTCACTTCCAGAAAGCTGCCGCCCAGAATTCACAGGACTGGGTGGGACTCCTGTTGCTGCCTCCTGAAATGCCCCGCGGGCCGAAGGCCCAGGACGGAAGGGCAGACAGCTCGGGGGCTAATCTTCAGGCCCAGGGGCCGTGGAGGCAGCCGAGGGACCGAGGGACGCTGGGAGGCAGGCCTTATCAGGGGTGTGCACCAGGCAGGACACCGCAGCTCCGGGCGCCCGCGCCCCCCCCCACACACACACAGGTGCTCCTGGCAGCTCCTCCGAACACAGGCCACCACCCTGCTGGCCCCGCGGACCCCAGCCCCCTCAGCCAGACAGTCACAGAGCCCTGACTCTTTGGTCTAACCTGCCCCCAAGTCTCTGCTCCGGGGACAGCACCCTCAAGCGTGCCAAGCCCCAGGTTGCCCGAGATGGGGCAGAGGACCGGCAGGAAGGCGCTGGAGACGCGGACAGACGGCTGCTCTGGGCAGCCTGACCCACACCCACGCGGACTTACAGACAGAGAAGCCAGACCAGGCCGACCAAGGAGGCGGCACCAGGCAGTCAGGGCGTTCAGGGTGCCCATGGGGGTCAGACAGAAAGACAAAGGGAAGTGACACTGGAGGGTCACATGGGTGGTCAGATGGCTGACAGAAGAAGTACAGGGCAGTTAAGCAGCCCGATGGGGAGGCTCGTGGATGGGGCAAAGTACAGGGCAGCTGCACACAGGAGGCTCAGGCCTAGGAGGGCGGCTGGGGCCCTGGGGCGGGCAGTCGGACGGGGGAGGCTCCAGCCGGCGGGCAGTCAGGTGGAGGCTCAGCCGAGACTTACCGACCAGATGCCAAGACTTCCGAGGGCCGAAGCGGGCGCAGCGGCCGGCGGCGTGGTCGGCCTCATAGCCCACGAGGGGCGTGCACAGCCCGTCGGCCACCTGGCCGAGCAGCAGCAGCAGCCCCGCGCCGCGGGAGCTGTAGGCGCGCACCGAGTGCAGGTAGAGCAGCAGGTAGGTGAACCACATGGACGCGCACAGGTCGTTGAGGAAGTGGCCCACGGCGTAGCTCAGCCGAGCGGCCAGCGACAGCGGCCGCGGGGGCGCCCCCGCTCCGGCCGCCGGGGGCCCCGGGCCCATGGCCGCGCCCCGGACTCCGGCAGGGCGGTCGGGCGCGCGGCACACGCCCCGCTCTCCCCGCGCCGCCGCCCAAGTCCGCCCCGCCGAGCGTGCCTGCGGCCGCCGAGCCCCCAAGCCCAAAATTAAGGCCTGGGAGGGGCGGGGCGAGGGATACTGGCGGCCGCCTCCACCAATCGAGGCCGCTCGCCAGGGCCAGGCAGCCAATAACCGGAGGGAGGGGCGTGGCCTCGGGGCTAGTTCGGCCTCCGGGCCCGGCCCCGACGAGGCGAGAAGGTCCTAGCGCCGGACGGTTCCCCTGCGGGTTAGAGGGACCTCCGCGGACGTGGGCGGCGACACAGGAGCGCCCAGACCCAGACACCGGCCTTCAGGCCCGCGCCAGCCCAGCCTGCCGCATACGAGGCCTACCGTGTGGGCCGGGCGGGGCTGGGCCGGGGCGCCAGAGGTGGGCGGGGGGCGCAGGGGATGCGGGAGCATTCTGAGTCTGAGTTCGCTCCTCCTTGGGGTCCGCTGACTTCTCGGCCCGGAGAGACCCAATCGGACGCGGAGAGGACTCATTAGTTCTAATTAATTAGTTATTTAAGGATAATAATGGGGATAATCATCATAATAAACACCAGCTGGTATTTAATGAGCGCCGGCTGTGCCAAATGGCCCACGTGGGTTTTCTCACCCAAGCCTGGGGGGAAGCGGAGCGAGTGTCTCCCATTTCACGGCCACAAACAGGCCCAGAGAGCGGAGAGGGTGTGCCCGGGGGCGCAGGGGGTCAGGTGCCTGCGAGGCCTGTGATCACAGTCCCTCCCCACCCTCCTCCACGGCCCTCGCACGACTGGGTCCCCACGCAAGCAGTTTCGAGTTCCCCCAAGTCTTGGGTGCAGGCGTCCCCCACGCCCCCAGCCCCCCCCCCCAGCAGCGGTTGAACACCTGCACTTTGGAGCCATAAACCCCACTCCCTCCTGGCTGTTACTCTGGCTGTTACAGCCTTTAACTTTGGGGGAGCCTCAGTCTCCCCAGCTCTGGAATGGGTATAATGCCCATTAAAAGTGATATGGGGGAGGGGTGCCTGGGTGGTTCAGTCCAGTAAGCTTCATCTCACGTCATGATCTCCGGTCCTTGGGTTCAAGCCCCGCTTCAGGCTCTGTGCTAACAGCTGAGAGCCTCGACCCTGATTCAGATTCTGTGTCTGCCTTGAGAGGCAGAGAGAGAGGGGAAGAGAGAGGGGGTGTGTGAGCGGGGGAGGTGCAGAGAGAGAGGGAGACACAATCTTAAGCAGGCTCCAGGCTGAGCTGTCAGCATGGGAAGTGGGGCTCAAAACCACGAGCCCTGAGATCATGACCTGAGCTGAAGTCAGAGGCTTAACCGACTGAGCCACCCAGGCGACCCTAAAAAAATTTTTTAAGTGATATAGGAGGGCCTGGCTAGCTGAGTTGGTAGAGAATGTGACTCTTGACCTCAGGGTCATGAGGTGCAGTCCCACACTGGGTGTAGAGATTACTTAAAATAAAACATTTTTTAAAAGTGATATCATGGTTAGCTCTTAGTCCCAGAAAGTCGACTCATCACCCCTTCCACCCGTCATTATACTGTACCCTGGGCTGCCCTGCATCATAACCATGACACCTGCTCTCCATCACCACCACACCCCGCCCCCACTGTAGCTGGGACTCCACTGAATCCCCACGAAGGCAGGGGGAGCACTATGTTATCTCCAGTAATGCCCGGCACATAATAGGAGCGCAAGAAACATCTGTCCACGGGGGGCCTGGTGGCTCAGCCGGTTAAGCATCCGACTTCAGCTCAGGTCAGGTTCTCACAGTTCGTGGGTCGAGCCCCGAGTGCTCTGTGCTGACAGCTCAGAGCCTGGAGCCTGCTTCGGATTCTGTGTCTCCCTCTCTCTCTGCCGCTTCCCCTCCCTCACCACTGCGTTCTGTCTCTCTATCTCTCTCAAAAATAAATTTTAAAAAAAACTTAAAAAAAAAATTATCTGTCCAATGATCAGTGGGCACGCATCGGCAGAGATTCGGAAGTGCAGACAGAAACTGGGAAACAGACCAGACCCCGCCGGAACCCACTGACAAGCCCAAGACTCAGGCAGCCAAAGGGGTCCCCACCCAGACCCCCACACTGCTGCAGACTGCCCACCGCAGTACCCACGTTTTTAGGAAAAGGAGCCTGAGAAATGGGTTCGGATGGGGCAATGGGGACTCAAGAGATAACCTAGCAGGGAGCCCAGAGATAAGAGGTCACTGCCTTGGAGGAGATAAACCGATAAGGAGAGACAAGAATCTGAATTCTTTCCTTCCTGCGGCTCGCACGCTCCCTTTCTGTTTCTCTGGGGCCGGGGTTGGGGGTGGAGGAAAGATGACTTGATATTCTTGCCTCAGCTTTACAGGACTTTTCAGAATACTCGCCTGAGCTTTTCAAATATTTGTTAAGTTTTGATTTATTTAAGTAATCTCTCCCGCCAACCCAACATGGGGCTCAAACTCACGATCAAGAGTGTCTTGCTCTAGGGACTGAGCCCGCGGCCTCCCCACTACGAGCCTCCCTCGGGGATCTTGCTGTGCCTCTTGCGGTGTCTTACGGGGAAACAGACAGAAGTCCTGGCCAGAGGGCACAGCGCAGCTCCAGGATCCCAGCTGGGCTCCTCGTGATCTCTGGCATCTTTGTGTTCTTTATTCACTGGCCTCGGGAGGGCCCACCTGAAGACACCCTTCCCAGCCTCCCGCTGGGTCAGGAGCCCACAGAGATGCTCCCGGCAGCCCTTGCAGCAGATGCTCCACGGACAGCAGGGGCTGGGGGTGGGGGTGAAGGACCATCAAATGTCCGGGTTTTCCTCCAAGGGGGCCAGCCGGGACTGCCTGGCCTGGACTGGGAGTGGGGGGAGACAGGGAGGCCGACCCGACAGGGAGCTGCCTCTGAGTGGGTCATTCGCTCCTTGTTTGTTCATTCATGCTTTCGTGGGCTCCTTCATTCAGTGAGTCTGGCCTCATGCTGAGCAATGCTGGCGCCCCAGAGATTCTTTTTTTTTAATGTTTAATTTATTTCTGAGAAAGAGAGAGAGACAGTGTGAAGAGGGGACGGTCAGAGAGAGAGAGGGAGACACAGAATCTGAAGCAGCTCCAGGCTCTGAGCTGTCAGCACAGAGCCCGACACGGGGCTCGAACTCATGACCTGAGCGGAAGTCGGATGCTTAACCGACTGAGTCCCCCGGGCGCCCCTGGAGCCCCAGAGATTCTGACGTCCTTGGTCTGAAGGGGGAGAGAGGTGCAGGGCTGCGGGAATCACACAAAGGCGGGCTGACTGAATGGCAGGTGGAGTCTAGACTTTACCTCCAGGCCCATGGGGAGCCACACAGGGTTCTGAGAGGAGGTGGGAGGGTGGAGACAGGAAGCGGCCCCAGCTGTAGGGGTTGGAAACCGGGGCAGGGCACACATGCCCCTCCCCCCCAAGTAAGAGCAGGAGTCAGATTTGCAGGGAAGATCAGAGAAGGTCTTGGCAAGGGGGAGGACGGAGGGTGAAGGCCCTGCCCTCAGGATGGGGCAGAGACACACTTGGGGTCAGGAGAGATCCAGCTTTGATGTCCCCCGAGCAGCCCCAGCTGCCCCCCAGCTCCAGCTGGAGATTGGATGTCCGGGGCCCCAGTGGGAAGAGGGGTTTGCTTTGATCTTCCCTCAGACCCAGCCCACTGGGAGTGGGGGTGGGGGAGGCGAGGCGGAGGGGAGAGGTGGCCCGAAGGGGAGAGAAGCCATCAGGAACTTCCTTCCATCCCAGGGTGGCTCTGGGGGGCCAGGCAGCCTCAGGCGAGCCCCCCCTCCCCCGCCTCGGTATCCCTTTTTGTAATGGGCCTGACAGTAGCCCATAGGGGGCACCAGATCATGCTTTGGGTGGGGGGCTGTCCGGAGCGTCGCAGCACAGGAGCAGACTCCCGCCCCCTCCAGGTTGGTACAACCAAAACTGTTTCTAGGCATCACCCAGTGTCCCCTGGGGGGCTCGCTTACCCTGGGTGGCAACCACTCACTGTGCTAGAAAATTCTCTGCAGCAGGGGTCTGACGCTGCATGGACAAAACCAGCCACAACTGTCAGTAACGCTGACCGGGCGGCCTGGTTCTGCAGGAAAACATTAGTCCAACTCCTTAAACCCGTACAAGGACCTCCTGAGGGTAGACTCAGTTATCCCACTTCGCAGAGGCGCAGACTGAGGCTCAGAGAGTTTGTAAATTGCTCAAGTCACACACGAATGGCTCAGGGCCACCTCCCTGCCCTGAGCATCTGAGGGTCCAGCAGCAGCACAGGGGGAGGGGTGGCGTGCCCCCTCCTCAGAGGTTTGAGACCCCAGCCCCCACACCCCTTCTTTCGAGCAGCTGTGACCTGTGTGTCCTCAGCCCTTCCTCACCCTTCACTCCCCTCCCCCGCCCCGTGTTAAATTTGTCTCTAAAAAAAGCCGGAGGAGGGCTGGGATGTCCTGAGAGAGCGCTAACCACCTTCTCGATTCTTCTGTGTCTTCCTACATACCCTGGAAAAGCAGTCCACGGGCCCCAGACAGCGGCCAGGGCTGCCACAGCACCGTGGTCACACCACCATTAGAAACAAGATGTGGCTTCGCGTTTGTACAGAAACACACACGTGTACGTGTGTGTGTTGTGCTTGGCATTGTGTCTCACCCCCCCCCAGACACAAATTAACGGGTGGGAGTCCTGGCTCCCCAGGACCCTGGAGCCCGGTGTGGATGTAGGGTCGTCACAGCCATTTGGCTTTCAGACAATGTCACACTGCTATCGTCCAGTATTGACCCCCTGAAGAGGGGACTCCGGGCACAGACACACAGGGAGAAGCCAAGTGAAGCTGAAAGCAGAGAGATCAGGGTGGCGCCTGATAAGCCAGGGACACCAAGGGTGGCCAGTGACTCCCCCCCCCCCAGCTGGGAGACCTGGCATAGGCTCCCTCAGGGCCTGAGAGGGAACCAGGTCCCATCAAGTCCTTGACGTTGGACTTCCAGGCCCCAGAAAGGTGAGGTGATATGTTAGCAGTAGTTTAAGGCCCTGGTTTGTTTAAGGCCCAGGTAGTTTGCTGGTGGGAACCCTAGAAAACGATCACTGTGTGTGCGTGTGCGCGTGCATGCGTGTGTGTGTCTGTGTGTGCGTGTGTGTAGGAAGAGTTTTAGTAAGAAGTGTAACAAGCTGACACTGGGGATTGTGGGGGGCTGTGGCGGCCCTCACCACACAGACTTTACCTTTGTACAAACAGAGCGGATTTCCACATCATTTACATCATCAGATTAATTTCAAAAACAAAGAAGCTGAAGCGTCCTTAATGGATCTCACATTTCCAGGTCTGCCAATTGGGATTCTATCCTCGGCTTCCAACGATGCAAATTTCCCAGTGAAATGCAGAAATGAACACAAAGAAACGAAAGCACAAAACTCATGACTTTAGACAGCTGTGGTTGTTTTCCTGCGAGCTAGGAATTGAGGGACCTTAACGTTGCTAAGAAAGAGCGGGGGGGGGGGGGGCGCCTGCCTGGTTCCCTCAGTGGAGCTGCGATGGGGGTCGTGAGTTCAAGCCCCATGTTGGGTGTGGAGGCTACTTAAAAAACAAAACAAAACCCGATTTATAATTTTGGGGCTGAAAGGATCTGCTCTTGTATAAATGCATGAAGGATGTAAAGTCAATTAGGATAAATGCTGCTAATTGTCTCCGTCGCTTGTTCGGGGGTGTGGGTGTGTATGGATGGCATGAAATGAACTGAATCCATTGCAGTCTGAAGACGCTTTTATATTTTTCTAGAACATGTCCATGCCACGAGATGTCTTCCTCGATGCCAGGGTGCTGCAAATTGCTTTCAGAATTGACCTCAAAACACTGCATTTCTTTTCTATGTACCAGGAGACCCCCTGATCTCTCCAGGTGGTACCTTGGGAGTGGGTAGACAGTTTCTTAGGCAACGCCTTGTCAATCAAGCCAAGGGGGCGGGGCTTGGAGGGCGGGACTTCCAGCGTGGACTTTCTTACCTGGATTGTTTTTACCCGAGCGGCGAGCAGCAAGGGGGCCCCACCAAGCAGCAGCAGGGGCTGGATGGAATCCGGGTCTGACAGGGTTCCGGGGCACGCTCGTCTTCCTCACCCCTCGGCTGCCTCTTAGGAAAACGGGTTTATTGCGATTTAATTCACATGCCATATAATGCATCCATTTAAAGTGTGCAGTTCCGTAGTTTTTAGTGTATTTATAGCTATGCAGCCAGCACCGCGGTCTAATTTTAGAACATTTTGATCACCCGCGAGGAAACTCCGTGCCCATTAGCAGTCTCCCCCCGTTCCCCCTCCCCGGGCAATCACTCACTTCCTGTCTCTGGATTTTCCCCTTAGGGACACTGCGTGTGAATGGAGCCACACACTTGTGGTCTTTTGGGACTGGCACCTTTCACCGAGCATCGTGTTTTCAAAGTTCACCCTTGTCCTTGCGTGAATCAGCAGTTTATTCCTTTTTATGGCAACTCGTATTCTATTGGATGAAGGGACCGCATTTTGTCTACCGATTCATCAGTTGATGGGCATCTGGCTTGTTTCTACTTTTCCGCTGCTGCGAACACTCGTGTACACGGTTCTGTGTGGACGTGTGTTTTCGATTCTCTTGGGCGGATCCCTACGAATGGCACTTCCGGATTGCATGGGAACTTGACTGTGTTCACTCCTTTGTGTGTTCCACAAATACGTATCGGGCAGCCCAGAGGGGCATTGGTGTTGGAAGTGTTAAAAATCACATGACCCTAAAGATCCACTTAGGTCAAGTCACCAACGTGGGGCTTCATACCTAACCCAATAGCAGTTTCAGCTGCCTCCCAGAAATGTTAAGTCTGAAAGGGTCAGCCAGGAACTTTCTCATAAGCACCGAGTGGGTAATTGGTCTCCAGGGCCCTCTCCACCTCAAAGAATGAGATAATCTGCATAATAAGACCCCCTGCTTAGGGAAAGTGACCTCGCAGGGGACAATCTTTTCTTTTCTTTTGCTAAGAACTTCCTTGCCCCGCCCTCCTTCCCATATAAACCCTCCATTTGTACAACTCTTTGGAGCTCCCCTCTGCTTGCTAGATGGGGTGCTGCCCCGGTAGCGAAGACCTTAATAAAGCCAATTAGATCTTCAAATTCATTCAGGTAAGTTTTTGTCCTTTAGGGGCTCCCGGCTGGCTCCATCGTAGAGCGTGTGACTCTTGATCACCAGGTGGTGAATTCGAGCCCTGCCCTGTGGGCGGAGATTACTTAAATAAATAAAGATTTAAAATGTTTATTTTGTCGTTGTTCTCTATCAGAGGAAACAAACATGTGGAGAGAACATAAGACAGGGTGTGCCGGGGAAATCTCATTGAGAAGGTGACATTTTAGCAAAGACCTGAAGGAGATCAAGCAGTGAGTCAGGCAGATAACGTGGAGGAAGGGCACACCAGTGCAAAGGCCCAGAGGTGGGAATGAGTGAAACGGACACATCTGCGTTGGAGGAGCATCAAGGAGGCGAACGGAGGAGGGAGATGAGGGCAGGGAGGTGATGTGGGCATGGGGTATGAGATCTAACAGGACGTGGGGCACAACCAGTCACCCCAACCGTCATCCTGGAGCAGGGCAGTCCCAGGCAGACCATAAGACCGCGCTACCACCCGGGGGTCCCCAAAATCCCAGAGCAGAGCCTCCTGCCCCTCCACCTTAAGGAGGTTCTTGCAGCCTTCCGGTCCCGGCCTCCTGGTCCAAAACATCGTGCAAGGTCCCCATTGCACAAGAGGGAAAGCCGAGTCCCCGGAAGGTGGGGAGAGCAGCCCCTTCTGGCTCAGGGCTGGAGGAGGCACCGAAGTTCAGTGAATGGAAAGCTAACTTGCCCTCCAGGTTTGCAAGACACTAAGAACAGGTCTCACCTAGTCCAGAGGCAGGGGGCTGCCTGGAAGGACCTTAACTCTTTCCCTAGCAACCTGCCGCTGTCTCCATGACAACTAGGGAGGGGCCCGATCTGGCCCAGCCGGTCCCGGGATCCCGCAGGGGCGGGGAGTCTCGCCTTCACCGGGAGAGGAGGAACCCGAGCCGCACCTACTAGCCCTTTAAGGGGCTCCGCCCGGCGAGGCCTCAGAGCGCCCTGATTGGCCCCGAGAGCGGCCGAGCGCAGCCGAACTTGACGCACCCGCCCGCAGCCTTTCCTCTCTACCTCCCACGCGGCCCAGCGGCTACCCCAGCCAATCGCAGAGCGGCGCGCCAACCCTCATCTGCATGGTCACACCCCAGGGAAAGACTGCACCCAATCCGACAACTCGAAGAGGCCGTATTAGCATGTCTGGGGCGGGGCGAGCGGCAGGGGCGGGCTCGGGGCGGTTGGTTGGAGCGTCGCAGCTGCGGAGAGGTCCGGGAAAGTTTCTTTGGAGGTGAAAACAGCCGCGGAACTCGGGGCCCTGCGAGGGGGTGGGGGCGCGGGGCTCCTGGGATCGGGGAGAGGCCCCTCCCGGACTGGAGGACGGTAGGCCCGGCCCTTCCGGGGGACTATCGCCCAACAAAGGATCCCCGGGGCGCCCGCCCTCGAGGGCCTCCCCGCCCCTGGATCCGGCCCCCTCCAAACACCCCGGGCCCGGCATTCCGGGGGGCTCCCCCGCCGGGCCACTGTCGGCGGCTCGGGCGCCCCTCACTCGGCCCACGCGTCTGCCTTCCAGGTGGGGCCGGGAGCGGCCATGTCCCACGGCTCCAAGCAGCCCGGCGCGGCCGCCGCGTGAGTGCGACATCCCCTCCCCCAGTCCACTCGGGGCTGCAGCCCAGCCCCCGCCCGCCCTGTCGGAACTCCTCGACCCCTGCCCCCCAGGGTCTTGACTCCCCTCAACACACACCCGGGGCAGGACCTCCCCCCTTGGGTCCCCGCCGGCCTCTTCCCCCACCACTGCCACTCCCTGGCCCAGCCCCTTCCAGAGGTCCTTGTCTCCTCTCTTGTGTTCCTGCCCAGCCCCGCGACTAATGACCCCGTTGGACCCCTGCTCCCAGGACTCAAGCCCCCTCAGTGCCAGCTCCGCGGTCGGGGGTGGAGGTGAGGGTGGGGGTGACCCCCGCGTCTCGTGGATCCAGGCCGGCGGGGGGCAAGGCTCCGGGACAGCATGGGGGCTTCGTGGTGGCTGTCAAGCAAGAGCGCGGCGAGGGCCCCCGGGCCGGCGAGAAGGGGTCCCACGAGGAGGAGGTGAGAGTCCCTACACAGGGGTGGGGGAGGCCCTGGGTCTCGCCCACGGCCTGGAAGCTCCACCCTGAGCCAGATTTGAATTCGCTGTGGCTCCGCCCACAGCCCAGATTTTCCTCCGGGAGCTGAGACCCCGCCCCATGCCACGCCCCCAAGGGTATCCTCGGTTCCTAGGTCCGGACCCCGCCCATCGCTCAACTCGGCTCCGCCCACTGCCCTGTGGGAGGCACCTTCCCATTGTCCTATGGGCCTTTGCTCCAGTACAGAAGCCACGCCCAGCCCAGAGACCACACCCACAAGCCCGCCCCATCCCGGGGCCAAACCCCGCTGCAGATGCCACGTGCCCAGGACCTCCGATCCCTCACTCGTGGTCGGCGTCCCCCTGACCCTAACCCCCACCCCCCTCCCGACCCTTCACCAGGCCGTACCTCCGGGCCCTCGCTCTTGGATAGGCCCCGCCCAGCCCTCTAGCCCTGCCCCAGCCCTCCAGACCCCTCCCAACGCGCGGTGCGGTTCTGCAGCCGGTGAAGAAGCGCGGGTGGCCCAAGGGCAAGAAGCGGAAGAAGATCCTACCAAATGGGCCCAAGGCCCCGGTCACCGGTTACGTGCGCTTCTTGAACGAGCGGCGCGAGCAGATCCGCACCCGCCACCCGGATCTGCCCTTTCCCGAGATCACCAAGATGCTGGGTGCCGAGTGGAGCAAGCTGCAGCCTGCAGAGAAGCAGGTGGGGACGGAGGGGGGCGGCGGAGGGCTGGCCCGGGACCACTGACCTTAACCCCGACCCACTGGACACTTTTCTGAAGCCGCATCCCCCACAGGACAGACTGCGGAGGGCCCTTGCTTCTGCCTGAGAGCTGACCACCCTTGAGCTCTCCCCCCAGCATGCTGAAGCAAGGAGGGGAGGGTGGCAAGAAGCGATGTAAAGTTAATAACCTGGATGCGTGTAAAGAAGGGGTGGGGGCTGGAGTCTTATGTGATACGTTCCGTTTTCAAATTCTGACACTTAACTGAAAATTGCAACAACATCACGGGAACAAAAAACACCACTGGTTTGCACCCTCTAAGTGAGATTCCGACAAGCAGAATGGGTGCAGGAGGGCCCTCCAGCCCACAGACGGGAGCCTGCGGTCAGACAGCAGGGAGTGGCTTATAAAGGCAGGAGTTTGGGGAGGTGGGAGGTCCCTGAGCAGCCGGCTTTCCCCTCGAAGGGCAGGCAGTAGGGAGCTGTGGGCAGGTTGGGCATGGTGAGCTCGGTGATGGAGGGGGGGTGTGGCCCTGGGCCGGACCGAGCCTTCCGCCGCCCCCTCCAGCGGTACCTGGATGAGGCCGAACGGGAGAAGCAGCAGTACATGAAGGAGCTGCGCGCGTACCAGCAGTCCGAAGCCTACAAGATGTGCACAGAGAAGATTCAGGAAAAGAAAATCAAGAAAGGTGGGAAGGGACCCAGCCCCTCAGGCAGCTGGGTCCGGGCTCTGAGTCAGGTGACCCGGGCAGACCGACCCGCCCTCCATGGGACTCACAGCCCCATGAAGATGAGAGACCCCCCTAACCAGACAGCTGTGAGTGAACAGGGTCCGCCGATGCGGACATGGGGGCACACAGACACTGGGGAGCCTAGGCAGGAGCCTGTCCCAGGATGAGTGGGCTAACTAGTGGGGGGAAGGGTATTCCAGGCAGGGGGAACGGCACTTGCCAAGCAATGTGCGGGGTCAGAAGAGACCAGCCAGGCTGATCCTGCCCTCCTCCCTCCCTCACTAGAAGACTCGGGCTCTGGGCTCATGAATACCCTCTTGAATGGACACAAGGTAAGTGCCCCTCCTCCAAGGACAGTGGCTGGGCGAGAAAGGTCTGGAGGGCTTTAGACGCCTGGGTGAGCCAGAACCAACTCTCACCGGAGGAAGCGAGTGGCCTCCTCCAGGCCACAAGCGGAGGTGGGGGAGCCGCATCGTGGGGATGTTGTTAAAAGGACTTCGACCCAGATCGCCAGAGGGGTTTTGGCTGCCCTCCCCCCCAAATCGTCACCTTGTCCTGTCATCCCAGGGTGGGGACTGTGATGGCTTCTCCACCTTCGACGTCCCCATTTTCACTGAAGAGTTCTTGGACCAAAACAAAGGTGAGCACCGATCAGGGGTTCTTGGGGAGGCGGGTGCTGGGAGAGGGGGCGGGCGGGCAAAGGCGGGAGGTGGCCGCCGGGGGGATCTACCTCTCCAAGCCGAGGTGCCCACGACCCGCACCCCCCTCCCCCGGAGCTGGGGCGTGGGGCTGGAGGCAGAGCAGTGGCAGACGGCCTGGCAGGGGGACACAGCTGGGGCACAGGCCGGGCAGAGGGAAGGGAGGGCGCGCCAAGGCTCTGATCCGGCTCCCCCACGCCGCAGCGCGGGAGGCAGAGCTGCGGCGCCTGCGCAAGATGAACGTGGCCTTCGAGGAGCAGAACGCCGTGCTGCAGAGGCACACGCAGAGCATGAGCAGCGCGCGCGAGCGCCTGGAGCAGGAGCTGGCGCTGGAGGAGCGGCGGACGCTGGCGCTGCAGCAGCAGCTCCAGGCGGTGCGCCAGGCGCTCACCGCCAGCTTCGCCTCGCTGCCCGTGCCGGGTGCGGAGGCCCCGCCCCGGCCCCGGCCCCGCCCTTTATCCTCCGAGCCCCGCCCCGCTGGCTCCACCCCCAGCTGCTGCGAGCCTGGAGCCCCGCCCCCTGCCGTCCGACTCCCGGCTGCGAATGACCCCTCCCCTCCCAGAGCCCTGCGCCCGCCTGCCCTGCCCCCCACCCGCTCCTCCCCGGCTTTCTACGCTCCGGCCTGAGCTGACCTCCGCCACCTCCTCGCCCATTTGCCCCCGTATCCCCCACCACGACCTCGCGCTCACCACTTTCCATTCCCGCAGCCGACCTTGACTCTGCTGAGTCTAGACGTCTTGGTTCTCCCACCCGACCCCACTGACGCGCCGCGCCTTTGGCCCCCTCCCCGGGACCCTGCCCTTGCAGACCCCCGCTCTCTGACCTCTGCTTCTGAGGATCCCCGCCTTCGTGGCCTGCCGCGCTGGGCTCGCGTGACCGGCCCCTTCTCTCCAGGCACGGGCGAGACGCCCACTCTCGGCACCCTGGACTTCTACATGGCTCGGCTGCACGGCGCCATCGAGCGCGACCCCGCCCAGCACGAGAAGCTAATCGTCCGCATCAAGGAGATCCTGGCCCAGGTCGCCAGGTGTGTGGCGGGGCGAGTCCCCGGGCTCTGCTCAGCCCAGGGGGGGCGGCCCGCGCTGGGCTTGGGGGGCTGCCTGGGGCTAGACTTGCCTTGGCGGGTCCCATGGAAAGGACTGGATTTCACTCTCCAACGTGGCTCCCGGAGTCTGTGGGCGCTTCCGGGTGGGATCCGGCTGTGGGTTCTTACTCCGAGGCCACCGCCCACAAGGGATCTACCAGGTGGGGCCTATTCGTTGCAGGGGCCAGCGGCCCGACCACTGGGGGGCGCTGAGGAGACCCGGTAGCTAGGTGGATATACCCGTCCCCCTTGACCGGTGAGATCCAACGCAGGGAGGAGGGGGGCGGGGACTAGAACTTCCTACAGCTGCTCGCTGGGTGGATTAGGTGCGATCGACCCCAGACCCCCACCGTGGCCTCTGTTTGGAAGAGCCGGGAGTTGGTCGCTGGCCTGTAGTGACTCCCCAGGATGGGCATCAGGGCTGGCAAACGACGAGGGTCTCCATGACGGGTCCCCCTCCTCTCTTCTGTCACAGTGAGCACCTATGAGGGTGTCCGCCGCCCCATGGATCCAGAAAAGACCAAGCTCCGGTCGCGGCCCCTTCTCCACCCCATGGAGGAGGATTGGGGGTCCACCCTTTGGGGCCATGCCTAATCCTGCACCTTGGGGGCTCCAGCCCCCCTCAAATTAAATTTCTACAGCATCCCTCTAGCTTTCAACTTCCCCAGCACCCCGAGCCCAGAAAAACCACCTGCTGTATGAGGCCGGTCTAGAACCCACAACCCCGAGGCCCAGCAAGGCCTGCTCCCCCTGCACATTACACTACAGGGACATGGGGACACCACACGTGGGCCGCGCGGCCCAGGACATGGGGGCCCCCCAGCAGCGTGCACACCCCATGTGGGGAGGGGTGTCCCTGCTGCACCGCATCTTGAGGACCGAGCCCCGGGACACAGGAGAGAGGAAAACCCACCGCCGACACATCGGGACTCCCAGCAGGGGCTCCCCACAAGTGCCCCCTCACAGGCACGCAGCAGGGACAAGCTTACACTTGGGGCGGGGCCCCCTGCCTGTCCCCCTAGATTCCTGCAGCCCAGCTCTGGGGAGGCTGGTACTGAGCAACCCTCCCTCATCCAGCTGAGGGACCCTTGTGAAGGCAGCCTCCGCCTTTGCTCAATCGGGACTTTTTAAATAAAAAAAAAAAAGTGGAATTTAAATTCTAGGTTTGTGACTCTTTGGGGGGGAGGGCAGAGGTGGGCTAGAAGACGTGGCCCCCAAGATGGCCCTGCGGGGTGTTCCAGACCTGCCCTCCGCCAGCTGTGGCAACCACTAACCCACTTAACCGTCTGGATTTGCCTGTCTGGACGCTGCTTGTGCATGGGGTCACATGCTCTGTGGCCTTTTAGGTCTGGTCCCCTCCCCGAGCGCCCACAGGCCAGTGGGTGTCGATGCCTTGTTCCTCGTGGCGGCTGAGTAACACCCCAGTGTGTGGATGGACCCCACGTTTAAACATTCGCCCGCTGGTGGACATTCTGGGTGTTTCCACCTTTTGGCCACTGTGAATCCAGCCGTGACCGTGTGCGTACAGGTGTTTGAACACCTGCCCGGGGCCTGGGGCTTCTCCCCGGGGGTGGAATTGCCCGCTCCCGCGGTGCCGCCGCGCTTCACTCTCTGCAGGATCCTCTCCGAGACTTTTCGCCTAACGGAATATTTAAGACATCTTAAAACTTTGGGAGGATAATTTGACCAACACCCGAATCATGGATCGAATCATGTTCCCTCAAAAGATACGCTGGAGCCCTAACCCCCGTCCTCAGAATGTGACCTTATTTGGAAATAGGGTTGTTGCAGCAGATATAATTAGTCAGGATGAGGTCACCCTGGACGGGGGGGGGGGGGGGACCCTGGTCCAATATGACTGGTGTCCGTATAAGAAGATGAAGATGCGGACACAGGCTCAGGAGACAGCCACGTGACCACAGGGGCAGAAAGGGGGAAATTACAAGCTGCCAAAAAGCACTATGAAGCGCTGGCCACCCCCAGAAGCTGGGGTGCCAGGGAGGCTCCACTGGGGTCTGCGGGCACCGGGGGAGAGCGCGGTCCTTGCCCATAAGCTGATGTCACACTTTGAGCCCCAGAACCGAGAGAGCAAATCCCTGTTGTTTTAAGCCTCCCAGCGCGTGGTGCTTTGTCATGGTGGCCCCGGGAGACTGTCACAGCCAGATACTGTCACCTCCCCTCCCCAGGCCCCTCATCCCACCTCTTCCTTGGCACAGGTAGCCCCACCCCAAACATGGAGTTTACCAGTTGGCTCTTTCTCTCCTTTTAGCCCATAAGTATGTCTTCCTAAAATAGTTCTTGATGGGGGGCAGGGTGGGTGTCTTCGGTTTTTAAAGGCTTTAAAGTGTGCAATTCTGTGGTTTCTCGTGTGTTTACAAAGTTGTGCAATCATAAACATGCTCTAACTGGAAAACACTTCCGTCACCCCGAAGAAACCCCGGGGCGTCTGGGTGGCTCAGCGGGTTAAATGTCGGACTTCGGCTCAGGTCACGATCTCACCGTCTGTGGGTTCGAGCCCCGCGTCGAGCTCTGTGCTGACAGTTCGGAGCCTGGAGCTGCTTCCGATTCTGTGTCTTCCTCTCTCTCTCTGCACCTCCCCTGCTCACGCTCTGTCTCTTAAAAAAATAAACATTAAGAAAAAGAAAACCTGCACCTTCAGCACACACACCCCCCCCCCCCCACCGCAGCCCTTGGCAGAAACGAGTCCACATTCTGTCTGTGGATTTGTCTCTTGTGGTCATTTCACATAAATGGGATCACACACTATGTGGCCTTTTGTGTCCAGTTCTCACTAAGCATTGTTTTTCTTTCTTTCTTTCTTTCTTTCTTTCTTTCTTTCTTTCTTTCTTTCTTTCTTTCTTTCTTTCTTTCTTTCTTTCTTTCTTTCTTTCTCTTTCTTTCTTTCTTTCTTTCTTTCTTTCTTTCTTCCTTCTTTCTTTTAATTTTTTAAAATGTTTTATTTAAAAAAATGTTTATGTTTATTTTTTAGAGAAAGAGAGAGGGGGAGGGACAGAGAGAGAGGGAGACACAGAATCTAAAACAGGCTCCAGGCTCCGAGCTGTCAGCACAGAGACAGACGCAACTCATGAACCGTGAGATCATGTCCTGAGCCGAAGTCAACGCTTAACCAAAGGAGCCACCCAGGTGCCCCTATATTTTTTTAAATGTTTGTTTATTTTGAGGGGGGAGGGACAGAGAGAGAAAGAGAGAGAGAGAGAGAGAGAGAGAGTCCCAAGCAGGCTCTGCACCACCAGCAGCAGAGCCCAACCTGGGGGTTGAATCTATGAACCCTGAGACCATGACCTGAGCTGAAATCAAGAGTCAGATGCTTAACTGACTGACCCACCAGATGCCCCTCCCCCACTGCTTATTATAAGAGCCAAAATTCTTGTTGGATGCCTGCTCCCTGCCCCCGCCAGCCTCCTTCCCTTCCTTCCTTTCTGTTTATTTTTGAGAGAAAGAGAGTGAGTGAGGGAAGGACAGAGATGAGGACATACAGTCCGAAGCAGGCGCCACACTGGCAGCAGACAGCGTCACGTGCGGCTCAAACGCAGCAACTGTGGGATCATGACTTGAACCAAAGTCAGATGCTTAACTGACTGAGTCCCCAGGTGTCCCTCTTCCCCCCCTTTTTCATCTGTAAACTGGAGGTCCATTCATTTCCTCACCAAAGACTGCCTGAGGGCCTGCTGTGTGCCGGGCACTGGGCACCGGGATTTAGCTGGGGAAAAAAGAGATCAGAGCCCCTGACCTCCCGTAGCTGACCTTCCCGCTGTGGGGACAGCCAGCTGGTATATCAGTCAGGTAGTACTCAGCACCAGGGAGAAGGATCTGGGGAAAGAGATTGAGAGGTGGAAGGAGAGGCAGTATTTGACCAAGCAGCGGAGGGAGGTGAGGGAGGGAACCAGCGGATGACTGAGAGACGGCACTCTAGGCAGAAGGAACAGCATGTGCAAAGGCCCTGGGGCAGGACGGAGCCCCGCATTACAGGAAAGGCGAGGGCCCCGTTTGGCTGCTGCAGAGCGAGGAGGGGGGAGATGGGAGGAGAGGAGGGCAGGAAAGGGTTGGGATAGGTCCTGCGGGCTTTGTGGGCCTCTGGAAGGACCTGCGCTTTCCCCCCGGGGTGGGGAGGACTGAGCACTGGGGGCGGCGGCGGAGCAGAGACAGGAGGTGGCTGAGATTCTCCTGGGGTTTGTCTTCCCACCTTGTAGGTTTGTTGCAAGACAGCTGTTTTCGTCCTCGTTGGTGATCCCGGTCCTCCCCCCACCCCCCCAGGGCGCAGCTGGCCCTGGCAGCGCCCAGACACCTGGGGCCGCCCCCACCCCCACCCCGCACCCCGCGGTGTCGCCTTCCCGGGAGGCTCGGATTCCCGGATCCCCTTACCCCAGCGGCTCGGCTGACAGCCCCGGGCCGGGGGAGGGGAGGCTGCAGGAAGCGGCGGATCCGGCGGCGGCTGTGGCCCGGGCGGCCGAGCTCCTCCGGCCATGGAGAGCGCAGCGGCCCCCGCGGCCCAGGGCACCGAGGCCGCGCGCCCGCCCGCGCCCCCGCCCTCGCCCGCGGAGCCCCCCGCCGCGCCCCGCGCCCGCCCGCGCCTCGTCTTCCGCACGCAGCTGGCGCACGGCAGCCCCACGGGCAAGATCGAGGGCTTCACCAACGTCCGCGAGCTCTACGCCAAGATCGCCGAGGCCTTCGGGATCGCGCCCACGGAGGTGAGGACCCCGGAGCCCCCGCGCCAGGGGCCCACCCACCTGACCGGGTGCGGGGGGACGAGGGGCGTAGAGGTGGAGCCTGGACCCCCGGAGTGGAGGCCCCGGGTCCCCCCCCCTTCCCTGATGGAGGGGATCCGATCACCAGGTCTCAGAGACGCATCTCTCTGGTCCTGGGGCGCCCAGGCTCCAGAGACCGTCTTAACCCGCCCTGCGCAGAAGATGCGCATATCTTAGGGTTAGTGGCTGCTTGGACTGTTCAGGAGCCGCGGGACCAGCCAGGAGGGATCCCAGCCTCGGGTGGACGCCCGTGTGGTCCCTGGGCTGGTTGGGGCGGGGGTGGGGGGCGGGAGGGGGTGCTGGGGCTCCAGGCAGCCCCTTTCCAGGTGAGAAGTAGGAGGCCTCCGGGTTCAGGGGCGCGGCTGCGGGGCGGGGTGGCTCGTAGCCCCCAGGGGGCGCCCGCAGATGAAGAATCGCCTGAAAAAGTTGGTCTGGGGTGTCAGGGCACCAACGGGGTAAAACTGAAAGTTTAGGGGTGAAGGAGGGGGTCTCTTCCTGCCCACAGTCTGTCACCCCATTCTGAGGGCCCCACGCCCTGCCCTCTCCCATGGACTGGGATCCTGGTGGCTGGGCCATTAGACTAGTTGCGTGCCTCTTTGTGCCTCGGTTTCCCTCTCAGGCTCCTGAGGGCACCCCCTCCCCTGGTCTGCACAGAGGGCGAGAAGCACTGTCATTAATCCTGGGGTTCCCCTCCCCTCGGGACAGATCCTATTCTGCACCCTAAACAGCCACAAAGTGGACATGCAGAAACTTCTGGGCGGCCAGATCGGGCTGGAGGACTTCATCTTTGCCCACGTGCGTGGCGAGACCAAGGAGGTGGAGGTCACTAAGACGGAAGATGCCCTGGGGCTGACCATCACGGACAACGGGGCCGGCTACGCCTTCATTAAGGTGCCCACGCAGGGAGGGTGACTGCCCGGGCGCTCCGGGACCTGGGATGAGCCACCGCCCCTCTCTGGTCTCACTGGGCTCTGGGGAGCTGCCTGGGGGGGGGGGGTGGCCCCCTGAGTGACTCTGGGTCCCCGCAGAGGATCAAGGAAGGCAGCATCATCAACCGGGTCCAGGCCGTGTGCGTGGGCGACAGCATCGAGGCCATCAACGACCACTCCATCGTGGGCTGCCGTCACTACGAGGTGGCCAAGATGCTCCGGGAGCTGCCCAAGTCACAGCCCTTCACCCTGCGCCTGGTGCAGCCGAAGAGAGCCTTCGGTGAGGCCCCGGGGCCGGGGGCGGGCGGTGCTGAGGGGCACGTCCAGAACCGTGCTGTCTGGATGCCCAGTACAGTGAAGGACGGGGGCCTCTGGTGACATGACAGGGAGCTTCCGGCACTGTGTCAGGCATAGGTGGACATTTTCTAGATTGTCACAGCCAGCCCAGGGATGGGGGAGGGGGTGGGAAGGTCGGGATGGGGCAAAGAGGTGTCTGGACCTATGCTTTTAAAATTTTTTTTTAACATTTATTCATTTTTGAGAGAGATAAAATACGAGCGGGGGAGGGGCAGAGAGAGGGAGACAGAATCGGAAGCAGCTCCAGGCTCTGAGCAGTCAGCTGGGACTCGAACAAACAATGAGATCATGACTCAAGCCGAAGTCGGACACTCAACCGACTGAGCCCCCAGGGCCCCCTGGACCTATTTTGTAACCTGGCTGGGAGCTTTCAACCTACTGCCTTTGGGCTCTGGTTCTAGAGAATGTTCTAAGTGAATTCTAGAATGGTGCATGCGACCCGGCCACGCGTCAGAGTGTCTCAGCCTGAGCACTGTGATGTTTGGGCCAGGTCATTCTCTGCGACGGGGCCGTCTTGGGCACCGTACAGTGTTCCACCCAGCAGATGCCGATGGCAACGCCAGTGTCACCTGGGGGGAAGCAGCCGCCCCGCTACCAGGCTGAGACCCTCTGCTCTGGAATGTAGACCATCCTGTTTAGGACTTTCTCAAGGACAGAACTGGCATGTCAGTTTCCATCCCGGCACCATCTTATTTCATCATGGGCTGCCCCCCCACCTTTTTTTAATGTTTATTTTTGAGAGAAAGAGCATGAGCAGGGGAGGGACAGAGAGAGAGAGAGGGAGGGAGAGGGGATCCCAAGCAGGCTCTGCACTGTCAGCGCAGAGCCTGACACAGGGGTCGATCCCATGAATTGCAAGATCATGACCTGAGCCGAGATCAAGGGCTGGACGCTAGGGGCCCCCCGGGAGGCTCAGTCGGTTAAACTTCTGACCCTGGTATTGGATCAGGTCGTAATCTCACAGTTTCATGAGTTCGGGCCCTGTCTCGGGCTCTGCAGTGAGATTCTCTGTCTCCTCCTTCTCTGCCCATCCCCCAATTGCACTGCCTCTCTCTCTGTCTCTCTCTCTGTCTCTCTGTCTCTCAAAATAAATAAACTTAGAAAAGAAAAAAAGTCAGATGCTTAGCCGGCTGAGTCACCCAGGCGCCCCTAGAGAGAGTCTTTTTTAAAAAGAGGAGCGATGGGGCGTCTGGCCTGCTCGGTCAGTGGAGCAGACGACTCGGTCTTGGGGTCATGAGTGTGAGCCCCATGCTCGCCGGACAGATTTATTTAAAAGGCTCGGCTGGTCGCTTCGGGTCGAGCCTTGGAACAAACGCCCCTCCCCCACGCAGATATGATTGGCCAGCGGAGCAGGAGCACCAAATGCCCTGTGGACGCGAAAGTGACGAGCGGGAGAGAGACCTTGCGGCTCCGTTCTGGGGGGGCCGCCACCGTGGAGGAGGTGGTGAGTGCGGGGGCGGGAGTCTGCAGGGGCTCGTGCACCGAGCACCCCGCTGACTCAGTGCGGCCTCGGGTAAGACCCTCCCCGTCCAGCCGGGTCCCCCACCTGCAAGATAGCTCCTGGCCGTGAGGCAGGAAGGCAGTGGCGGCCGGAGCCCCCACTCCTGGGAAGCCCCACTCTGCTCCCCCCGAGGGGCGGGGCCGTGGGGGGGCTGGGCGGGAAGGACCCCAGGCTTCTGACCCTCTGCCGCGCTCCTCTGTCCCCGCCCCGCCGCAGCCCACCGAATTTGAGGAGGAGGCGACCCGGAGGGTGGATGACCTGCTGGAGAGCTACATGGGGATTCGGGACCCTGAGCTGGGTAAGGGGCCAGGGTAAGCTGGGTGGACCCCGGGGGGAGGGCAGCCCCCAGGGAGGGGGCAGGGGCCCCAGGGGCATGTGGGGCCCAGGGAGCACCTCACCCACCTCCCCTCCGCTTTGGCCCCCAGCGTCCACCATGGTGGACACGGCCAAGAAGACGCTGAGCGTCCAGGAGTTTGCGCACCGTTTAGATTCCGTCTTGGGCGAGTTCGCCTTCCCGGACGAGTTTGTGGTGGAGGTGTGGGCCGCCATCGGCGAGGCCAGGGAGGCCTGTGGCTAGTCTGCCCCGGGGCCAAGCGCGGCCCCAGCCCCCAGCCCAGCCCCCTGCCCCCGCCCTCCCGGCCAGTTCCCGGAGCCCAGCCCTGCACCAGACCCGAGGCCCAGCCCCGCTCCAGAGCCCCGGCCAGCTCTGCGTCCGACTTCACCTCGAGAACCCACACCAACTTTAAGACCCATCCCAGCTCTGAGGCCAAGCCCCAGTGTAGACTCCAGGCCAGCTCTGAGGCTGGGCGCATCTCTAGAACCCAATCCACTTCTGAGACCCTACCCAGCTCAAAAACCCAGTCCCCCTCCAGGGCCCAGGCCAGCTCTGAGACCCAGCCCAGGTCCGAGGTCAAGCCTGGATCCAGAACCAAGCTCAGCCCTGAGACCCAGCCTAGCTCCAAAGTCCAGCCCTTTTCTAGAACCCAGGACAGCTCTGAAGCTAAGCCAAGATCTGAAATCAAGTCAAGTTCTGGAGCCCAGATAAGTTTCAAGACACAGCCGAGCCCTGAGATCAGCCCCATTTCTGGAAGCCAGCCCAGATCTATGACCCAACCCTGCCCTAAAACTCGACCAGACTCTGGAACTGAAGACAAGCCCATGACTCAGCCCAACCTAGACGCCCAATCGAGTCCAGGATCTCCCATTAGTTCCGGAGCCCAGGTCAGACTTAAGAAACAGCCCAGCCACAGCCACACCGGCCCAGGATTGGACGATGGCCCCCAAACCCAACTCTGCTCACGAGCCCAGATGCAAGCTGAGCTTCGGTCCAGACCCGGACCCCAGCCCTACTCTAACACCCAACTGCACTTAAGTCCCCACCCCCATCCTGGGGCCCAGTCCAGTTCCAGTGATGAGTCCAGCTCAGAGACTGAGCCCAGTTCTAGATCCCGACCGACTGCTACAACCAGGACCATCTCCAGAACTCACAGAAGCTCTGGAACCCCGTCCACCTCTGAGGCAAGGCCTGCGTCCAGAGCTCCGCTCGATGCCGAGCCCCGCTCTCACGGCCGAACGCACACCAGCTCGAGACTACCGTCAAACTCTGGGACCCAGACCAACTGCAAAGCCTGGGCAATTTCCGGAGCTCAGTCCAGCTCAGGCACACCACCCAGCTCTGGAACTCAGCTCAGTTCTGGAACACAGAGTGGGTCTGAGATCCCATCCGGCACCCAAATGCAGTGTGTTGCCGAGGCCCCCCTAAGTCCCAGAATCCAGCTAAACCCTGGAGTCCTCTCTAGCCCTGGGACCCAGACCAACTCAGCAACAGACTTACTAAACTCCACAAATCTGGCTAGTGCTGAGAGCAGACCTAGCTCCAGAACCCAGACTGGTCCAGGTGCTCAGTCAACCTCTGGGACTCAGCTCATCTCAGAAACCCTGCCAAGTTCTAGATACCAGCTCCAAGCCACAGCCCAAGGCAGCTCTGGTATTGAGCTGAACTTTGAGAAGCAGACTAGCTCTGGAACTCAGCTCATCTCTAGAGCCCAGCCCAGCTCTGGAACCCAGCCCACCTCCAGGATTCAGTTCAGCTCTGAGACCCAGCCCAACTCTGAAGCCCAGAGCAGCTCAAGAACCCAGCCTCTTTCTGGAACCCAACCAAGCTCTAGAACCCTGATCAGTTCTGGAACCCAGCTCAGCTCTGAGACCCAGCTCACTTCAGAGAGCCAGCCCAGTGTAAGAATTCAGCCTGGCTCTGGAGCCCAGTCTGGCTCCAGGATACAGTTCAGCCCTGAGACCCAGGCCAACTCTGAAACCCAGAGCAGTTCAAGAATTCAGCCCAGCTCTGGAGCTTACCTTAGTTCTAGAACCCGGCCTGTTTCTGGAACCCAACCCAGCTCCAGAACCCAGATCAGTTCTGGAACCCAGCTCAGCTCCAAGACCCAGCCCAGCTCTGGAAGCCAGAGCAGTGCAAGAATTCAACCCAGCTCTAGAGCGCAGCTCAGCCCCAGAACTCAGTCTAGCTCTGAGACCTGGCTCAGTGCTGCGATTCAGCTCAGCCCTGAAACCCAGCTCCGCTCTAGAACCAAGCTCAGTCCTAGGATTCAGTTCAACTTTGAGACACAGCCCAGCTCTGGAAGCCAGACCAGTTCAAGAACACAGCCCAGCTCTGGAACTCACTTCAGTTCTAGAACCCAGCCTGCTTCTGGAAACCAACTCAACTCCAGAACCCTAACCAGTTCTGGAACCCAGTTCAGCTCTGAGACCCAGTCTGCCTCAGAGAACCAGCCCAGTGCAAGAATTCAGCCCAGCTCTGGAGCCCAGCTCAGCTCTGGACCCCAGTCCAGACCCAGGATTCAGTTCAGCCCCGAGACCCAGGCCAACTCTGAAACCCAGATCAGTTCAAGAACTCAGCCCAGCTCTGGAACTTGCCTTCATTCTAGAACCCAGCCTGGTTCTGAAACCCAACCCAGCTCTAGAACTCAGACCAGTTCTGGAAGCCAGCTCAGCTCTGAGACCCAGAGCAGTTCAGGAACTCAGCCCAGCTCTGGAACTTGCCGTAGTTCGAGAACCCAGCCTGTTTCTGGAACCCAATCCAGCTCCAGAATTCAGACCAGCTCAAAGATCCAGCTCAGCTCTAAAAGTGGGCTCCACCCACAGATGCCTGGCCTTGACCTTAGAACCCAGGCTGATCTCACACGCTCAGCCCAACATCAGCTTCCAGGCCTGCACCCCAGAGCCCTGACTCTGGCCCCGAGCACAGTCTCTAGGCCTCAGCCCCAGCCCCATGATGGGGTACATGGAGCCCAGGCCGACATTGGCCTGAGCCAATGCCCACCAACTGCCTACGTGGCCCCTCAGCCACAGATCCCCTTGGCCGCCCGGAAACCAGCCCTCTTCCCCACGCCTCGGCTAGAACCCCAGGAGTCCGCCCCACCCACCACATCTGCCACCCCTTGTTCTGCTTCCGGGGAGCCCCTCCTGCGTTCCCAGCCCCCTGAATCCCTGACTCAGGGGCCAGCCCCCTCCCCCATGCTCAAGGAGTCAGAACCCCTCCCCCACCAAGGGGAGCTGTAGTTGGAGGATGACACTTGTGGCCTCCATGGTCCCCCCCATCCCGTCTCCTGCCCCTCCCAGCCTGGGTCCCCTGGAGGCAGCAGGTGACCTCATTCCCCCAGCAGGTTGCAGGGAGGGGGATGGGTGGTAGGGAGAGTGGAAACGGGGGCTTTAGTTTCACAGGCTCGGAGAGGTGTAAGCAGATCCCAGGGCTGTGGAGTGGAAAGCTGGGGGGGTGGGGGCTGCAGGCAGGAGGTGGAGACATGGGGAGCCGGAGGGTAACTCTGTCCTCATGTACCTCGAGGGCTCATGGGAAATAAAGGCACCTCCCACCCCTGAAGCTGGGCGTGTCATTTTTGGGGCGAGTTTGTGGGAAGGCAGAGGAAGGAACAGACACGAGAGGTTAGGGGGCTGACATGGCCCCACTGGGTGCAGCTTGAGCACCTACTATGTGCCAAGCCCTTTGCCCAGCGCTAACCAGGCGTGAGCTCTGGTAGCTGCAACCACGGGGTGCTCGGTAAAGGCTCAGCCGTCCGTTCCTTCCGCGGGTGTTTATTGAGCACTTGCTGTGGGCCAAGTGCCCTCTGTTCAAGGCCCTGGCGTCTGAAGCGGTGCTTGACCCGCTTCCGCTCTATGAGGGACTGAGCCCTGTTTGGGATGCCTCAGTCCTGCGTGTCTCCTCTCTCTTCCTCACCTGCAAATGGGTTTAATACCAGAACCCCAGGGACTGTAGGGGGATGACAGGAGGCCTGATCTACAAAGTGCTTAGTAAAGACTCAATAAAGGAGGTGAGGAGGGGCGCCTGGGGGGCTCAGTCCGTTAAGCGTCCGACTTCAGCTCAGGTCATGATCTCACGGTTCGTGGGTTCGAGCCCCGCGTCGGGCTCCGTGCTGACTGCCAGCTCAGAGCCTGGAGCCTGTTTCAGAGTCTGTGTCTCCCTCTCTCTCTGACCCTCCCCTGCTCACGCTGTCTCTCTCTCAAAAATAAAGAAAAAAAAACATTAAAAAAAAAGGAGGTGAGGAGTCAGAACTGGGCTCCCTCCTCCCACCCCTCCCGCGCACCCCAGCTCTGCCCAGGCTGCCGCCCTTCTATGGTTGAAGACTGATGCCATCTGGCCCCAGAGGGAAATAAAGCCGGCTGGTGGGGCTAAGATATATTTCGGCAAGGGGAGGGGGCGTCTTGCCTGTTCATATTTTCCAAACACAGCTTCTTCGGGTCGAGGCGTCAAAGGGAATCAACTGTACCCCAGTAAGCAGGTCACAGTCAGGGGCCCAAGAGTCCCCCCTTTCCAGAGGATTTCTGGAAGTGGAGGCTGCCAAGTCTGATTTCCTCAGACCCCCCCCCCCCCGCATGCCCGCCCACCCTTCCTGGGAGGGGGAGGGGGAGGGGCAAGGGGCTCAGGGAGGAGTCAGGGGGTCCCCAGGGCTGATGGAGGGCAGGGAGCCCGCCCTCCTGCCGGTCACGTGTCGGTCCCTCCGACGCCCCAGCTCCGTGACCCCCGGGGAGGACAGAGGTTCCGTGAGGGACACACGCTGGCTCGGCGCCCTGTCCGCCCGGCGCCCTCGGCCCTACTGCCCCGTGGGCCTCCGGGTGAGCTGGGGCTGCAGGGACAGCGACCTGGGCCGGGCGCTGAGGCGAGGGTGGAGGCGCCGGATCACGGCCCGGCGGAACAGGATGTACACCCAGGGGTCCAGGATCTGGTTCCAGGTGGCCACGCGCAGGTAGATGAGCAGCTGTTGCTCTGTGGCTCGGGACAGCTGTCCCGTCGGGCTCATGGCGGGCGGGCTGCGCAGCACCGTCTGGGCGATGAACACCTGCCGAGGGCGAGGGTCAGAGCGTTAGGGCCCCGCCACCGCCGGCCCCGCCCCTCGCCCGCAGGGGGCGCCCCTGAGACCAAGTGCGGTTCTGTCCCGCTTTGCTGTGTGACCTTGGGGGAGCTGCCTGACCCCTCTGGGCTGCAGGTGATGGAGCCAGAAAACAGCATGCTCTCCTGCCTCTGACCTGGGCACAGTTAAAATCGGTGGGAAAGGAGACCTTCGGAAACACTTCATAACTTACACAAAATGTATAATATAAAATTGTACTATAACATTGCACATTAAATACTTAATTTTTTAAGTTTATTAATTTATTTGGAGAGAGAGAGAGAGAGCGCCAGGGAGAAGCAGAGAGAGAGAATCCCAAGTAGGCTCTGCTCTGTCAGCACAGAGCCCAACACAGGGCTCAAAACTCACGAACCAGGAGATCATGACCTGAGTCAAAACCAAGAGTGCTTAACGTCTGAGCCCCCCAGGCACCCCTAAATACTTAATTTTTGTATCATATATTTATGTTAAAGTTTATATTTCATATTATTATATTTTTATAATTATTTTATGACACAACTTTATACTAAATAATTCTATATTAAATATTTATATTAAATCATTTAAGCATATTTTATTACTATTGACATTTATGCTTAACATTACATAATATATCATATAGGCTATTTACAAATATATAATACAATTAATAATTAATGTTAATTATAATATAGCATTTAAAATTATATATTGCAAGTATAATTATATAACTATAATTGATATAATTACATATAAATTATAATTCAATAACAATGTAATAATTATAGTGTACACTATATTTTGTAACTATAATGAAAATGTATATGATGTGAAGCATAATTATAATTCATATTGTGTTAAATTACTACATTAAAATAAACTATTATATTGAAATTATATTATTACTGGGGAGCCCGGCTGGCTCAATCTTAAGAGCATGTGACTCTTGATCTCAGGGTTGTGAATTCGAGCCCCAAGTTGTGTGCAGAGATTAGTTAAAAATAAAATCTTGAGGGGCACCTGGGTGGCTTAGTCGGTTAAGCGTCCGACTTTCGCTCAGGTCATGATCTCACGGTTCGTGGGTTCGAGCCCCGCGTCGGGCTCTGTGCTGACAGCTCAGAGCCTGGAGCTGCTTCGGATTCTGTGTCTCGTTCTCTCTCTGCCCCTCCCCTGCTCACGCTGCCTCTCTCTCTCTCTCTCTCTCCTAGAAATAAATAAAACATTAAAAAAATAAAAAAAAAATTTGATTTAAAAAAATAAATAAAAATAAAAATAAAATCTTGGGGTACATGGGGGGCTCAGTCAGTTAAGCCTCCCGCTTCAGGTCATGATGTCACCGTTCCTGAGTTTGAGCCCCGCGTTGGGCTCCATGCTGTCAGTGAGGACCCTGCCTGGGATTCTCTCTGTCTCCCTCTCTCTCTGGCCCTCCCCTGCTTATACTCTTTGTCTGTCTCAAAATAAATAAATAAACTTTCAAAAACAAAATAATAAAATAAAATCTTTTAAAAAATAAAATCTTTAAAACTTACATTAGGGGCACCTGGGTGGCTCAGTCGGTTAAGCGTCCGACTTTCACTTAGGTCATGATCTCGTGGTTCGTGGGTTCGAGCCCTGCGTCGGGCTCTGTGCTGACTGCCGGCTCAGAGCCTGGAGCCTGTTTCAGTCTGTGACTCCCTCTCTCTCTGACCCTCCCCTGCTCATGCTGTCTCTCTCTCTCTCTCAGAAATAAATAAAACATTAAAAAAAAAAAAGTTAAAAAAAAAACTTACATTAATATTGTCTCCTGAGCACCTAGTGTGTTCCGGGCGATGCTGAGGACAGACCGACCAGGTCCCTCGGCCGGCACAGCGTGGGGGTGACGCGGAGCCGCGGCGGAGGAGGTGTGAGGCCCGTGGAGCCCGGAGGGGGCGCCCGAGCTGCCCCAGGGGCGGTGCGCGGCCGGCAAGCGGGCCCCCCGGGGCGTCTGCAGGGCGCCGTGGGCCTGTCTTCTGGGGCGCCGGGGACCCGGGGGGCTTTAGAGCGGGCGTTGGCCGCGGGCCGGATCTGCCCTTCCACGTCTTTCTGTCTTATTTTGTTTGCTTTGTTTATTTGTCGGGTTTTGTTGTTTTGTTGAGAACGTGTTTACGTGTGTAAATAGTGGGAGAAAAAACAAAAAGGAGCATATTTGTGGCACGTGACAATGACACGAAATTCGAATCTCGGCGTCCACGGATGGAGTCCTGGGGGCGCAAGCCACGTGCATTCGTGTCCACGTTGCCTTCACGCTCGTCGACAGAGCCGAGGCTGTGACAGAGATCGTGTCTAGAGTATTTACCATGTGGCCCTTTATGGAAAAGTTTGCCCGCAAGGGTGACTTGGGAATTGTTTAATGATGCAGGGATTCTACCCGGGACGCCTCCCCCCTTCGGGCTAGCCAGCGAACTCCTATTCACGCTTCAAAGCCCCAGCTCCGATGACTCAGGGCAGGACGGAGCTCATTCTGGGTGTTCCAAGAGACTGGAGGCTGGAGGGCAGGGAGGAGAACGGAAGGGGGCGTGAGTCTGCTGGAGGCCGAGGCCAAGCCGAAGCCGAAGCCAAAGCGTGTGTTCCTCAGCGGGGTTCCAAGGAGGCTGGAGGAACCAGTTCCTGGGGTGGGTCCCAGCCACAGGCACCTATGGGTTCCCCCAGGACTGCCAGCTACAGGGCTGCGCTCCGGCTGACAGATGTGCCCTGGTCCTGTCGCCCCCACGCCCGTCTCGTGGATCTGAGGACATGTGTGTTCTCCAGTATCATCCTTACTACGCACTGGGTGGCACCTGAGTCAGGTCCCGGCCCCCTCTGCCCGCAGTCCTCCAGGGCTTCCCCCTCCCTGGGGTAGAAGCCCAATTTCTCCCCTCAGCCCCCAAGGCCCTCCATGACCTGTGCCCCCCCCCCCACTCTGTTCCAACCACACAGGCCTCCTGGCTGTTCCTCCAACACACTAGGCAGGGTCATGCCTCAGGGCCTTTGCATGGGCTGTGCCCTCTGCCTGGAATGCTTTTGCCCTCAGATCTCCACACAGTTTACACCTCCACCATCTTTGCTCAAATGTCACCTCCACCAAGAGGTCCCTGATCCGGATCTGCCCTCCAGCCTGCAATCTCTTGGGACAGACACCCAGAACGGGCCCTGCCCTGCTCTGAACCCTTGAGCCGGGCTCTGAAGCATGGGTAGGAGTTTAACTGCTAGATAAAAACCAGGAAGCGTCAGAGGTAGAATCTCCGTGAATCATTAAATGACTCCTGAGTCCCCTTTGGTGACAAACTTTTTTTTTCTTTTTTTCTTTCTGTGACAGACTTTTTCTTAAAGGGCCGTACAGTAAGTATCTGAAACGCGGTCTCTGTCACAGCTAAGCCCTCTCGCGTGAAAGCTACATGAACCTAACGGGTGCGGCCGTGTTCCAGCAGGGCTTTATTTCTGGATGCGGAAGTGTGGACGCCGTGGCATTTGCGCGCGTCACAAAATATGCGTCTTCGTACCTTTTCTCTAACCATTCACATATGTGAGACATTCTCAGCAAAACAAAACAAACACCAACGCAAAAGAACAAATTCGCAATCTTTCCGTTTGCAGATTTTTGGGTTTTTTTTTTTAAGATTTTTATTTTTAAGTAATTTCTACACCCAACGTGGGGCTTGAACTCACAATCCTGAGATCAGAAATCGCGCACTCGCCGACGGGGGGGAGCAGTCTAAGTTTACGGCCTGCCTGCCCCGCTGGCGAGAGCTCCCAGAAGCAAAGGATCCCTGCTGGGTCCTCCATGCCTCGAGCGGAGCCTGGAACACAGCAGTCACTCCGGACGTGTTTGTTGAAAGAACAAATGAGTGAGTGAGTCCACTGCACCTGACACCGAGGCTGGAGGAGGGGAGCCGGGGGCCACAGTCACGGCAAGTCCCTGTGGGACACGGGTGGGAAACCGAGGCTCTGACTTTAGATGCCAGACTTGTCCCGATAGAACAGAAATGGAAAGATAGCCACCCCGAACGGCACATTTACACCAATCAGTGGCAGGACTTGAGCCAACCTTCCCTGACTCGGAAAATCGGGGTAGGCCTGGGTTTCAGCCCAGAACTAGGCACAAAGTAGACTCAGGAAATGTTTGATGATTCAGTGAGACCACCTAGGATGTCTTCATTGGTTTTGTTTAGTAAGCAAACTCCTATTCATCCTTCAAAACCCCAGCTCCCATGCCCCTCCTCTGGGAGGCCTTCTCTGATACACCAGATAGAATCTCGGAGCCCCTCCCCGGGCATCCCAGTCCTGCCCCTGGTTTGGGGTTATCTGCGCCTTGCTCGTGAGCTTCTCGAGGCAGGACACCTGAACCCTGGGGTCTGTGACCACATTTTCTTGGGTGGGTGAGAACCTGGAGATTTAAATCCTTGTGGATGAACTGAAGCCCAGGCACCGGGAGCGGCAGGGACCCCGAGCAGACCCCTCCCCGACCACAGCCCGACGGCCACTCACCAGCAGCGGCATCCAGCAGATACTGGCCACCACCATGATGCCCGTGAGCTGAGCCATCATCTCGACCTCGCAGTCCCGTGGGCGCTGCTGGGCGGCCTCCTGCCCGTGGTAGACGTGGCACAGAGTGGCCACGCTGACGGTGTTGAGCAGGAAGGACAGTCCCACCGAGAAGCTGCCAAGGAGCGAGAACAGCAGGCCGAAGGCCACGTCCCCCGGCTGGGCGCCGAGCGTGAGGAAGCACCAGGAGCCGGGGTACTGCACCGTGTAGCGGCCCACGCCGAGCAGGGGCAGCAGGCCCAGCGCCAGCGCCGAGCCCCACACCAGCCCCACCGTGGCCCAGGCGCGGCGCTGGGAGGCGGCCGCGGGCCGCGAGAAGGGCCGGGTGATCCCCAGGTAGCGCTCCGAGGCCATGGCGGTGCCCAGCCACAGCGGGCAGAGGCCGAAGAAGACCATGATGACGCCCATGAACTGGCAGAGGCGGCAGCCGGGGTCCACGGCGCGCCAGTCGAAGAGGATAGCGTGCTGGGACACCACGATCACGCCGGTGACCAGCAGCCCCATGAAGTCGGTGAGGACCAGGCCGCAGAGGAAGGTGAGGAAGGAGGAGCGGGCGTGCGAGCCCCCCTGCCGCGCCCCCGCCAGCACGCTCAGGGCCAGCAGGTTGGACGCCAGGCCCACCAAGCAGAAGGAGGCGGCAAACCAGGGCGAGGCGATCAGCCGCCGCTCCTCCAGGGTGATGTTGGTCGGCCGGAAACAGGGCCCCGGAGAGCTGCCATTGGGCCACATGGCGCCAGAGTGGAGCGGAGAGGGTCACCACCCCATGGGGCCGAGGCTGCAGTGGGGACAGCTGGTGGGGACAGCCGGCGCAGGCTCAGGCACACCTGGGGGGGCAGACAGAAGATTTGCTGGTGAGTCACTCTGCACTTAAATCTGAGTGGGCCTGGCGAACTCCTACACAAGCTGCAATGCCCCAGCTCAAATGTCCCTCTTTTTTTTTAAATTTATTTTGAGAGAGAGAGAGGGAGAAAGAATCCCAAGCAGGCTCCGCTCTGTCAGCCCAGAGCCTGACACGGGGCCTGAAACCACCCACGGACGGTGAGATAATGACCTGAGCCTAAATCAAGAGTTGGACACTCAGCCGACTGAGCCACCACAGCGCCCCAGATAACCCCTCTTTGAAGAAACCTTCCCTGACTTCCCTCACTCTGGTACTGTTACTACTAGTGGTAGTGCTGCTCTCCCTCCCCCTCCTCCTCCCTCCTCCCCCTTCCTCCTCCCTCCTTCTTCCTCCCCCTCCCTCCTTCTTCCTCCCCCTCCCTCCTTCTTCCTCCCCCTCCCTCCTTCTTCCTCCCCCTCCCCCCTCCCCCTCCCTCCTCCCCCTCCCTCCTCCCCCTCCCTCCTCCCTCCTCCCTCCAACTCTCCTGCCCCAGTCGCCGTGACCCTCAAGGGCGAGGACCAGGCCTATCTCCTCTGTGGCCCCTGGAGACTAGTTAGGATTTTCCGGGTCTCAGAAGAGAACCAAGGGGCCCTGCGTTTGAACGGCCGCCCCGGGCACCCCCGGTGGGTGACTTCTTCTGCCCGGGCCCCACCGCCCCCTGCTCGCCACCCGTCCGAGCCTGTAGAACCAGGATGGACTTCAGCCACGGGGAGGCTGGACGCGCCCAAGGTGAGGACGGCGGCCGGAGGTGCCCGGTGCCGGCCGAGGTCGGCCTCTGGGCCACAGTCCGTGACGCGTGCACGGTGGGGGCCTCACACCTTCCACGCTCCGGGGTGATGCTTCTTCACACGTGTTGCAGTCGTGCGGATTCCCGCTCCCCCCGCCCCCCGTTTTCATGGCATTGTTTTTATAATTAGAAATAAGCCCAGAAATCCAGCTGCATTCTGGGAACAGAAACACAGCTCCAAGGGGTGACAGACTCCCTAGGGACGGGCTATAAATGGCAGTGAGAGGACCTGGCACTCGCTGTGGGGCCGGGGGACGACACTGGAGACCTCTGGGCCTGACTTCCGCGAGTGTGGACGAACAAGTACACCAGATGTGGGGACATCAAGTAGTCAAGTAGAAATGAAAGGATTGTTCAAAAAACGGCTCCCACTTCCCCAAAAGACGGGAAGTCTCCCTGTATGGGCAGCGGGGGTCCCCGGGGCGGGGCGGGGGGAGAGCAGGTGAAGGCGGGCAGACGAGAGAAGCCCAGAGATGCCAGGCAGGGAAAGCTCATAACGGTCCTACCATGATACCCATTTTGTAGAGGGGGCAAATGGAGGCACAGACATTAAATCTCCCGTCTGAGGTCCCACAGCCTGGCCTGAGTTGATCTGAAGTATAAATCCAGGTCTTGTTACATATAAATGATTCAAGGGCTTGTCAATCAGATGGGGGGTGTGCAATGGAGGTTTTCTTTAAGGGATAGAATTTTCTTTTTTTTTTAATTTTTAAATGTTTTATTTACTTTTGAGAGAGACAGGGTGCAAGCGGGGGAGGGGCAGAGAGAGGGAGACACAGAATCGGAAGCAGCTCCAGGCTCCGAGCTGTCAGCACAGAGCCCGACGCTGCGCTCAAACCAAAGAACCACGAGATCTTGACCTGAGCCAAAGTCGGACACTCAACCGACTGAGCCCCCAGGCGCCTCAAGAGAAAGAATTTTCTAAACCTCCGGTCAGAGCAGCCTAGAACCCGGGCTTTGCTGCGTACTCTCTCACTAACCCTGGTTTTGTGGCCCTTCCTGTAATGGGGCTGATGATGGGAATGAGTGAGTCTGCGAACAGGGCTCAGGGCCCTGTGGGTGTCCCCGGGGTGGTGGCCGGCCCGCCCTCCCCATCTGAATCGCCGTGCTGGCCCGGCCCCTCTGCTCAGCGACTCCTTATCGAGCCTCATAAATTACCCAGCTCCTGACAACCTCACGCAGCTTCCCTCCCGGGCCGAGCGCCAAGGCCCCCACCTCGGCCGTGGGGTGGGGCCTCCACTGGGAAAACTGAGGCCCGGGGAGAAGTGGGTCCAGCAGCACGACGGGGAGGGGAGGCTGGGGGGGGGGTCCTTTCCACGGTGACCCGCAACCTTCCCCTCCACGGCAGGGCAGGGGTGTGCGCTCTGCTCTCACAGATTTAGCCTGTCTTTGGATTCCCCTTGGGACGGGGCACTCTCTCCCTCCAGAGCTGGTATGCACTGTTTCTGGACATTCCTGGGACTTGCGCTGTGCCTGCGGCCACTGACCTAACCCCAGCCCAGAGCGGACACTGGCTGGGGGCCCCTCCCGCGTCCACAGCCCCAGCCCTGCGCGGGAGCTCAGGCGCGGCTGATCCAACTGCTGATTCACCCCGAGACCGCCTCACGCCTGCCATGGCTGGGACCAGACCTGTGACCTGGAGCACTTGGCTCCCGGGGGGGGGGGGGGGGGGGGGGGGGGGGGGGGGGGGGGGGGGCTGGAAACTGGCGCGACTCCCTCTGGCCACAGCCTCCGGTTTCCAGTCCCCTCGGGGACACGTGCAGGTGATAGCTGCTTTCTCGAGTTCCCCAGGCAGCCACGCCAGCCCAGCAGGGGCACCTGGCAAAGCCTCTCGTCCCCCCCAAGACTGGATGGGAGGGGATGGAAGGGCCCTCGCTCTGCAGGGACCTGTCCTCACCAGGGCGCGAGGCCCAGAATCAGCACAGTGTGGCCCGTGGGAGAATCCATCTTCCTCTCTGTGCCTCGTGGGAGGCATGAGCCTAGATTTGCTAGACTAGACAGATTCAGGATTCCATGGCCCAAGAGACGAGAGGTCTGGGCCCTGAAGGACCAGGGCTCTGGAATTCTAACAAGCTCCTGGCTCCAGAACCCACAAGGCCTCGAGTCTAGAATGCCAAGGGGCTGAGGTTCTAGAACTTTTTTAAAAATGTTTTTTAATTTATTTCTGAGAGAGAGAGAGACAGACAGACAGTGTGAGCAGGGGAAGGTCATAGAGAGAAGGAGACACAGAATCTAAAGCAGGCTCCAGGCTCTGAGCTGTCAGCACAGAGCCCGACACGGGGCTCAAACCTATGAACTGTGAGATCATGACCTGAGCCGAAGTCAGTTGCTTGACCAACTGAGCCACCCAGGCACCCCAAGGTTCTAGAACTTTGATGGGCATGTGGCTGGGTCCTGGATTCCAGAACCTCCGTCTCAGCTCCTGGCTCCTTCCTGGAGGACGGACGCTCAGCTGTGGTCAGCCCACCCGGGTGAGGCCCCCCGAGCCTGGGGCGCCAGCCCTCCCACGCCCAGCCCCCCACGGAATGCAGTCTCCGTTCCCAAGTCCGAGCCCCTCCTCTGCCTGTGGGTGGCTCTCCTCTCCGAAGAGCCAGCCATCTCTCAACACGACCCTCTTCCACTCGACACCTCACACCCTGGCTCGAGAGGCCGCCTGGCCCCACGCCCAGGCGCTCCCGGGCTCCGCGGGGGCGACGCTGACCTCTGACGGGCTCCCTGGAGTCCTGCGCTGGCGGTCAGCAGTGCCTCAGTGTCCCCCTCTGTGAAACCGGGACATGAGTCTCCTGCTGCCGTTCTGGCTGATTTCCGGGCCTGACCTGCTCCCCTCCGGCCTCCGCCTCAGCTGTGCCCCCGCCCGCTGAGCCTCCTGCGCTCCTGGGGCGGCCCCAGCACGTTTGCTAAGGGCTCTGAGGGCCATCTAGGTGACCAACAACGTCACCCTTTGCTGCCACACTGCAGGGACGAGTGTCACGCCAGGCCTGATGCAGACTCGCAGCCCCCGGGGGACCCCTCCGCAGACACAGGCCCTGCACACACACGTCGGTCCCCAGGCCTCCCCTGCCTCCCCTCACCATACCATGAGGCTTAATTTCCGGGAACTTTTCCTGTTTGTGACACCAACCCGGCCCCCACCCCAAAGGGTGTGAAGTGGGGCCTCCACAGTCAGCCCCTCTAGGTCTGAGCCCAGCTTCCGCCCTGACTGCTCCCCATGAGCTTCAGTTTCTGTCTCGGTACAGTGGGTGCCCTCCAAGGACGTGCCGGGAGAGGCCTGGGGGCCTTGGCTGTGGCTGAGGACGGGCACTGAGTTACAGCGACCGTACCGACGTGCGGTGAGACGGACCACGGCCTGAGCACACACATGGCACAGACACTGCTCGCCGCCTCGCCCAGCGCCTTGCACGACCCCCCTCACTCCCCCTCCCCGCTCCCCTGGCGGCACCACCGAAGGACCCTGAGCGCCCGCAGGCTCCCAGGGAAACACACATGCACACCCTGGGCCACAGCGGGCCAGACGGCAGGGACGCGAGGCACCCTCAGTCACAGACCTGGCCCCAGCAACGCCCCAGGACACCCAGCACCTGGCGGCCGGGGGACACACCCACGGCGGGGCGGGCCGCCGCAGGACACACGCGGGCCACTCACGCCCCGCCCCTAACCTGGCGGGCCGCCTCACCTGGACACGCTGCTGATCGGTGGCACGCGCTGGGGTCGCCCCTGTCGCACAGCCCCGAGGGCGGACGTGCGGGTGAAGGGCTCAGGCCGGGGAGGGCGGAGCGGGGAGCAGGGGGGCCGGGGCGCCCGGGGCAACCGAGTCAAGGCCGGGCGCGGGATGCACCGAGGACTCCGGCGCGGCCCCGTCTCCGCAGGGCACGGCTGGAGGACGCGGCGGCTCAGGACGCCGGGGTGCGCGAGGACCTCAGGGCTGCAGGAGGGGCGACGAGTCCTCCCCGCCTGGGAGCGGGGTCCGCGGGGGCTAAAAATAGCCCAGGACGGGGGCTCCGCGCAGCAGCCCGCGCCCTGCCGGTCCCTGCGTGTGTCTCCTGCGTCTCTTCCCGGCCCCTCCCCCTGGCGCTGGCCACGCCCCTCCGGCCTGGGCTGGCCGATGGGGGTCAGTGGGCGCCCCCCAGACGGCCGGGGACCCTGCTCGGCCCCCTGGGCGTAGGCACAGGGATGCGGTGGCCGGGGCCCTCTCGGGAGACTGTAGCCTGGGCCCGCCCCTAGCCAGGCCCCTCTGCGCTCCTGCCGCCAATCCTCACATTATTCACCATCTGGGCAGCACCCAAGATCGGGAGGGGCCGCCCCCCTACCCCAGGCCGAATCAGGCCCCGAGGGGCCCAGAGCTCTAAGTTCGTGAACCTGGTGGGGCTGGGTGGGCCTGGCACACAGTAGGTACCTAATCCACGCAGGGCCTGTTTGTTGGGGGGATCCTGCCGAGACAGGCTTTCCTGGAGCAGGTCGGTGGGCCGGGTGGGTCCTCACATTCCAGGGGAGGGGCCCGTGAGGACCAGGCCAGGAGGTGGCAGTGAAGCCAGAGCAGGGCCAGCCCCCGTGGGAGATGGAGGGGGAGGCCAGGAACAGCAAGCAGAGCTTGGCAGGGGGCTCCCAGGCAGGGTCCACTTCCTTGAAGACCCCCGGACCCAGGGCTCTGGGCCAGGGTCTCCGCAGCCACAAAGGCAGAGGGTGACCAGGCTGGAGGTACACTGTGCTAGTCAGTCTTTGGGGGGGCAGGGCGCCCGCGGGCTGGGGGATGGGCCTCGGGGCTGCGTGGAGGGGTCACCCTCGCTGGGCCCGCGTCAGGGCCCGGAGTGGGCCAGGACCGGCTGGTTTGGCCTTGACCCTGCCCCACCCAGAGCTTGGGTGTCTGGGAGCGAGGCCTGAGGTCGGGCTTGAGTGAGGACAACGGCTCCGCTGCTCTCCCACCATCCTTCCGGCCTCCAAGCCTTCACTCACACCCAGCAACCTTCCAGAAGGCCCCTCCCCTGCCCTATCCTATGGTCCGAGGCCAGAGGCAGTTAGCCCATTAACTCTAACTAATCCTCCTTGGTAGGGGGTCCCTGCCTGCTCTCCGACCTTCCCTCCGACCCTGCTCAAGTGCAATGCTGAGTCCCAGCCCATATGGCAGGACAACTTTGAGTCAGACCTGCCCTCAAGAATGCCCCCCCCACACGCCCAGCCCCCCAGCCCCGGCTGGAGAAAGATGGAGCTGGACACACACACAGCCTTCTGTGGTCAGGCAGGGCTTAGCGGAGCCCAGAGGTGAGCCAGGCAGGCGTTCTGAGGCGGGGAGGTGCGGGCTCTGGGGCTCTGTGGGATGAATAGGAGTTCCCCGGGTCTGAGAGACACGGTGGAGGCAGACACTCCCTGTTTAAAACTTCAGAGATGACAGCTCGAGGCTGCTGGGAACTGCAAGGCAAGCAGATGTGACGGAGAGGGTGCGGAGCGGGGCTAGAGGTGGCGGGGACTCAGGGAGGCTGTCCTCTCCCCACTTCCTCTGGCCCGAGATAACAAGGGCAGCGTCCCTTCTGGGAAACGGCCACAGCACGCGTCGGAGGAGGGCACTTAACTCGCATTTCGTCCGGGCCTCGTGGCAGCTCCTCAAGGCAGCGGGGAAGATGCTCCTTGTGAAGACGGGGAATCTGGGGCGCCGGGCTGGCTCCGTCGCTGGAGCGCGCAACTCTTGATCTCAGGGTTGTGAGTTCGAGCCCCACACTGGGTGTAGAGATGACATTGAAAAAAATCTTAAAAAAAAAAAAAAGACGGAAACTGAGGTGCGGAGGGAAGAAATGATGTGTCTACGGCCTCATGTGGGTGGGACGTGAACATGGGCTCCGGCTTCCACCACCTCCCATGCTCCCTCCCTGACCCCGCCCTGCTCAGCCAGGGAGGCCTGGGGGGAGCAGCAGTGGGAAGAGAGGCCAGGCTCAGGACGTGCCCCCCGTGGTTGTGGTTTCCGGTGGGGCCAGGAAGGGAGTGTCTATTCTTAGTGTCCACAGCCAAGGGCGGAAAAGGACCGGGTTGGGGGTGGGGGCAGCTTAACATGCTGGGTGGACCCCGGGCCAGGGTGGTGCCTCCTACCTGCCTGAAGGGTCTCCCTGACCCCCAAGAGGGGCCCTGTGCGGCTCACTCGTCAGCTGGGGCTCCCCAGGGCCCCGGGGAGGGTCCGGGTCCGAGGTTTGCGGTCAGCCCTGCTGTGACCCCACCCTGGGCTCACCTGCAGCCCCGCCCCGCCCAGCACCTAGGACCCTTTCCCGGGAAGCCTTCTGTGTTCCTTCTGGGGTTCCCCAGACCCACGGCCTGCCCCCGCCTCAGCCGGACTCCGGGGGGTGGGGCATGTCTGAGCCTGGCCCTCCTCCCCCCACCGGACTGGGGGCCTGGCTCCAAGCACGCACCTGGCGACTAGGGGTGGGGGGCATGGCCACTTTGTTCCCCCCCATGCAGCCGTCTCCCCCCGGGGTCGACCCCCACCGGGACTGCAGAGAGGGTGTGAGGACCTGGGACTCCCCGGGGAGCAGATGGAGAAACTGAGGCTGGGACACGGGCGGCGGGCTTCTCCAAGCTGCAGGAACCTGGACCCGGGTTCTGACCCCGAGCACCGCTCTCTGGTCTGAAGACGTGGTTTTGCTCCTCGTGAGCAGAGCCCTGCTGCGTGGAGCGGGGCGAGGCCCGGACACGCCTGCCACGGCACTTACCCATCCTGAGAGCAGGCGGTCAGCTGGCGCCAGAGCCTCCGGGGCCTGGCCCACTCAGCCCTGCTCCAGGGGCCTGTCCTGAGCTCGGGGACGGTGGCGCCGGCCAGGATCCACGGGTACCAACTGCTCGGATCCACAGGGGATTCTGAGGCTGCTCCGACCGCACAGTTGATCGGTGACGTCTGTCAAGGCCTCTGAAGGGGATGGACGTGCTCTGTGCGATGCCACGACTGGTGGCCTCACTGACCTAGACCACGGTCTGCGGCTCGGGGACACACTCCCTGCTGCGTCACAAGACCTGCTGCCCGGTGACCTTGTGTGAGGACATGGTTGGGAGCTCCCGGGGCCCGGGGAGGGCACCATGGGCACCGGGCCGGATGGTTGCCTGTCGTGAGGGCGCTCTGGGCACCATGAGGGTGGTTGTTGAACAGCATCCCTCCAACCCCACCCCAGTCCTAAGGACCACTGATGTCCCCAGACGTCCCTGTCACCCCTTGGGGCTTTGGAGGACAGCTACTCGTCCAGCACCTGCTCCTTATGGAGGGGGAGGGGCAGGAAGGCCTGAGGGCTTCAGGAAGCTTCCTGAGGGGCTACTGCTGACTAGTTCTCAGGATCGTGGCTATTTTTAAAGGGTCTTTCTCGGGGTGCCCGGGAGGCTCAGTCGGTTAAGCTTCCAACTCTGATTGCAGCTCAGGGCGTCTGGAGTCTGGGCCCCATCAAGCCCTGCGCCGACGGCTCAGAGCCTGCCTGGGCCTCGGTCTCCCTCTGCCCCTCCCCCGCTCGCTCTCAAAATAAATAAAACAAACGTTTAAGAAATAAGAAAGCAGGGGCGCTTGGGTGGCCTAGTCGGTTAAGCGTCCGACTTTCGCTCAGGTCATGATCTTGCGGTTCGTGGGTTCGGGCCCCGCGTCGGGCTCTGTGCTGACTGCCAGCTCGGAGCCTGGAGCCTGTTTCAGTCTGTGACTCCCTCTCTCTCTGACCCTCCCCTGCTCACGCTATCTCTCTCTCTCCTAGAAATAAATAAAAATATTAAAAAAAAAAAAAGAAATAAGAAAGCAAATAGATAAAAGGCCTCCTTGCTGTGATGTACGCCACCGGGGCTCCACGGATTAACGGACTGACGGCGGGGCCGCCGCTCTGCAGAGCTTCTGAGAATCTAGAAGTATTCTAAAATAAAGCGTTTATTAAAAAAACATGCAACTCCATGAATGGACGAATTAAGTGAAAATAAGATATTTCCCCACACCTAAAAAAAGTCATTTTAGAGAAACCACCTAAAATATTTCCAGATGGAGCAGGGCGCCTGGGTGGGCCGGCCGACGAGCCTGGGTGGGGTGGGGGTGGGGGGCCCTTACGAGGAAACGTCTCTTTGTAACAAAACGCTGGAAGCAACGTTTCTGGGGTGCCCCCATCCCCCCCAGCCCGCCACCCGGAGGCGCCGCACCTGTCGGGCCGCAGGGACGCGGGGGGCAGCTCCGTGGGGGCCGGGAGCCGATCTCCAGGAGCACAGCTGTCCCACCGTGGGCGGGGGGCACCCAGGCCAGATGGGGGCACCGCAGCTGCACGCGCAGAGGCCGGGCTCCCGGACCCGCTGGGGGACCAGAGCGCGGGTTTCCCCTGGGTCAGCCCTTCTGAGACGTCCTCGGACCACAGGCCAGCCCGGGAGAGGGCGTGGGGCTGGAGGGGGGGGTCCTGCCGCTGCCCTGCACTCAGTTTCCCGGCCCCCCCCAAAGCCTGGCACCCCAGCTCAAGGGGGGGGGCGCCGCGGGGCGGGGCTTGGGCCTCAGTGCCCCCGGGCCGTCCTGCACTCTCCCAGGCGGGTTCCCCGGGGCAGAGTGAGCAGAGTGAGCGCGGCCAGGCGGGGCCCGGGGCCCGGGGCGGGGGGGCGGCAGTCCGGGGTGAGGGCGCCCCGCCGTCACCGGCGGTAGCGGTAGCGCTTGAAGTGGAACCAGAGCTGGAAGATGCCGTTGGCGAACTGGCAGCGGAAGCCGTGGCGGTGGGAGTACTCCCACTCGCGGTTGACGATCTTGAAGGCGATGTCCTCGTACGGCGGCCCGGCGTGGAAGCGCAGCGTGGCGAAGTCCCTGTTGTCCGGGCGGGCCTCCAGGAAGTACTCGGGCGTGGAGCGCTTATCGATGAGGTCGGGGTAGAAGATGTTGAACTTGTAGCCCTGCACGATCTTGGGTGGCGGGTTGTCGAAGTCATAGTGCGTCTGGTTGTACTTGTTCCACTCGAAGCCCGTGTGCACGCGGTTGAAGAAGCGCGGCTTGCGCGGCCGGTACTTGTCGGCCCACAGGTAGGCCTTGCCCGCCAGCGGCATCTCCACGCTGAACTGCGCCTCGTCCTGGCCCATGCCCTCCTTGGCCCGGCGGAAGAAGATGTCCTCGGCGCTCTCGCTCGCGTCCCCTGCGGGCGGGCGGGGCGCGTCAGCCAGGCCCAGTCACCCCCACTGCCCTCCCCCCCCCGCCCTGGGGGAGTGCCCATGGCGCGGGGCCCCCGGGGCGAGGCTGCAGTGCCTGCCGGCTACAGGTGCGGCTGCGGCCCCGAGGGACCCTTCCAAGCCCGTGTGCAGGGCTGGGGCCACCCGAGGAGACGCGCCCTCACCTGTGACCTGCAGCTGCTGCCGGGACAGCTGCAGGCGCTGCAGGTCCTCGTCCGGCTCCAGCACGTGCGCGTCCAGCGGCAGCTCGTGCGCCGAGAGCAGCCGGGGGCTGTACTTGCCCGCGTCGTAGTCGTCCAGGCTCTGCTGGATCAGGTCCTCCTCCATGAGCACGGCCTCCCCGTCTGCCTCGCCCTCCGCCGGGGCTGCCACCTCGGCCTCTGGCTCCCCCGATCCCCCCTCGGAGGAGGGCCCGGGCGGGGTCGGAGCGGGGTCCTCAGGCTCCAGGCTGCGGGAGAGACAGAGACGTGCGGGGGCTGGGCGGGCTGCCCGGGGCGGGGGGGGGGGGCAAGAGGAGGGGGTACGAGGGGCGGCGTGGGGGAGCAGGCGGCCCACCTGTGGCCGGGGGATGGGGGCTCCTGCTTGAGGATGGGAAACAGCGGCTCGCTCTCCACGCCCTGCTCCTGCTTCAGCTTGTACAGCTTCTGCCGCAGCACGTCCTGGTGCCGCTCGCGGAGCCTGCAACGCAGCTGGCCGTCACCCCCTCGCCCAGGGCCCTGCCCCACGCCCCTTCTCGTGACCCGTTAGCTGGAGGACCTGGAGCCTGGGGGAGCATCAGGCCCCCCACCCAGGCCCGGGCTGTGGAGGACAGGGTGGGGCGGGTGTCTGGGTCCAGGGTCCAGGGTCGGGCAGTGAGGAAAACGGGACTCAAGGTCACAAACCCCGCTGGGGGGACCATTTCATGGAGGGGAAGGACAGGCGCCTGTACGGGGGACTTGTGTGCCTCATGAGCCACTGAGCTGGGCTGAACGGGACACAGGACGCTGGGTGGGGAGGAGAATAAACCTAGAGACGACTCTGCAGTTGGCAGCAGACACTTGTACACGGAAGGCGTGGGGTGGACAGAAGATGGGGGGGTGGGGGACAGGTGGCCTTGGGGCATGTGATGCTGGCGGACCCCTGCTCACTGCCCAGGCCCCTGGCCCGGGGGGCGGCACCCGGAACACCCGCTGACCTGGCGCGTGCCATGTGGGCGCGGAGCTGCTGCAGCAGGCTCTCCCAGTAGCCCATGTCCAGGTTGGGGCCCCCGGCCCGGATTTTGCCCTCGATGCCCTGGAAGATGACCTGCAGCTGGCTGTACGTCTTCCCCTTGAAGACCGACTGCACGTCGGAGCTGACCGAGGCGTTGACCCCTTCTCGCCGCTCGCCTGCAGGGGGTGCAGCGCATGGGCAGGGCTGGCAGGGGTCCTGACCCCCCCTTGGCCGGCTCGGCTCCTCCCTGGGCTCTGGTTCACCCCTGACTCTGGCTGGATCTTCCAACACCAAGGTGGCGCTGGGCCACAGACCCCAGTCAAGATGGTTCTGACTCAGTGGGGCTGGGGGCTGCCGGGCAGACATTTCCCAGCCTGGCGTGCCCGGTCTGCCAACCCCCACCCACACTGGAAGAGCGAGGAGGGATCAAACTCCTGACAGCCAGACTCTCAGGAATTCATAGTTTGCCCTGTTAGTCTCAGCTGTGTGATCTTGGGTAGGTGGTACACCCTCTCTGGACCTCAGTCTTCCCAAGTAAGGAGAGTAGCTCACTCCCCAGGCATTGAAGGAAATCCTGACACCGCCTGGAAGGCAAGCACACCCCCTCTCTGTCCTGCATCCGGCACTGGCTGGGGGCTGGCTGGGGGGGTAGGGACAAGCCCCCTGCTTCAGAATGAGAAGCCCCCGAGAGGAGGGCTGGATGCTGCCTGAGCCTCCTTGCTGCTCATCAAACACACCAAAACCCACCCCAGGGCCTTTGCACAAATATTGCTTTCCACCAGCAACATGCTCTTCCTTGTCCAGTCTGCCTCCCAGATCCCACCAGTGCTGAGCAAGAGAGTCCCATGGACCGGAAAGCCTTCCGGGACCACCAGGCTGCTCCCCTCGGCCTGCACACCTGACTGGCGGCTTCCCCAGGGCAGGGACCCTGCTGGGCCTCTGGCTGCTGCCTCCACAGTACGCCGGGCCTGCGAGAGCTCGGTGTGAAGCTTGTAGTGAGTGCAGGGGTGCAAGCAACATGCGCTCCCTGCCCGAACCGGCTTCTGACACCTCCACCACCGGGGACTGGCTCCCAGCGGAGCAGACAGGCTCACAAAGGGCCAGAGTCCCTCTGGGCAGCCACCGTGGGGCCCCGGAGTCAGCACCTGGACACTCGGCCCCTCCGCCAGGCACCTGGCCATCCCCAGGCAGCCCTCGTCTGATGGCACAGAAACGTCACGGGACCAAAGCTGCCCCCTGCGCGCTCGCACGGAGCGTGAGAACGTGCTCTGACGGGACGCGTGCAGACGTGTGGCGGACGACGGGGGTGTGGGAAGGGCTCCATTACTCTGGACCAGACCCCGTCAGGAGGGACGTGTGAGTTTATGTCGGAGATCTTCACGCGTGTCTAGAAAGCAGGCAGGAGGTGGTGCAGCTCAAACTATGAATTGAGAGGCAGCAGCACGTCAGCAAGAAGCAGGGATATTTGTGGGTTTTGTGGCCTGGACTCTGCTTTCGGCCTCTTTACGCACATGAGCACATCACGGGCTTCACGTGCAGGACGCATCACAGACGAGGGAGTGCCTCGTCCGAGGACGGGGGTGGGTACGTGGGGAGGGTGGGGTGTGAAATGGTTTCTACTCAAGGAGAGACGTCACAGCCCAGTACCGAGCGCCGGGCCCACTAGCGCACTGTCTGTGACGGCAGCTTGGGAGGGAAGGTGGCATCAAGGGGAGAAGCCACAGGGGATGGTCCGGGGGCTGCGGACACCCACCCTGTCGCGCATCCTCAACGTAGTGTCTTCTTAGTGAAGACAAAAGAAAAAGCCCAACTTAATTTAGAAAGACGACACCCGGCCCGCAAGGGTCTCTGGGAAGGATCTCGGAAATCACGCCGATAAGAGAAACAGAAACACAAGCTCATCTCTGAGGATGCCCGGAGCCAGCTGGGACCCCAGCCAGGACAGGGGAGGAGGGACAGTGGGCGGAGGAGCCTCTGCTGTCCCCGAGGGAAGGGACGTGGCCGCAGAAGGGGGCTGGGGACCGGGCGCAGGGGAACCATGGGAAGAAGACACCCAATGGGCAGTGCTCCATCCTCCGCAGCCGCGGGTCGGGGTCTTCCGTGTCCGGGGGACGCCCTGCCTCCGCCCCACCCCCGCCGGAGCAGAGCGAGGAAACGTTTCCTGAACTGCACGATGCCCGAGTGTCCTGGCTTCCTCCACAATTTACTGAGGACGTGTCCCACATGACGAGGGGACAAAGCATGAGAAAGGGGGACGTGGGGTAGTGACAAAGGGGCTCCAACACAGAGGGAGTGAGGAGGCAGTCAGTGTAGGGTGGAGGACACGGGGCACACGGGGTGGAGAAGGAGTCCCGTGGGGACCCTCTGAGGAGTCCGGCTGCCTCCCCAGTTCAGCTGGAGGCCTGGGGTGGCCGGTGCACCCGACACAGGGACCGGCTGATCGGCCTGGACTGCGCTCAGAGCCACACCTGGGCCGGTCAGGGCCCTTCGGCCCAGAATTCCACACCCATAGCCTGTCACCAAGGGAAGTCCCTCCGCGCATTTCCGAGAGCAAAGGATTTCCTTCTTTCTCCGGAAGTTACTACAGGATGTGCCGGCCCAGGGCTCAGAGGACCAGGGCTCAGAGAACGTGGAGAAACAAAGAAGCACTTAAAGAGATGATGAGGGGCCTTCCTCTTTCTAAGAGGAAATGACCTCCCCCACCCCAGCTGAGCAACAAGGGCATTTACGCGGGCCTGGGGGGAAGAGGGCCACTGTGGGGGCTGGCAGCCAACACCACAGCGACACAGGGTGACAATGGAGCCTGGTGACCCGCCCACGAGGCCCCTGGGGGTGGAGGGGGAAGGGGGGGGCGGTCGGTCATTAGCTTCTAGGACAGGGGTCTCAGCCGGGGCTGTGCTGTCCCCACATCTGTGGCTGTCACAACTGGGGGAGCTCCTGACGGTGAAGGGGTGGGGTCAGGGCTGCTGCTCAGTTCTCCCAGGTCCCCCCCACCCCCCGCTCTGCTCCACCGCGGGATCACCTCCCTGGACACTCTCTAGAGGGAAAGAAAGCGACTCAGAAAAGAACATGGGGTTCAACAGGCTGGGGCTCTAGGGGCCTCCCACACAGGCGGAGTCCTGCTCTCCCTCAAACACACCAGGCTTCTGACGAAAACCTGAGACCCAAACAAAACAGACTCCTGGTGGTACCACTACCAGGAAGCCAAGTGCTGCTAAGCCATCTTTGAAGGAAGTGGGGGAGGGGGGCTGCTGGCCTCCGAACCCCCCACGGCCCCCCCCAGGGCGAGCCCGGGGCCAGGACCCGCTGCTCCTGCTGCAGCCCGCCGCTGCCCCCTGGTGGCTCCTGGAGAGGCCTTGACAGCCGTGGAGACCTCAGATGGGGAAACCGAGGCGGGCAGAGAGCCTGAGGTGTCCTGGGAGGCCCCCCGACCCCGCTCCCAGATACGTGTCCCCAAGAGCACAGCGGGGGCTTTCGGTCAACCTGGCGCCAGCCCCGGGTTACCTGGGCCCTTGCCCGAGGCCTCCAGCTTGCGGAGCTTGGCGATCTCATCCTCCGTGATGGTGGTCATGTCCCGCCAGAAGTCAGCGTTCTTGCCCTGCTCCAGCTCCATGTACACCTGGGGCGGAAGTGCACAGGGGCGGGTGAAGGGGGGGACGTGCCAGGGGCCCAGGCGTTTGCGGCGAAGCGGCGGAGGGCGCCCCAGGGGCCCGGGCAGCACCTGTATGTCCTCCAGCAGGTCCTCCATGTCGGCCACGGTGAGCCCGTTGAGGAAGGTGTAGGGCTCGTGCATCTCCACGGCCAGGTCGTCGTCCTCGGCGCTGATGTATTTGGCCAGCAGATCGATGGGCTTGGCCCTCCCGTCCCGGATGCGGATCTTGGAGCTGCCGGGAGCAGGGAGGGGTCGTCAGAGCCCAGGATGCGCCCCTCCCGAAAACCCTGCTGGGTGGGGAAGGGCTCGTGTGGGAGCCAGGAGAAGAGCCTGGCCTGCAGTGGGTGGCAGACAAAGAGGTCTTCCCGGAAGAGGGGGCGTCAGGCAGCTGGAAGACATGGGCCCTGACGGAAGCAAGCGGGGCACCTGCGGAGCAGCAGGGGGGAGTGGGGCGGGGGCAGAGAGGACCACCTCCTCCCCGTGGACGACCTGCCCAGGGTGGAAGGTCTGAAGCATCAGTGCCACACCCGTGGGGACATATGTCAGGAACGGACACTGGTTCTAACCCAAGGGAGCCCCCGGGGCAGGCGCAGCTGGTGGGCGGCGGGACGGAGGGCTGGCAGCAGGCTCCTGGTGCACACGCGCCAGGCTGAGCCTCGGACACCGCCGTGCGGCTGCGGCTCCCCCACCCCGGGAACCCCGTGTTCCTGCCTACGCAGGGCTGAGGAGCACCCAGGCCTGGGGGCTGGCGGGTGCAGAGGGAGGGCCCCGGTCGGTATAGTGAGGGGCTCAGCACCCCGCTCGGCTCGTGGGGCAGGACGACGCGACACGGAGCAAGGACCACTGGGAGGTCGCCTCAGCACAGGGCTCAACGGGGGAGCCTGGGGGCACGGGGGGCGGGGTGCACAGCAGTGATGGACCGAGGGAGGAGTGATGGGGAGCGCGCAGCGGGGGGCAGGCAGGGGCTCCCCAAGGAGGCTGTGGGTGGAAATCTGAAGGGCAGGAGATTCCAAGCAGAGCAAAGGGCCTGTGCAAAGGCCTTGGGGGGAGGGGCCGCACACGCACCGCAGCTTGGCGGGGGGTGGGGGGGGTGCACACTGCAGCTTGGCGGGGGCGGGGGGGGAGCGCACCGTAGCTTGGCGGGGGCGGGGGAGGAGCGGGAGCGCACCGTAGCTTGGCGGGGGCGGGGGAGGAGCGGGAGCGCACCGTAGCTTGNAGCGCACCGTAGCTTGGCGGGGGCGGGGGAGGAGCGGGAGCGCACCGTAGCTTGGCGGGGGCGGGGGAGGAGCGGGAGCGCACCGTAGCTTGGCGGGGGCGGGGGGGGGGAACGCACCATAGCTTGGCGGGGGCGTGGGGGGGGGAGCGCACCGTAGCTTGGCCTGCTGCAGGTGGAAGTTGTCTTCCTGCTCCTCCCATGTCTTGAAGTGTTCGGCCTCCTTCTCCCGCTGCAGCATCTCCAGCTCCTGCTCGCGCATGGCCTTCTCCCGCTCCCGCTCCAGCCGCAGCTGCTTCACCTGGGGGCGCACGGAGGGCAGGGTGCTGGAAGCAGGCCCCGCTGGCTGGGGGTCTCTGGGGCCTGCCCAGCACCGTGTCGGGCCACGGGGTGCTCTGGCGTCAGGGGTGGGCCTGGCCCCAGCCCCGGACATGGACTGGCCGGGGAAGCCTGAGGCTGCAGACAGGCCTGGGCCAGGGGGCTTCTTCCTGCTGGAGGTGTGGCAGCCGGGGCCATGCTGGGCCCCTGAAGGAAGCTTCTGAGAGTAAAGCCCAGAAGCCAGCAGACCCGACAGGCGGAAGGCGACAGCCTGCTGGGGACACAGCCTGAACTCCTGGATCCAACTGTGCCTGAAGCCAGCCTCCCCTGAAGCTTCTGTGTACGTCAGTCCGGGCATCCCTTCACTGAAGCCATAGCGCGCAGGCCTCTAGCTCCTCACAGGGGAAGGTCCCCAGCCCTGCACAGGCCCCCGGCCCGCGCAGCTCCCCCACGCGCACAGGCCTCCTTCCCTGCGCCGAGGGCACCCCACCTTCTGCAGCTCCAGGCGATTGTCTTCCTGGATCCTCTTGTTCCGTTCCTTCAGCTCCTTCTCCTCCAGGTGGCTGATCCCCTTCTTTTCCAGGGCCTGGAAGGGCCAAGCACTCGGCACTGAGCAGAGCCGCCTCCCTCCCGCCTCCCCAGGCCGCGCCCACTAAGGGTCCCCTGTGCCAGCTCCACCAGGCCCAGGTGGGGACCCGCCAGGCCGCGCGGCGCCGCAGGATAGGGAGTGAGGCCATGGCCGTGGCCCCTGGGCTTCTGCTGAAACCGCAGCCTCCGCATGTGCAGGGGGGAGGTGGCCGCCCGCCCCCGGGGGCTCCCGAGTGCCCGTCACCCTGCACCTGCTGAGTGCCAGCTTGCTGGTGCCCGAGCCCCCCGCAGCTCTGACGCGGCCCCCGTGCTCAGGGACTCCCGGGGCAGCAGGCGACACGACAGATATCTCCTCCTGTGCCTCCCCTGCTGGGGGCGCTTGGGGCACAGGGGCTGCAGACCCCTCGAGGCCTCGACATCACAGTTACTGCCCGAGCCCGCACCTCCGGACGAGCGCGACCCCCGGCTCGAGGGCTGCGCCCCTGCACCGGTGCGGTGGCCTCCCCAGCCTCAGCCTGGGCCGCCGCAGGTGTTAGCGGTGACCGGACTCTTCGCCGCTATGGCCATGTGGACCGGCAGCCCAGAGCACAGACGTGGAGCCGGACAGCCCCAGTTCCAGTCACAGCTGTCGTTCCCGAGCGGGGGACCTCGGGGCGCCCCAGTGAGGGGAGTCGGCACGGGGACGCGCTGCAAACCATGCCGGGCACTCTGCCCGCCCGTGGCCCCGGGGCCCAGGGTACAAGCGTGTGGTGCCGCCCAAACTGCAGGCCTGTCCGGAGGCCCCAGCAGCTGAGCGGGGGCCGACCCCCCACCACTTATCATGGGGGGGCGGGCAATCCCCCCAGCTCAGCGAGGCTCCAAGAGACATTCTGAACCCTCAGGGAAATGCCTGGGCACATGCGCGTGCAAACCACGCCCAGCTCGTTGGTCTGACACTCGCTGAGTGCTGGCCGTGAGCCAGGCTCTGGGGACAGTGCTCGCCCTGTGTGGCTCACGGTCTGGCAGGAGGCACGCACTACAGATCAGCCCGCGTTCAGGTGTCTGCTTTGCGAAGAGACCTTTCTGGAACGGCTTGTTGTATTTTTTGATGAGAGAGCGCGAGTAGGGGAGGGGGTTGGCGGGGGAGGGAAAGAATCTCAAGCAAGCTCCACGCTCAGCGCAGAGCCCTCCTCCAGGCTTGAGGTCATGACTGTGAAGTCATGACCTGGATCAAAATCAGGACTTGGGCGCTCAACCAGCTAAGCTACCCAGGTGCCCCACAGCTTGGCTTATTTTACTTTTTAATGTTTGCTTATTTTATATCTGAGAAAAGGAGAGACACAGAGAGAGAGAAAGAATGATGCTCACGAGCTGGGGAGAGGCAGAGAGGGAGGGAGACGGAGGACAGCAGAGAGTTGGACGTGGGGCTTAAACTCACAAACCGTGACACTGTGACCTGAGCCAAAGTTAGATGCTCAACCAGCTGGGCCCCCCAGGTGCCCTAGACCGGCCGATTTTAAAGCCAGGGCACCCGGACATCTGGCTGCCCTCTCCCCCCGCCCCCCCGCGCTCTGCTCTCTACTCCACGGGCCCCCATGGGACCGCTGGCTCCACAGAGACCTGTGTCACTCCAGCTCGCGGACGCACGCCAGGGCCTACACGGCCTCCGGCACGAGCGGGTGCATGCAGCGTGTTTGCTGGTGAAGCGCTGGGAAGGGCGAGGCAGCACGGGGAGAGGGAGAGGGAGAGGGAGAGAGAGCGAGCGAGAGCGAGCGAGAGCGAGCAGGAGAGCATGCGCGCGCCTGCGCCTACGGGGCCGAGGGGGCCGGGCCAGCTGGGACCCTAAGGAAGGAGAAAGCAGCAGCCGCGGAAAGAGGCGGGAGACGGTGCCTGGAGCGCACGTGGTGAGCGGCAGACCCGCGGCATCTTACGGTGCACCCTGCTCGCGCCCCCCAGATCCTCGCCCCCTCACTCCCCCTGCAACGAATGGGTGCTGGGTGAGGGTTAAACCGGGTCCAAAAAGATCCATTGGCTTCCCAGCCCCGGAGCCGACCTGCAGAAACAGGGTCCCTGCAGGGTGACGGCTCAGACGAGGTCACGGGGCGTTAGGCTGGGCTCTAACCGATGACTGGTGTCCTCAGAAGACACAAAGGGAGACACAGAGGCGGGGGGCGGGGGGGATGCAGCCTCTGCAGCCAGGAGGGGGCACGGGAGGGGGCACAGGGCTTGGGTCACGTGCGCGAGACGGGACTGGCAGCTGAGGCACCGAGAACGAGGCGTCAGCAACGGGACCACGGGCGCGTAACTGGGGTCCCGCCTCGGGCGCCAGGGTCGCGCCCACCTTGTTCCAGATGAAAGTGCCCAGCAGGTTGTTGTCGCCGAAGGGGTTGTCGGTGTTGGTGTAGCCCATGTACTCCTCGCCCCAGCCCATCTTCTCACGCTTCTTCCGCTCCTTGGCCTCCTTCTTGGCCAGCCGCCGCGCCCGCTTCTCCTCGGGGGTCTCGAAGGCCTTCATCAGCTCCTCCTGCTGCTTCCGCTCCTCACGCAGCCGCAGCCGCTCCTGCAGGCTGTGCTGGTGGCTCAGGGCCGCCGCCGCCGCCCGCGGGCTCTGCGAGTGGTCGGGGGAGGCCGAGCTGCACGCCGAGGAGCCCGGGGACCAAGACCGCGTCCGCCGGCGGCGGCCCCGCTGCTGCTCCTGCCACTCCTCCTCGGAGTCAGACTGGGAGGAGCGGCCGCGGGAGCGCCACCGCGGGGGCGGCGGGCTCTGGCTCTGCCGCCGCGGCCGCTGCCACCGGTGTTCCTCCGAGGCTGACCTGGGGAGGGAACCCACAGAGGCCTGCTCACTGCCAGTCTTTCGTTTGACAGATGTTCACTGAGCATCTGCTACGTACGCCAGGCGCTGTTTTAGGTTCTGGGGACAGTGACCCCGATGGTCCCCCGCCTTTGGGAGGTTCGCATCAACAGAGAAACACGCAGCGTGACCCTAGATAGTGCTATGAGTCACAAAAAAGAGTGACTTCGCGGTAGGGGATGCAGCTCTGCGGGGGCAGCTCTGGAGGACGTCGGGGAGGAGGCTACAGGGAGAAAGTGATCTGGGCAGGAGGCACGGCAAGAGCAAAGTCCCTGGGCAGGGATTTACTCGGCGTGTTCGAGCAGCAGCGTGGAGGCTCGTGTGGCTGGGGAGGAGCGTGAACAGGGGAGTGAGGAGGGAAGTGAGGGCAGTGAGGCGGCTGCGTCCAGACGGCACAGGGGCGCTACGAGTAGGAACCAGAGGACCTGATCTGTCCGCGGCAACAAGAAGGAGCTCATGGGAGAGGGTGGTGTTTGCACTGGTCCCTCAAGATGCGCAAGAGGGACCTGGAGCAAGACGGGCGGGACTGAAGAGCCAGGGAAACACTGTGAGCAGGGGAGGGGGTGTGCGAGCCGTAGGGACAGATTCTTTAACGGTCAGGGCCTTTGCGCAGAGGAACAACCAAATCTCTTTATTTTGTTAGATGCTCCCCCTAATAAGCTCAGTCAGAAAGTCTACACGGTGGAAACCAATTTCTCTGGAGTCTGCGCATTTGATCAAATTTTCATGAACCACGTCGACTCGTGTTACAGATCTAGGATGGCTGATTCTGGTCATTCAAAAACCAGGAAACAGCAAGTGAAAGGTCTAGGGCACAACTCTGCCGTCCCGACTGCAAAAGCAGCCCCAGACAGACAGGAGAAAAGGGACACGGCTGGGTCCCAACACACCGTCACTTCTGCACCCCAAAACTTGCATGTGTTTGGAGATCTCACATGCTTGTCACATGTCATGAGATACTACTTTTGACTTTTTCTTTGCCATCTAAAAATGTAAAAACCAGGGTGCCTGGAGTGGCTCAGTTGGTTAGGTGTCCGACTGCAGCTCAGGTCACTATCTCACTGTCTGTGAGTTCGGGCCCCAGGTCGGGCTCTGGGCTCTGTGCTGACAGCTCAGAGCCTGGAGCTGCTTCGGATTCTGTGTGTGTGTGTCTCTTTCTGCTCCTCCCCTGCTCTCTCCCTCTCAAAAATAAACATTAAAAAAAATTAAAACGTAAAAACTATTCTTGGTTCACAGGCTATAGAGTTTGCCAGGCCCTGGTTTAAACCACCTTCGTTACTTCTGCTCTGCTGCCTATAACTTCTTGGGATTCCTGGGTGCAACAATCTTATGAGACTCACAAGAGAAAAACCACCTTCTCAAACGTAGAAGGGAATCAGCCGCGTCTGACTACAGTCACTCTGGCCACTGGGTGAACGGGCCAAAGGGATGGGACACAGGGTGTGCTCGGAGAGGCCCCATGGAGATCTTGAGGAAACTTGGGCCACAGTGGGGCAGGGACTGGCCTGAATGTCACAGGTCACACCCGGGAACCTAGGTCTGGAAGTTGGTCCCTGGCACCGTTCTCGTCCCTTGCTCTTGGAGGAGACTCCAGCCAAATCTGGACGGGGGTCCCATTTCCAAAAGAAAAGGGCTGCTGGCCGCAAGGAGCTGAGACCCAGGTCCTAGGAGTCAACCTCGTCCTGACACCTGTCATCAACAGTTCTCTGGTCTGACAACCACTTCTAAGAGCAAGTGTCGCCGCCCCTACTTATGAAATCCCTCTCCAATCTACCCATTTCCCCCACTGCGCCTCCCACTGCCTCGGTCTCTGACAGCCACCGCCGTCTGTTGCCTAGACAACCGCACCACCCTCCTCCTCCCTGTTGCCATTCCAGCCAATCTCCTCAGTCCCTTCTCCACGCGAAAACCCGAGGAGGAAGTTCCACCAAGTCCGACCACATCACAACCTTGCTCAAACTCCTCCCATGGCTCCCTATTTGCCTGGGTAACGGCCAAACCCGTCCGCACGGCACACAGAACTGCACGACCCGGTCTCCTCTTGCCGCCCCGACCTAGTCTCCTCGTCCCCTTGGCGCCTCGCCTCGCCCACTGCGCTCCGTATGTTCCCTCCGACCACCAGGTGCCCTGCCTGGAACGCCTCTCGCTTTCCCTTCGCTGCCTGATGAGCTGCGACTCGTACTCGACGTCCCCTTCTCCAGGAAGCCCTCTCGCACTAATCCGTGGGTCCCTGGCTCCCCAGCGCGGTTCACGCGGAGACCCCACCTGCGCTCCCGGCTCTGCCGCCTCCGCCTGCGCCGTACTTCGTCGTCCCGGCGCCGGCGGTTTCGCCGCCCATGGCTCCTGCTCCGACTTCGGCTCCGGCTCCGTTGCCTGCGGCCCCTGCGACCAGCCGACCGCGAGCGCGAGCGTGTGTCCCGACCCATCAGCTGAGACGGTGGCGGCAGCGCTGACACAAATATCCGGGGCCTGCGCCAGGGGCCTTCTTTCCCTGCGGCGCGCGCCTGGCTGCCCCGTCCGCGCCTGAGCCGGGAGATGGAAACCTGTCGCGCCGCCCCATCCCGCGGGGACGTCGATGCCCCGTAATCTCTCCACTGCCCTCAAAGGGGTCCGCGTGACGGACTCCCGCCGGACTTTCGTGCCCGGGGTTGGGGGCTCGCCCTTTAGGCAGTGCCAGGGGTAGCCCCACGTGGGTCCTCGCGCCTTGGTGGGGGGAGGGGGCTAGAGCTGTGGGCGGAGCCAGAGCGAACCAGGAACTGCACGTGGGGCGGGGCCTGGGGAGGCGGGACGAAGAACAATCGGCTCCGAGGGGAAGTGGACCGGCGTGGGCGGGGCCCCGAGGGCGGGATCGAGAGGAGGCGTGGCCTGGGGGCGGGTCCAAGGGGAGGCGAGCCGCGCTGTCGAGGTTTCTAGGCCGGTGCCGGCGCGAAGCTGCGAGGTCCTTGGTTGGGTCCAGACTGAAGGCGACGGACGGAAGCCAGGTCGGAGACTGAAAAGCCTTGAGGCCGGGCCGACCCTTGAGAGTGACCATCACGCTCCATCGCCCGTAATGAATACCTGTGTATTTTAAGGATTAAGTTAAAACACACACACACACACACACACACACACACACCCAGCAGGCAGGGCTGGAAGACCCTGAAGTCCCGTTCCAAGCTCCCCAGCCCACCCCAGAGGATGGTCCTTAATATTCTAGTTCTTCAAATGTTTATCGTAGAGGACAACTTCATGACCTCACCCTAAATGCCAGCTCTGTATGCTCTGCTTGGCACCAAGGCACAAAGTGGGGCTGGTGGCGGGGAGGACTTGCCAACCGCTTCTTGATAAGAAACCTGCTTGTCATGGGATCATGGGATGTGGGCTGAGGTGGGGGCGAGTCTGGCCTTGTGACTTTCAAAATGCAGATGTGTCTTTGACAATATCTGAATACTAACTTTTGAACGTGATGTGGTGGTGAGCACATTCCAGATCATCCCATCTTCAAGTCTAATTTACAAACAAGCTGTGTTGTTCTGTACCCTGACCTTATTTTTAAAAATTTTATTTATTTTTGAGAGAGAGAGAGGCAGAGCATGAGTGGAGGAGGGACAGAGAGAGACGGAGACGCAGAATCCAAAGCAGCTCCAGGCTCTAAGCTGTCAGCACAGAGCCGGACGCGGGGCTCGAACTCAGGAACCACAAGATCATGACCTGAGCCGAAGTGGGAGAGTTAACCGACTGAGCCACGCAGGTGCCCCTGCACCCTAATTTAAAAACCGACTTCCAAGGTCCTCCTTACACATGGGACCTTTCAAAGCAGCATTTCTCTGAGTGGGAATCCTGGGTAAGTATTTTCCCCATAAAAGGGGTCCATGTATTACTCAATTAGAGCAAGTCTGGCAGAACGAATACAAACTCTGGGGAGTGTTTGTTCTTTTGAGCTGGGCTGCACGGATGTCAGAAAGCTGTAAAAGTTTTCTGAACTGAACTGGAGCCCGAAGCAGACCATGGCTATTAAGGCATCCAGGTCCTGTTGTTATTTTAAATCTTACCAAGGCTTCTTTCTGCTCTCGTTCAAAGTCAGTCCTTAAGTTCCCAAGCAGACCACCGGCACACACAGAGGCAAAGAGAACGTGGGCTGATGCTTATTACCCGATTTATTAGAGAGATCTCTCCAACGTAAAAAGAAGGAGGGGTGGCGGGGACGGGGAGCGGGGGCCCGGGGCTGCATATGTTATTCGGGGCCAGCAGCGGCTGCACAGTTACAGAGATGCCCACGGCTCTGGGTTTGAGCTAGGCGGCATTCTGTGCCCGATGAGGCCGCGCTCCGGATTGTCACACACCAGACCACGGGGGCTGAGCACACGGAACCCCCTGAGAGAATTAAGACACACAAGGTTTGCAATTTTGTTGTTCTGAAATCAGTTCGACCATAAAAACGGGATGGGGGTGGGGGTGGGGCAGGCGATGCAACTGAGCCACCAGAGAAAAGGCGGTGGAGGGCGCTGGCCCACGGTGCGGTGCGGACCCAGGGGCTGCAGCGACAGTACCATGGCAAGGGACCCCACTGGAAGGGGAGTATTGCACTGAGCCAAGAGGTGGAGGCAGCGGGCGAGGGGGGTAGGACAGAGGCCGGCGAGGGCTCTCAGGAAGTTGCACCTTGTCAGTCTCAGGAAATGCCTTTCTTTTGCACAGTCAGCCAGCTGGCCAGCGCCCAGGCTCTCAGCTCTCAGGGACTACAGCCATCAGAGATGAGCCGGGAGGGGAGACAGGGTGTCACCACGAAGGAATTTAGATTTCTATGCTGGGAGGGGACAGCTGGCTGGGTCCAGAACCTTCCTCTGGGCAGGAGGGGCTGGGAAAGGCCATGAATTTGCTACACATTATAAAGTCTTGCCTTCCTGCCCCCCCAACCGGCCCGAAAAGAATAAGCAAACCCCTCCCACCGGCACAGTCTGCAGACCACGTTAGCATCCATGTGACAGTTCTTTGAAAAGGGACAAAGGATGCAACCAACACAAAACGGGTCTCCAAGGGGGTCTCAGGGACCTAACACAAAAATAGAGATGTCATGATATCCAGGAGGCTTGCAAACTTCTCTTGCAAGTCAGCATCCCAGCGGCGCCTCTGTTCTGTGGTTCAGGAAAGCCCAAAGGGGGACCAGCAGAGGCCCCCGCCTCACTCCTGAAGCTCCAGGTGGGCGCGGGCACCCTGGACACGGGGCACGCTGCTCCCGTCATCCCCGCGGAACTCTGATGCTGGCTTCTTGGTGACACAGCGGTCCTTGCTCGTCATCAAGGTCTGAGACGCACCTTCAGTTCTCTGCCTGCTCCGCTGCCATCCCCTTGGCGGGAAGGGGGAGGGACGGACTGGCCGCTCGCGGCATGCAGCCAGGACACCGACAGACGGATGCTGGGCTGAAATCCAGGTGAGGACGCTTCCCAGGGTCTGGACCAAGGCTTCTTGGGGAAGGGGGAGGGGACATGGTTTTGTTTCTCATCTGGGACGTTCACAGATGGGTTCTGATAGGTCCTCTGAGGGGTGTCTTTGCCCCAGGCTGCAGGCTGGCACGTCCCTGGCTGTCCCTGTGCCAGCAGCTGGGGGACAGTCCCCAGCGTGCAACCTGGTTCTCCAGGGAGGAGCGGCCAGCGGCCAGGCCAGCAGGCACCCTCTGGGTGCAAGGAGTGAGCAGGGTGAGGGTGCATGAGGGCCCGACACGGGGAGCCGTGGCATATGCAGCTCCCCAAGGGACTCGAAAAATCAAAACTCCTGGATCAGGGGGTTCTCCGCCAGGGAGGCAAGGGCTGGGAGGAATTCTTCCAGAAGGTGAGGCTTCAGCTCCAAGCCGGCTCCTGGCTCCCACATGAGCAGCCCAGTGGGCAGGGGGAAGCCACCGCACCGTGTCACCTCTCAAGAGGTGGGAGTGCATCTGTGTGGGGGCGGGACAGACCCTGCACTGCCGTCGGCTCCCCCGGCCACCTCTGGACACGGTGGGGTCTTTGAGGCCAGAAGGGACTGCCCCTGCTGAAAACGACAAGCTAAGAAAATTTTTGTTTTTCATGAAGAATTTCTTCTCTTCTCGTTTAACTCACAGACGCATTGCTGTCTTAACAAAAAAAAAAAAAAAACCACGCATCGCAGTCCTGGGGGTACTCGGCCTGGACAGCTGGGCAGCCTGACCTTGGGAGGGCTCCGGCTCAGGACGCGCTCTCTGGAAGTCCCACGGCCTGGGGGCCCGCGGTCTCCCTTCGCTCGGGCCCCTCTTCCAGATCCTGAGCAGGCCGCCTGGGGACCACCGGGAGCCCACAGTCCTGCGCTTCACCAGAGGGGCGGCAGCCCGGCCATTCTTGCTCATGGGTCACCTGGCAGGCGTCGTGGTGGGAAACAGATGTGGAGCGATTACAGGCATGGGGGGTGGAGAGCCGCCCCCGCCCACCGGTGGGCCTCCCCCAGGACGGATGGCCGGTGCCTGGCGGGACACCTGAGCCGGGAGGGCCTGCAGGCGCCAGCACCAGCGGGGGCCCCGTGGTCCCCCCTCCTCGGCACCCCGGCCCCGCGGAGAGGCGGAGCCTGGGAGCGTGGGCTTAGCTGGGGTGACCGGACCCCGCAGAGGGCTCCAGGTCCCGGAAGCCAACAGGCCTCGGTCCGACACGCATTCAAGCCCAGCAAAAAACCACAAGGTGCCGTGGGGGTGGTTTCTCTTCTTTTCCCATCGCGTCCTTTTTTTTTTTTCATCTTTTTCTAAAAAAAAAAATGCACACGTGTGCTGCCGTCTTTGTGCAAAGAGTTAAGGACCCAAAATAAATACATGATCGGACACTCGGGGAGGTTCACAGTCTCACAGGCGTAGGTAGTAGACGGGAGCTGGGGGCCGCGGAGCGAGGCCCGGCGGGCGGCGGCGCCTCCGGGGAGCAGCCGGGGCGGCAGCGAGCGCTCGGCTCTGGGTCGGTGACTGCATAGAAGTTACTGCGGAAGGCAAAGGTGCGGGTGAGGGCGCGGCGCCGGGACCCCGAGACGCCGGCCCCGCCCCCCGTCTGCGTCCCCGCCTGTCCCTGGGCCGCGCGCACTTACTGTGTCGCTCTCGCCGTCGGAGGCTGGGTGGCCCTGCGCATAGTGAAGCGGGGAGTACACCCAGCTCCTCTCGTCGGCGGGCTGCAGGGCGGGCGCGTGCAGGAAGGGCGCAGAGCAGGGTGCGAGAGAGGCGACAGGGAGGAAGGAAGAAACAGAAATAAAGGAGGCGGACCCCAACGCAGACGAGTAGGCGGCTCAGCCCGCGCTGTCCTCTCCCCGACAGGCCCCAGCCCCACCCGGACGGCCCCCTGGGCCCCTCGGGCGGCGGGGCTGAGCGGCGGCAATGCGGGTGGGCGGCAGGAAGAAGCGGTGCGGGTGGGGGGCGCGGGGAAGTGCAGGCAGGGCCCGGTGCAGGGGCGGGGCGTGGTCGGCTTGCTGTCCCCTCCCCTCCAGCTCGGCCCTCCCCTGGCACCCTCTCCTCCGTCCCCGCCCCGCACCTCGGTCCTGCCTGCTGTGCGGCCACAGGGGCCACCAGCTGGAGCAGGGCGCTGGACACCCTCCCCTGGGGGTCCCGGGTGATGCGGGCAGTCGGGGACACCGAGTGGAGCCCGTTTCCTCCTGCCCAACGCGTACAGATCAGCTGGCAGAGACCCGGGTGCGGGCCACCCGGACAGCAAGCAACACAGGCCCAGCCAGAGGGTGGGCTCTCCCGGCTGTGACGGGGGAGGGGGGCCGCCCCTCTGGGTCAGACTGGCGAGGAGGGCCCGTGTTCCTTCAGCACCCACACCTGTCCCTCCTGGGCCTGCTCCCTCCACAGGAATCCTCCCCACCCTGCAGCCCCCTGCTCCTTTCTCTTTCTCTTCCCTCCTGGGGACCCCCACCCCCATTCTTCGGCGCCTGTGGACCTACCCCCTTGCCACGCCTCTACTGGGAACACTGGGCCTGAGCACGCAACCTGCCCTGGCCACGCCCAAGTGGGCGTCCCCGGCCCCCCTAAACCCACGGGGCAGGGCACAAGCCAAGGCGCCCCCAGACCTGCCGCTCCTGGGTCAGGTCACCACAACCAGCCTCGCCTCTACACGGGTGGCTTGTTCAGAGCCTCGTGAAGGCCAGCGTGGGGCCTCTGTGCTCCGGGTGAGCCCCGGCCCTCCCGCCCCCCTCAGGGCCCCCACTTCTACCCACTCCCCCCGCCCCTCCTCCAGCCCTTGCTGCAGGACCTGCCCTCACAGGCGAGACCCCTGGGACCCGCCCAAGGCACGGCCCGCCGGGCGCCACGGTCAGCTCATTCTTGGTCAGCTCATTCTTGCCTCGGCACCGGCACCGGGCCCAGGGCCACACGCCGCCTGTGGGCGGGGCCTCTCTGGGGCGCGGGGGCGGGGCCTGCCTCGGGGTCTCCACGGACGCAGGACGCCAGGGTAGCCGCCCCCGTCTAGGGCAAGAACGTGGGCCAAGGGGGTTTCTGCCTGCACTCTGCAAAGAGCCTGCCTAGGGAAGGGAGGGGCGGTGGGCAGCAGGGCGCAGAGCCCCGTGGTGACCCCATTCAAGTGGAGCCAAGGCCACATCGTCCCGGGTACTGCAGGCCCTGGGGCCTGACGGTCGCCTAGCCCTCTCCTCCTGGGTGCCCCCCACTGGCTTCCGCTGTGCCCTCCGCGGAGCCCAGCCTTCCCTCCCCCACTTCCCCACTCCCAGCGCTTCTCTGTCAGGGTCAAGCCGTCTCCAGGCAGCCTCTGCAAATCACTCCCTGGGGGCCTCAGGGGCTGCCGTGTGTCCCCTGCTTAGATCACCGTAGGGGTGTGGCATCCCTGTCTCACAGCATGGCAGGAAGGCCTGGGGAAGCGGTTTCACTTCTTGGGTTTGCTTGGCAGTGCCAGGCACCCCGCGACGCTCAGGGGGAACCAGGGCTGGGGGTGTGAGCCTGTGAGGGGCCTCGTCTTGAGAACAGAAAGTCTTACTTCAGATACTCAACCCGTTCTGCCTGCCTGGAGTGCGGTGTGGTTCCGGGCAGGTTGCCTGGCCTCTCTGGGCCTCATTTATTGCTCATGAGGACAATTATCAGGCTCTGATGCTGGCACCGTCACCTGACGTCCACACAGCGCCCCAAGCACAGTAGGTAGAGGAGGGTCTCCGAGACACAGGGGAGGCGGGGGAGTCTGGACCCAGATTTTACGGAAACCGTGCCCTCTTGTGGGCTTCCTGGGGAGCTGAGGCCTTGGTCTCTCGCTGTGAAATGGGTATGGAAAGACCACCTCCTCCATCCTGCGGCTAAGGGCCTGGCTTTGCAGTCCCTTTGCTAACCTGTGTGACCACCCACTTCCGCAGGGCAAATGCCCCTTGGAGAGCCATGGGCAGCGAGGTCTGAATACGGGACAAGTGTCCACCAACCTGTCCCTGACTTGGGCGGGCTGGGGAGGGGGCAGAGGCGGCCAGGTCAGATGCAGACCCCACCACCTCGGCCAACTCCCCTTATCCCTGGCCGTGTGCCTGCAGGCCCAGTGGTGACATCACCAGGGGACACATGGCTGGCCTCAGTCAAGGTGCTTACTTCCCCAAGTCCCTTCTCAGAGGCCATGGGACAGCCAGGGCCTGTGGCTCCCCGCTGCCCAGGGCGGTGGGTCGGGGGCCGGGCTCCCTGGAGGCCTGCTGTGGTCACTTACAGTCCCTGAGGAGCTCAGCGTCACGGCCCGCAGTCGGCGATGCCGGGGGGAGTAAATCCAGTACCTCCCATCGGTGAACTGGGCGGGCCGGGCGAGCGGGGAGGAAGCAAACAGAGGACAGGATGAGGCAACAGGAATCCGGCGGGGAGGTGAGGCGGGGAGGGCGCTGGGCAGGGGCAGGTAAGCCGATGGCCAAGCGGGAGGTGAGGCTGGGGGTGGCAGGGTCCCGCTCTGGCCTGCACCTTCTCTGCTGCCCGCAGGGCCTGGCCGCCCACTCAGGTGTCAGGACCCAGACACGCCCGTGGGACACGGCCCCCGGGGCCGCCCCACACACACTGATACACAGAATGGGACACACACCAGGCCCCCAGAGATGGGGGGATGACGGCGGGTGTGGGGACGCACACACGGGGCCCCTGTTCCTACTCCGGGCCAGACAGAGGCCCCAAGCCAGAGAGCTGGGTGGTGGTAGCTAGCAGACAGAGGTGCAGCGGGCCCCCAGCTCACCGGCCCCAGGGGCGGAGATGAGATCACAGGTCTGGGAGGGGGACAGGCAGGCCCCTCCACTGCATCAGGCCATCCGGCCAGCCAGCACCCACCTCACCAGGCTCCCGGCCCAGCCAACCTGTCTGCCCGTGGGAGATGCAAGGGGAAGACGACCCCCAGCTCTGGAAGAGAGGTCCCGGGTCCCCGGGGGGGCAGGGCCCCTTCCTGCTCCGACAGACCTGCCTCCTCCAGGAGCCTGCCCCGCGCCACCATCCCCTTACGTCCCGAGAACAGGACCCGCCTGGCTGTGCCCACTGCCCAGCGGGAGAAAGGCCACACCGTCTGCAGCCCTTAGCATGGGGCTGCCCAGGACCGGGGGTGCCCATGGGGCTCAGAGCTCGAGGACCCCAGCTTCTGGGGAGATGCGGGAGCATGGCTAGGGCCTGGTGGTGGTCACGAGTCCTGGGGAGGAGGGACAGGGCAGTGCCCTGGACTTGGGGTGGCCTGGCATGGATGGAGCGGGGCAGGGTGCTCCCACAGCATGTGAGCATGTGGGTGTAAATGTGCGTGAGAGCACATGGGTGTGCAGGAGTGTGTGGAGGGGAGCGCGGACCAGTGGGCGCATGCCTGCGTCCACACGAGTGTGTGTCTGGTTGAGGGCCCGGCGACATCGGAGCCTCGGGGGACTTACAAAGTAGATGTCAGTGGCGGGTGTGTCCTCCTCATCCGAGGCCTGGCTGGCGGGCTCTGAGGCCTGGCTGGCCGTCTCTGCTTCGACAGCGGCAGAGGCACAGGCTGGGGAAGCCTCCACCCTGGGGACACAGGGACATGGGAGTCCTGGGGGCAGGGCCCTGGACGGTGCCCCCCTGGCCCTTCCCCTCCCCCGTGCGTCAGCACAGAGACAAGACTCAGGAAATCAAACAAAACCTCCCGCTACGGCTGAGGCCCCGGTGGTGAGCGGCCCTCCCGCAGACGGGTGGGCCCGGACCAGTCCTCTGCTCAAGGGCACACGTCAGTGGGCAGGCAGGTCCCGGCCTCCCCACTCGCTCCCTGTGCAACTCCGACGGTCCTTTCCCATCCGAGCCTCAGTTTCCTCATCTGTGGGGGAGGGACACCGGGCACCCAGCAAGTTGGTTCAGAACCTCTTTCTGATTTTCACTGAGCACTTCCTCTGGGCCAGGCCCTTCCAAGAACCTGCCTGAATTCACCCCATGACCCTCTGCCGGGGCAGGGGCTGCCCCTGTCCTGAGTTACAGACAGGAAACTGAGCTCCAGATGAAAGGTGAGGAGAATGACAAGCTCTGAGATGGGGGGGGGGGGCGGGGGCAGCACCTCTACCCTTGAGAGGTGGCTCTCCAGCCACGGGTGAGGATGGGCTGTTTGGGGGTAAAGACTACGAGACGTGTTATACTGTGAGAATTCAGTTAATGGGAAAAAGCCACTGTGTGCACACATGTATGCATACGTGTCAAATAAACTGTTTTGTTTTTTAAAGTTTACTTATTTTGAGAAACAGACTGAATGTGAGAGGTGGGAGGGGCAGAGAATCCCAGGCAGGCTCTGAGCCGTCCGAGCAGAGCCTGATGCAGGCAGGGCTCCATCTCACCAACCATGAGATCATGACTTGAGCGATCAAGAGCCTGACGCTCAACTGACTGAGTCCCCCAGGTGCCCCTCAAATAAACTCTGGACGGTAGGTGCGCCTGGGGGGTACAAGTGGTTGAGCATCCGACTTCGGCTCAGGTCATGATCTCACGCTTCCTGAGTTCGAGCCCCGTGTCGGGCTCTGTGCTGACAGCATGGAGCCTGGTGTCTGCTTTGGATTCTGTGTCTCCCTCTCTCTCTGACTCTCCCCGACTCATTCTCTGTCTCTCTTTCTCTCTCCCTTTTTCAAAAATAAACATTAAAAATTAAAAAAAAAAAAACAATAAAACAAAAAAAACCCAACCTCTTGGTGGCAAAGTGCAGCCTGGGAATGTGTGTGAATGCTAAGTAAGGTCTCTCGAAATGAAATGGAAATTTTAAAGAGCACGTAAAGCAGAAATCATGACAAAAACAATAAAAATTTGATAATGATGCAATTATAGAACCAAACACACCAAAGAGTAGAAACGAGTAAGGATGTAATACATCTGAATGCCACCAACCAATACGTGAGACAGAGTGGGCTCAGAACTTTCCAGCCCTTGGTCAAGAACACACGTTTCTCACACACGTCCACTGACATTAAAAAATGAATTCTGGGGGCGCCTGGGGGGCTCTGTCGGTTAAGCGTCCGACTTCGGCTCAGGTCATGTTCTCACGGTTCGTGGGTTCGAGTCCGGCGTCGGGCTCTGTGCTGACAACTCGGAGCCTGGAGCTGCTTCAGGTCTTGTCTCCCTCTCTCTCTGACCCTCCCCCGGTCACATATTTTCTTTCTCTCTCAAAAATAAATATTAAAAAAATTTTTTAATGAATTCTGGGGGCGCCTGGGTGGCTCAGTTGGTTAAGCGTACAACTTTGGCTCAGGCCACACACAACTCCTGAGTTCGAGCCCCATATGAGGCTCACTGCTGTCAGCACGGAACCTGCTTTAGATCCTCTGCCCCCCCAGCTTCTCTGCCCCTCCCCTGCTCGTACGTGCTCTCTCTCTCAAAAAAAAAAAAAAAATACACAGGACAAACAAAAATGGCTCAGAACCTTCCATCTCTTGACAGAGAACACTCATTTCCCTCACAAGTCCACCGTTATTAAAAAACAAATTCTGTGGGGGCCTGGGGGGCTCAGTCTGTTGAGCACCGACTTCGGCTCAGGTCATGGTCTCACGGTTCATGAGTTCGAGCCCCGCGTCGGGCTCACTGCTGTCCGTGCAGAACCTGTTTTGGATGCTCTGTCCCCCTGCCCCTCCCCCACTCGCATTCTTTCTCAAAAACAAACATTAAAAAAGATGAATTCTGTGTTTGACCATAAAGGCTAAGTTTATTTTTAAAATAAATACGGACATTTCAGTCCACTTTCAACTGAAAGCTGGGTAAGATCAGAAATAAGTACTGAAAATGTAAACAAAATAGTCTTCAAATGCTCCGAAACTGAGAGGCCCTCTTAAATAAACCTTGGAGCGGGATGTCTCCCGCCAGGCACCACGGGAGTGGGGACTGGATGGTTCTCTGGAGGCGTCTGGGGGGAGCGAATGGGGGCACATTTCTGGCCACAGGTGTCCACAGACACCAGCCCCGTGTCCTCTGGGGGCTGAGAGCCACTGCCTCAGTCCAGAGAGAACATGAGAAGTGAAATGACCCACTTCCTCCGCAGGCCAGTAGAGAAAAGCCGCTTCACGCGGAGCCCGGGGACCCGACAGCAGCCGGGGCTGTCCATGCAAGGCTGGGAGCGCCTCCTTATCAGAGAAACCGGGAGCCTGGACCCTCATGCACGGAAACAAACCAGGAGTTCAGGAATCACGCACATGACACGATGGGGAAAGCAGCCGAGTCCAATGTGGCTCCCTTGGGACCCGGAGCCCCACTCCTGCAGGCTCAGGGCTTGGAACCGGAGGGGCTGAGGAGGGATGATGGGGACCTGAGGCCCCGGAGGAGCCCCTGCGTGGACGGCCACCTTCCCGCTGCCCCTGCCCCATACCCTACATCCAGTGCCCCGTTCCTAGGCCCAGAATGTGGACTACATTACCCAGCCTGCCTTGTGGCCAGCTGGCCACGTTCAGCCAATAGGATCAGAGCAGGAGCCGCACGCCCGAATCCCAAAGACACAGTGGCCGGCTGGGGACTCACCCCGCATCCTCCTCCTTGGGGACCACGATCTCCACGCTGCACGCGGACTCCACCTGCACCGTGACCTGCTGCAGGTCCTCCTCCACGTGTGTCTCCTCCTGGGGCCTGGACGCAGTGGGACACGCACCTCACTCTCTCCCCTCACCAGAACCCTGCCCCCAGGGTGCCAGCCAAGGTCCAGGCCACATCCCCAGTCCCGCTGGGAAGCTGGGAGTCTCCGCGGGCTGCTGTCTCTGGTGCCACCTGACCAGCGCCCTGCACTGGCCCAGCTCAGCCCGCGGTCTGCAAGGGGGCGGGGGCTGTGTGTAACCCCAGTGCCAGCAGGGGAATAATGTGTGCCTGGTGGCCTGAATCCTGCCCACCGTTCTGGGGGCAACTGGGCCCTGGCCCGGAGCCTGGACTGGGAGTGGGGTGGCTCCAGGGGCTTCAAAGATCCAGGCCCCTGATGTAGACGGTCGGGTCAGAACATTCCGGCAGCCAGGAATGCACTCTCTCCGGAGAACAACCCCAGAGAGCAATATGGTTGTGCAGGTTGGAGAGGGAACTGCTTTCCACCAAATGTGCTTTATGCCCTAACTTTCCCCTGGCAGGAACAACTGACCCCAAACGAAGGAAAGCAAGCCCTGTGGTCATGTTGGCAAGATCAAACCAGTGGCACACAATCCAAGCTCCCCCTGAAGGCGGGCCAGGCGCTGCCAGGCGGAAGAGAAGGGGCGCAGCTCCACCGCTCACAGCCGTGTGCACAGGGAGGGCTGTGCGGGGGCACACACCCCTGCTCGTGTGAAGACTAAGGCAGAAACAGGCCGCACATTTGTTTTCTCATATGCTCATAAAACAGTTCTAGAAAGAGACAAGCCCGTGCAGGGGCTGCTCCCAGAGAAGGGAAGGGGCCCAGGGCACCGGGAGGCGTTTCACTAGATTCTCGTTTGTGCCCCTTAGAATGACGCATAGTTAATAGAAACAAGGATCAACACGCAGGTGCAGGGAAACGGGGCGGGGTGGGTGGAAAGGACGACAGAGTGGCTCGAGGCTGCAGTTCTAGACCCTAACTTAAACCTGTGTCCAGGCGAGCGGTCAGACAGGCGCACAGGCGCGGCTGCGGGTGGGAAAGCCGAGGGGAAGGGAGGGAAGGGGCGGGGCCGGGCGGGGGGCAGCTGGGGTCTCAGCTCACCGGCCATCCTGTCCCGAAGACTGGGTGCGCCGCCTGCAGAGAGACGCAAGCACGCAAGCAGGTGGAGCAGGCCGCCGCCCGCCCCGCCCCGCCCGTGGCCACGCCCCCGTCCCGAGTGGGGCCCCGCCCCCGCACGTGCCCCCGCCCCGCCCCGGGTGTGGCCGCGGCCCCGCCCCCGCCTCGCGGAGGGAGCCGCCCAGGCCCCTCACCGGTACCGTGGCTGCTCCGAGGTCTCCGAGGGAGATCGCTCCGGGATGGAGAGGGACGTGGAGGACAGGGTTGTGGCGATGGAGGCGGTGGTGGCCTCCTCAAAAGATGGCGGCGTGCAGGGCAGGAGGTCGGGCCGGCCTGTGGGGAGGGGGCTGTGGGCACCTGCGGGAGCCAGGCCCCCGGGGCAGTCCTTCCCGCCTCTGGCTCCACCTGCGGCTTCGCTCACCTTCCGCACCCGTGCCCCACCCCCACCTGCCACCCAACACTCCGTCCCTTCTCGGCAGCTTTAAAAGGGCAAATATATTTTATACCCCCCCGCCGCCCCCAATGGCTTCCAGGAGCCCACGACTCTGAAGTGCAAACCGCCCTCCAGGCCCACAGGTCCTGCTCAACCTGCCCAGTCTCTCACTCTGCTGTGACCACACAGGCCGCCTGCTGTTCCTCCGCTAGGCCCGCTGCTGCCCCAGGGCCTTCGCACAGGCAGTCTCTCCCTTCCTTGATGCTATTCCCCCAAGACTTCCTGTCTGGAATCTTTGACTCCTTAACCCTGTAAACTGGGAGGGACCTTCCAAAACACCAGGGCCAACCCCATCGGGTGCTTCATCCCTCTAGGTGTCTGCACACCTGGTGATGGGGTAGGTCACCTCTCCCGGTGGCACCTTCTTGTTCAGCTCTCCCTCCGCACTCCCCACATGGCTGCAGGTCTCAGGCTGGGCTGGGGCGGGGTGGCTGTCACCCAGGCCCCTGCCATCCAAGTGCCAGCTTGAGGGAACCTTTCCTCACACTGGGCTGCCTCCTGCATCCGCTCCCCTCTCCCAGCAGCGCCCTGATCTCTCCCGTCAGTGAGGCGCCCGTTCCCCCACCTGGCCGCTCACCTTCGTCCTCCAGCGTGGGGTAGCTGCGGGCCCCCCGGAGGTCATACTGTGCGTCTTCCCGCTCGCTGGGGATCTGGCTGGCCGAGAAGGCGGCCGTGGGCCCCAGGGGCTTGACGGCCAGCAACGCACCACGGCCCTTCTTGGACGGGGAGGATTTCAGGGCTGCGGAGAGAGGGGCGCTAGCGCTTAGGGCTGCCTGGGAGCCCCGGGGCAGGCCCCCCCAGCCCCCACCCGCAGTAACACCCCTGCCATCCGTTTCAAGCTCCTGACATCTCAGGACGCGGCGTGGCGGTGGCCCGATGAGCCAGCGCCAGGTGACCAGGCTGGGGCACGGCCCACACGGGCATGGCCTGGGCTGGGAGGGCAGGTCCCACGCAGGCCTTGGGCACAGACACTGAACACCTACTGTGTGCCAGGCCCCAGGCTAGACACTGGGGACACACAGTGACCAAGGCGGACAGGCATGCTGCCTTTTGGGGTGCAGGGGGGGCCTTCTGCGGGGGGAAGACACACAGGGAGAAATCCCCTTTCTGGGACGTGTACCGGGATCGGGGACCCGAGGCCCAGCTCAGACACCCAGGGGCAAGAGCCGCCTGTTTGTCCCGTGTCCTCCCGACAATGCCCAGTTCTGGCTGCCTCCGTGCTCACCAAGGCCGTGCTTCCGTGGTGACAGCATGAGAGGTCAAGCCCAGCTGCTGTGTGTGTACAGATGGGAAAACTGAGGCACGGAGTGGGGCATTGCCTGCTGGAGGTCCCCATGAGGGTGGTGCCCTGACTATCCTGTTCTGTGCACCAAGTCCCTGACCAAGGCCCAAGGATGACCCCGTGGCGGGAGGAGGCGCTGTGGGCCCTCTGGGCTCCTGGCCGCCCTACCCCCTTTCTGTACCCCCAGGGCCCCTCCTGCCCAAAGCGCCTGGGAGCTCACAGGAGTTCTTCCGGAAGACCGTGTTGCTCATGAACTTGAAGAAGCGCTCTGCGTAGAAGCTGGGCCGGTGCACAGAGACCGTGTCCTGGGAGAGAAACAGGCCCAAGGGCAGGAAGGCGTGAGTGCTGCCATCCCGCCAGGCCCCTCCCCCCAGCCCCGCAGGGCAGCCCAGGGCACACGCGGGTGGAGAGGGGGTGGGTCCCCAGCACGGGGTGGCAGGGAGACCCCTTCATCATCAACCCATCTGTATTTAAAATCCTTTGAAGCATGTGACTCGAACAGCTATTCAAAGAGGTAAACGAGGAAGTATCAGAATACAGAAACCGCAGCAATTCTCTAAAGCAGCATCGGCAAAGGGCAGCCGGACACCCTTTGTGGGTAACATTTGGTGGCGTGCAGCCACGCCTGTTGTGGGGACAGGTGGCCGCTGGCGTTCCTCGGTCCCAGTGCTTGTGTGGGTGATGCTGGGCACGCCGGGCTCCCCTCCAAGAGCAACAGGGAGGCTGGAGGCCACTACACTTGCCGGACTCAGGGGCAGAACTGCCGTCAGGGAGGGGACTCCTTTCTGCCCCCAGGGCCTGGCATCCCCGCCTCCCCTTGGTACTGCTGACATCACCTGAGCAGCACCCCTGCCCCCCCCATGCCAGGAGCTCCCTGGGGAGGGGGGGTGACCACAGAGGGGCCCAGACACGGCCCGGGGCCGCCTCCTCCTGGAATGAAACAGAACCCACAGGGACTCGTGGTGGGGACTGGCGACCTCCAGGGTGAAGGCCACATTCCCATCCTCGCTGCCACGAGGCGTGGCCCCAGGACCGTGTCCTGGAAGGTGGCAGGGGAGCCGAGGCAGGGACAGTCTCCACCTGGAGCATCTGTGGGAGGCAGCTACGCGGGTCATGCCCGGGAGTGTGCAGCGACATGGGCGGAGAAGCCGGCCCTGCACTCCACGGGCCACCCCACCTGCCCCAGGCTGCTCACACCCGTGCGACTACGCTGACCCACGTTTGGGCCCCCAGGAACTGAGCCAAACCCTGCTTTGGGGGTGACAAGTGGCCTCAGTAGGATTTGCAGTTCTCCTGGCTGCCATTGACTTTAAAATGTCACGGAAAGGCTTCCTGTCACCTGGACCCTCTTGAGGCACCTTCTGGAAGCTCCCATCTGGACCCCCCAAACACTCTCTGAGGGGTGTTTGGGGCCGGCTGGGATTTTGGGTTTTACAGACTGCACAAACACAGATAGCCCTTAGCACTTTAGTAACAACTGGTCTGAAGGGAGCCGTGGGAGCACAGGTGTACATCAAGGCCCCGGCCAGCTCGCCAGCACAGCTGGACTGGGGTGCCGGGGCTGCCGTCCAAGGTGCACCCTGTTTGGTCCCCAACAGTTGTCCTGCCCCATGGGTGTGGCCAGAACCCAAGCTCCCTCCATACTGCACATTTCCAGGACGTTCCTCTGCCCCTCACCAGCGGCTCAAACCCCCTTGCTGGACATCCTACAGCTAGCTGCCCGCACTCTCCCGTCCTGACCCTGACTCCTTGGGCTGCAACTGCCGGGTCACACGGCCGCCCCCACAGTGCACTGGCTCTGGGAAGGGGGCCTGTGCCTCTGGGCTCGGGCGCTCCAGCGCGTGGCTCCGGGCGGACCTCACGACTGTGGGCTGACGCAGGAAGGAACATCGCTCACCCCGTCGTGGACGAGCGCCTTCCAGGTGTGTTCCAGCTTCTTGATGAACCTGCAGAGACAACGAGGGGACAGAAGTGGCCGACACGGGGACACCTGTGGTCATCACGACTGGACGTGCTCCTGGCACCAAGTGGGCGGGAGAGCCCTGGCCTAGAGGAACGGAGCTGCCTCAGCCAGAGGCCCCCTCCCTCTGCCTGCCCCCCCTGGCCCCCTCCTCACCCACTGGCGGCTCTTACCGCTGCTACTCAGAGAGGAAGTGAAAAGGCCGCGGTGGGGGGCGTACAGCCAGCACGTCCCAGAGCGCGTCCTTCCTCTGTCGTCACGGCCTAGGCTGTGCCTGGGGCCTCTCTGCTGAAATCAGTGCCCTGCACTGTGGCTCTAACTAGATCACTGCACACCTGGGCTGGGGAGAACGGTGCCTCCTCCAGGCAGCCTTCCTGGATGCCCTCTAGTCTATGGGGTGGGGGGAGGGTCCCCCTTAGGACACCCCTAACCCAGGATGAGCTTCCGGTGCCTGACATGTGCTGGCCCACCCTCCTTGCCTCGACAGCCCTGCGGAAACCCGAGTTTGATGCTTCCAAAGCATCCCAGGGCGCCTGGCTGGCTCAGCCGGGTAAGCGTCCCACTCTCTACTTTGGCTCAGGTCATGATCTCACAGTCCATGAGTTAGAGCCTGTTACTGGACTCTGTGCTGACAGCGCGGCGCCTGCTTGGAACTCTCTCTCTGCCTCTTCCCTGCTCTCTCTCTCAAAATAAATTGAAAAACATTACGGCCTCCCACTCCTGCTCTAAATCTGGAGGGACGCCCCCAGGGACAGGCTGCGACCATCAGCATCCGACGGGCAGGAGCCGAGGTTCCTGCTTATGAAAGAGACAAGAAGAAATGACCCAGCGCCCAGTGGGCTTCCTGAGGGGCCGGGTGGGGAACGGGGACTGCCAAGCCCAGGGTCCCCCCTGTCCTGTCCCGACGGTGCATAAGGAACACATTCTACTCTCAGGAAAGAAAACAAGACATGCTCGCCCCCAAAACCTCACGCGGGACAGGCGCGGGGAACGGGTGGCCACACCCGGCTCTAAGCTGCGGGTTAGGCTTCGGTTCTGCGGCGCCAGAGACCACACGACACGTGGCCGCAGCCACGGTTACTTCCGCCCGTCTGAGCTGTCCCCAGACGCTGTGCTTTCTGGCTGCGGGGGTTTCTGTCCAGCGCACTTTAGCCGGACACCCGGCATACAGTCGATGCTCAACAGACAGGGCTGGACCAGCTGGCGACACCCCACACGCCCCACACCAGCCCCGAGCTCCATCTGACGTGGGTTCTCGCCTCGTTCCTCAAACAACCCGGAAGGTGGAACCGGCCTGTGGGGTCTGAATGCCTCCCTTACAGGCCCAGGGGCTGAGCAGCCAGAGGGAGCGATCCGGGCCGAGGAGGCCTGTGTGCAGGGGCGGGGGCACCCACCTGTAGGACTGCAGGATGTCAATGATGCCGATGTGCAGCAGCAGCCGCTCCCCGCGGCCGTTCACGGCGGGAATGCCGCCCATCCTGCCGAGAGAGACAGGGCCGGGGTCGTCAGCACCCCCACCAGCCGCCCCGCTGGGGGCGGGGCCCAGAGCCAGGGCGCGGGGAGGCTGAAGGAGCAGAGCCCACAGGCTCCGGCAGGTGGCAGCCCGGCTGGGGCCGCGCCGCTCTGCAGCCGCCTCAGACACGTCAGGCTGGAGGCCGGCAAGGGGTCCGGCCCCCACGCGACGGTGTGCACGCACACGCACGCCCTGGGCGGGGCCACCAGCACTTCTGGGTCCCGTCTGGGGAGTTAGTCACTTCACTCAGCCCCGGGCCCACACGCACCCGGCCCAGCACGTTAGTGAGGTCACACGATGCAGCGACTGTCCTCAAGTCCCCATTACCCCAGACCTGCCAGGCCCGGGGCCCCCAGGCTCCGCTCACTGCACTCCAAGCACTGCCCAGCTCACCTGTGCGCCCCATCATCCCCTGCCAGGCCTGGCACGGACCCTACAAACACCGAGACGGTGGAGGTCGGGCCAGCACGCCAGGCCTTTGGACACGCCCCCCCCCTTCGCTCCCCCACCCCACCGGGGCTCCTCCCCCATCTTCCCCAGCAGTGGGGCTCCCCCCGTCTCCCCAGCTGTGAGCCCCCATCTCCCCAGCTGAGCCCCCCATCTCCCCAGCTGTGAACCCCCTCCTCCCCAGCTGTGAGCCCCCCATCCTCCCCAGCTGTGAGCCCCCGGCTCCCTAGCTGACGCTGGGGGTTATGGCCCCTCCACGTGGGCCCCAGTGCTGGTTCCCTGAACGCTCGGCCTCGACCCCGTTTACAGAAGGGGTTCCCGCCGCGGACAGTCCTCCTCAAGCACTGGACAATGTCTGGAGACGTCTGTGGCCCTCACGACTGCGAGTGTCCTCGCACGGGGTGTAGGGAGCCAGTGCTCAGGAAGCCCCAGAGAACGACCTGGCCCAGTGTCCGTGGTGCCAGAGGACAGGGGGGACACCCCCAGGTGTGGCCCAGGCAGGGGGTGCGCCCCTCTCTGAGCCTGTGACCTCGTCCTCCACCGCAGGGGCTGTTCTCCCTGGGCTCTGGGTTCGGCGCCTGCTGTAAGTGTCGCCTCGGTCCCCAGCACTCAGCACTGCACGGCTTTGCCTCAGGCGGTAATTAGCGCCTTAACCCACTCTGGGCTCCGACGGGACGAGGGACGTATGTGTTCCCCACACGGACGGCGAACGCCCCGGGCATCACACACCCGGGGGGCTGTGCGTCCACCTGTGACCCTCACGGGACCGGCAGGCTGGCGCCCGGGTCCACAAACCAGGAACCGGCCGCAGACGGGCTTCTGGACTCATCTGCTCCCCATCTCTCGCCCTCGCGGCCAGCTCTCCCCGCCCGCCTCACTCCCGAGGGCCCCTCAGTCCCCGGCCACCTACGTGTCGTCCGACTCGATGGCCTCGCCGCGCGCGGCCCCGCCCTGGATGGACTCCATGGCCGTGGAGTAGAGAGCCTTCTGGCCCAGCGGCCGCTTCTCGTCCGCGGTGCTCTGGGCGCCCTGGGCCTGCCGCTCCCGCTCCTGCTGGTCGATGTTGTGCACGCCCAGCAGCAGGCTGTAGTCCATGATCTTGAAGCTCTCCAGCACCTGCCGGGGGCGGGGTCGGCAGGTCACGCCCCTGGCCCCCATCCCCAGATGCGGCCCCACGTGACCCCAGGCTGCGTCTCGGGTCTGTGACCGTTTGGTCCCCACAGCCACGCGGGGGGCCTGTCCTGACCCCCACTTCACAGACAGCCAGGAAACCAAGGGGGCGGGGGCAAGGGGCCAGGCCACGTGGGGGGCAATGGGACCTGGGGTGCGGCATCCACAGGGGGGCGGGGGGGGTTTCCGGAAACTCCGCACACAGTGTCTGCTCCTGGCTCCGAGGCCTCTGACACCTGGGCTCAGGGATGCCCCGGGGTGGGGGGTGGTCCTTGGGGGAGGTCTCGGGAGCCAGAGGTGGTGGGCCTTGGGGCCTCGGGCAGGCATGCCCCCCACTGGGCATCTGTGGCCTCATCTCTAGAGAAGCAGGCTGGAACCCCAAGGCCGCAGGGGGAGGAGGAGACCACACTGACGTGGAGGGAAAAGCAGGCTGTGGGCCTGGGGCTCACACTGCACTCGCTTCTACCAGCGTCCCCGTTTCATAGATGGGACAACTGAGGCCCAGGGAGGTGAGGGACCCCGGCCCGCCCTTGCCTGGGGCCCCTCACCAGGCAGTCCCGCTGCAGCGTCTTGACGAGGGCGGAGAAGGTGTCTGCGTCCAGCAGGAGCCCCTCGGGCATGTCCTGGATGAAATCCAGGTCCTTGTAGGTGGGGATACTCTTCTCCTTCTCCTTCTTGCTGGCCCGCCGCTTGTACGTGGAGCCCTTGAGGTCGAACTTGAGGTGCATCTTGACCACGCGCGGCAGGATGTTGTTCATGACCACCACACGGATGTTCTTGCCGCCCGACTGCACACAGTACAGCCCGTAGAACTTGGGCAGCAGCGTCCGCGGGTTCTGGTTGAGGTTCTGGGGGGCGGAGGAGGGGAGAGCGCCGTCGCCAGCGCGCTCTGAGCAGGACCACCCCTAGGAAGCCCTCCCTGACTACCCCCCGCCGGGCTGGCCCCACACTCTGACATTAGCCAGGTCCCACCAGACAAGGTGCTCTGGGTGTCAGGGCCCGGCTCCCCTCCGGGTCAGACCCTGGTCCCCACTGCCCCAGCCTGGGGTGACACAGGGTCACGCCTTCGAGGCATGGTCAGCACAAGGGTCGGCAAACTCTGGGTACAGGGCCAACTTCCACTCCCCGCTTATTCTCCCACGGCCAGCGGCAAGCCACGAATGGCTTTATGTTATTAAAAAGTTAGGGGGAAAAAGGAAAACACTATTTTGTGACATGTGAGAACAGCATGAAATTGACATTTCAGTGTAAGTAAATGAACTTTTCCGGGGAGCCTGCCCCTCACTCGGGGTCCATGGTGGCTTCCCTGTGGCGACAACATGGCTGAGCCACGGAGGCAGGGGCTGCCTGGCTCACAAGCCCCGGTGTTTTCTGGATGGTTCTTTACAGAGAGCTCGCCGACCCCCCGCGGTGGGAGCAGGGCCACCGGAGCCTCACACACACCAATGACTGATGCCCCGGGCGGGGAGGGGTCACAGTCCAAACAGAGCTGCCCAGAGAGGCCTGCTGCACCCATGCCAGGTGCCCACCGGGCACAGCGGGGGGGGGGTGGGCACTCTGACCCTGCCACCAGCCCTGCCGCTCCTGCTTCCACCCCCGCCCAGGCCGTGAGTCACAGGGAACGGGAACGGGAAGTGCCCTGGCAGCTGGTCCTCTGTGACACCCCAGCTGCTGGTCCGGCCCCCCTCCCCCACGCCTGAGTCACCAGCTACCAAGACACGAGCCACCAGCCATGATTTCTGGGATCCATGACTCAGGGATGCCAGTGGGGGGAGGGGAAAGGGAGCGAGGACTGCCCCCTCCGCCCCCACTCCTACTGCCCCCCATCCCCGGGGAAGGCCAGGAGGGCCTAGACGGCAACTCCTGCTTGCCGAGTGTGAGGGGACACGGGGGGACCCTGAAGGGGAGGCTCGGGACCCAGGCAGGCTTCCCATGGCCCGCCCAAGAGGGGCCTCCCAGACCCCCTCTGCCCGAGCTCTGCTCTTGGGACTTGCTCCGGACAGGACAGGAGACGAGCTAGGGGCAGGGTGGGCTCCTCACCAGGTAGTAGCGGGGGGTGGGGATGCGGGGTGGGGCTCCTCACTACGTACTAGCCGGGGGCGGGGCGGAGGCGGGGCTCCTCACACGTAGTGGCCGGGGGCGGGGCTGCGGGACGGGGCTCCTCCCACATAGTAGCCGGGGGCGGGCCGGGGGCGGGGCTGCGGGCCGGGGCTCCTCCCACATAGCAGCCGGGGGCGGACCGGGGCGGGGCTCCTCACCACGTAGTGGCCGGGGGCGGGGCTGCGGGACGGGGCTCCTCCCACATAGCAGCCGGGGGCGGGCCGGGGCGGGGCTCCTCACCACGTAGTGGCCGGGGGCGGGGCTGCGGGACGGGGCTCCTCCCACATAGTAGCCGGGGGCGGGCCGGGGGCGGGGCTGCGGGCCGGGGCTCCTCCCACATAGCAGCCGGGGGCGGACCGGGGCGGGGCTCCTCACCACGTAGTGGCCGGGGGCGGGGCTGCGGGACGGGGCTCCTCCCACATAGCAGCCGGGGGCGGGCCGGGGGCGGGGCTCCTCACCATGTAGTAGCCGGGTAACAGCTTCTGCAGGAACTCGGCCTCCTTGTGCATCACCGTCTTGATGATGAACTCGTCGTCGCTGGTGACATAGAAGAGGGAGCCGCTGGCGCCGGGGTTGGACAGCTCGATCAGTGGCTCGTTGCACAGCGAGTACTGGGGGGGCAGTGAGTGGGCAGGTGGGTCGCTGACGCCCCACACACCCAGTGTCTAGCGGACAGCTCTGGAACAGGTCACTGTCAGCTTCCTTTCACAGATGAAGAAATAGGCTCAGAGAGGGAGACCGGCACGCCTGAGGCCACACAGCAAGGAATCAAACCCCAGGCTAAGCCGCAGCCTGGGTGCCAATCTCCTAAGGCAAGGTCCCTCTCCTGTTAGTAACAGACACCCAGTCGTGCTAGGGTGTGCACCCATCTGGCCAAGACTCGCTGCCCAACCTTCCCCCACAGCTAGGTGACACTGCAACAGTCAACTCTGGCAACGAGCAGTCTGTAAAAGCTTCTGAATCCCTCATCGGGTGACACACGCTGGTGCCTCTCCCTCCTTCCCATCCTTCTCCCACCTGGAAAGCTGATGTGATGGCTGGAACCCCAGCAGCCACGCTGGACCACAAGACAACCTTTGGTATGGAAGCCACACACACAGGAACAGAGAGAAGAGCCTGTGTCTCTGGCGAGCAGCCCCCACCCTGGCCCCTGCACACCCTTCTCTTCCCTGTCTTCTCTTCCACGGACGTAGGCTTTTCCATGCTTGCTGCCCATCAGCCCCACACGTCCTCCCTACCAACAAGCCATAAATTCTGTGGCCCCACGGATTTTTAAGCATTTTTCTCACGAGGGTCCCTGGCACCCACGACAGGGCCCAGCACAAGGCAGGTGTCTGGTCCGTTAAGCAGGGAAGTGAGGCCCGCAGGCCGCTACCCCTAGGCCTCTCCAGTGAACGAGCCAATGAAGTGATTTTTGGGATTCAGGCTGTGTGGGTTGGGGGTCTGTCCCCTGCACCCCTAGAGTCCCGACTGAGCACCGCTGGTATACGGTAGGGGCGAGGCCACAGCTTGTCCCTGCTGGGCCACAGGGTAAACGCCGAGAGAACTCCTGCTGAATACCTGGGTGTAAGGACCCTAACCCAAGCCCCAGCAGTCAGCGCCCTGGCTGGACGACGACCCGGGGAAGCTGGGGCGGCCCCACCTGCCGTCTGGCCACGGCCAATCCCAGAACCAGCCGTGGTCCAGCAGGACGTGGTGCTGCGCAAACTACAGAGTGTGGCCCGGTGTCCCGGTGTCCCCGGTGTCCCAGGCTGGCCATGGTGGGACGGGCACCACCAGAGCGTGACTCCCCAGGGACCACAGGCGCCACCCTGAAAGGAGCCCACGGCCACAGCTACCGCCCCTACTCCTGTGACCTAGTGCCGACCACGGGGCCGAGAGCACCGCCTGGTACTGCCCGCTGCCCTGGTGCTGACCGGTCGGGTCACCTGGGGGGCGCAAAAGTTTCCCCCACTCCTGCACCTCAGGCCATGGAGCCGACAGCCCCTCCCAGGCCCCTCAGGGGGAAGGTGCTGGCAGAGTCCCCCACACGGTGACCGGCTCAGAAACGGCACAGGCTGCAGTGGGGCTGACGCAAGCCCGTCTATACGACAGGATGTGTGGACGTGTAGACGGCCGGAGGACAGGGTGCCCGAGACCCATCTGCACTGGGGGCGGGGGGTGACGGTGCCGGAGCCGTGTGGGGGCCCCACCCAGGGCTGTCAGCGGCCGGGAGCCAAGCCAACGGGCCTCCCGGCTGTGCTGACCAGAGGCAGCAAGAAGGCAGCTGGGGGTGGGGGGGCGGGGGGGGGAGGTCCCGTTTGCAGCCAGCAGGGCCCTCAGACCTGCGCTGCTCCGCCCACAGCCAGAAGGCACCAACACCCTTGGAAACACAGGCCCTGGATGCCCGTGCTCTCCCTCCTCACCCCTGCCTCACCCGGCCCTGCCACCTAAGGCAGCAGTGAGGGGCGTCCTGGGCCCCGAGAGCCCCCAGGAACAGGGAAACCCTGAGGTAGGAGAGGACAGTTCTGAGAGATGAGCGCCGAGGGGCGTGTGCGGCTTTCCGCAAAAGAAGTCTGTGAGCAGAGAAAGGTCTGGAACCAATGCCAATGGCAGCTGCCCTGAGGGAGCGGCCTAGGAGACGGCGTACAGGGCTCGGCCCAGCTGCCAAGGAGGAAGTGGTGGCACGCGCAGACTTCCCAACCAGGTGACCGCCGACCACTGGGACAGGGTCACGGGCAGACGGCCCCTGATGTGCCCCCTTCCCCCTCGGCGCCCCGGGAGGGTGTCTGTGGCCCGAGGCTGGCCGTCTGCAGCCCCCACCCCCACACGTGTCCCCTCTCCCCCCCTCCTCCCCCCTGCCATCCTGAGATGGGGACAGCCCAGGGCTCCCACAGGGATGGTGGGGGAGCACCCACGAAACTCAGGACCACCGGCAATTGCCACAGAAGTCTCTGGAGCCGAGGTGTGGGTGCCCACGGCCACGGGGTCCCGGGGGAAGAGCTGACAGGCAGGGGCGGGGCCTCTCGTCCAGGGGCCCGGGGCACCATCACTACAACGGAGCAGGTCTTCCCAAGGACGGAGGACATCTGCCGAGCACCCACTCGAGGCCGAGACCGGGCTGCGGCCAGCGCCCTGCGTCCGCTCTGCTTGTGTCCACACCCCGCCAGCCGACAGAGGCCACATGGCCACAGGCGTCCACTTCTCTCCCCAAGACCTAAAATCCAGGTCGCCCGGGCCGTTTCTACAGCAGCACCACCAGGCTGGCCTCGCCCCAGTAAGGCTGCGGGGCCACAGGGACCGTCATTACGGGGCCAGCGGGGGGAGGCACGTGGCAAGGGCCAGAGTCGCGGTCAGAGGCCCAGGCCTGGCCCCGGCAAGGGGCACCGTGACTGTGGGGCACCTGGACACACTCCTGGCCGGAGCAAATGCTGCTCCCTCTGGAGGACACAGAGTGGCTGAGGGCACAGCTTTCCCACAGACTAAGTGCCGAGGGGAGCGAGCGGCCAGGGACCCCCCGACACGCAGGGAGGCGAGTCGCTGCAGGTGAGAACCAGGGGGACTGGGGGTGCCGGGGGGACCGGGGCCCGAGCCCCAGCGACACCAGGCAGTGGCGATCACATGGAGTAGATGCAACAGCCATGGACGCGGTCTCGCACGGGGAGTCAGGCTTCCCGAACACAAAGTCGCAAAACAGCGAGCGGGCGGACTTCAGACAGACCAGCCAGACCTTTCGCAAGAGCAGACGGACCCACCCAGGTGAGGACCCCTGCGCACTCGAGCTCTAACTTCCAGGAGTCCTGATCCATCACTGTGAGATCGAAGGGTAACGCCTAGGTTCTGACTTTTCTAAACGTGTATTTATTTGAGAGAAAGAGACGGAGACAAAGAGAGACGGAGCACAAGCAGGGGAGAGGCAGACAGAGAGGGGGAGAGAGAGGATCCCAAGCTCCGTGCACGCAAGCGTGGAGTCTGACATGGGGCTCGAACTCACGAACCACAAGATCGCAACCTGAGCCGAGATCAAGAGTCGATGCTTAACCAACTGAGGCCCCCAGACATTCCAAGATTACTCTAACTGGAGAGACTAAAGCCACACCAGCACTGGAGGGGACGCTCAGCTGGTCCCCATGACCCACCTCCTCTAGAATGGAGGTGTGACCTGTGACGCGTCTCCAACCAACAGACGTAGCAAAGACGGCAGGACAGTCAGGTCCCTCACGCTCTGATCACGAGACCCGCAGGGAAGGAACGGACGCCCCAGATTGCGGACAGTGGGGTCCCGCCCACGTGGCAGTGGGCCTGGAGGCAGGCTGCCTCTCCTTCCGGTGCCCCAGGCTCTAGCCCCGCCCTCCACGGCAACCCTGGGCAAAGAACTGGGATGAAACGCGCGCGTGAAGTCCTGACCCACGGAAACCACGAGGTGACCGACAGGTGGCGCTGTGAGCCACCTGGCCTAGTGCAGCTTGTCACGCAGCAGCAGCTGACTGACGCTCTTACCAGGTAATCGTCCGGCCGGATCCCAAAGAGTTCCCGGAAGTAGCGGAAGGCGACAGGTGCATAGGTCTTGAACCTGAAGTCCTGGAAGTGGTGGGCGGGGGTGAGGTTGCTGCCTTCACTGCGGAGCAAGGAGAGAGGGGGGCTGTGAGGGACGGCGGCGGCCTCGTGGGTGCCTCCCCCACTCCCCCCACTCCCCCCACTCCCCAGCAGTGCGGACGCCCCAGACAGGAGCAGCGCCCTGGCCCCTGAGCTCCAAGGCCTTCTCCAGACAGCCAACCCAGACAACGGCGCGGAGCTCCCTGGGGGACAGAGAGCGGAGTGCCAGTACCTGACCGGGAGGGAGCCCACTGCCCAGCCTCTCCCGCAGCTATAGCTCTGGCCACACGACTGTGCTCAGCCAATGGGCCCTGAGTGGGGCAGAAACATGCCACTTCCCCATCCTGCCCTGCCTGGGGAGGATCATGTGCTCTCTTCCTGTGGCTGGTGGAATGCAGATGTGATGGCAGGATCTGAGGCAGCCACCTGAAACCCTGGGCTACAAAAACTGCCTATGAGGATGGCGGAACAGCTACAAGAACGCGGGACCCCAACACCGGGGAGCTGCCCGGCGGCCCTGGGTTGCCCATCAGTACTTTTCATGTGACAGAAAAGTAAACTTATGTCTCTTCCTGTTTCTTAAAATCAGTGCTGTGTTGCATCGCTCTGGGCAGCAAACTAACATCACAACCAAGACAGGGTCAGACCTTGAAGCCCAGAAGAAGCCAAGGGAGGCCGGTGCTGTTTCCAGCAGAGAAGGGCACTCAGAGAGCAGCAAGGCCGCTTTGCGTCCCTACCGCGTCTGCGCGCTGGGTGGGCATCCCAGGCGCCAGGCAGCCTCTGTGGTGCGGCCAGGCCTACCTGGGGAAGAAGATGCTCTCCACGACGTAGAAGTCCTGCATGAGCACGTCACGCTCTGGCTTGGAGCTCAGGTTGCCTACGGTGTAGCCGATGCCCAGCTGGATGGCCCCTTTCAGGGTGGAGGACGTGGTCTGCGGGGAGACCCAGCTGCATCAAGGCCCTTGGCTTCGGGGGCGGGGGGGAGGCTAAACAAGACGCCCCTCAGGGTGGCAGGATGGGGCGGCTGTGCAGCCTGCAGCTCGACCCTGGCACCCATCCCCATCATGGGGTCCCAGGGTGCCTGCCCCCCACTTGTCTGGGCCATTGCTGAGCTCACACAACCCCATGGCGAAGGGTGGCCTGGCTGAGACGCCAGTATCACCTCATGAGGCCCCCAGGCCTGTTTTCCATCAAGGTTCTAGAAGGTTCCAAGTTCTCAAACTGTCCCGATTCAGCAAGGGTCTATCTACCATCAAGATTTCCTTCTGGGGGGAACCTGCGTTTACAGAGTGACATCCTTTCACTTCCGTGACCCCGGACTGCTGCTACCCATGACGTGCACAGTCACGCTGGGCGAGCGACCCTACTGCTGTGCCTCGGTTTCCCCAGCCACAGTGGGGCATGTCAGGGGCTGCTGGGGACGAAGTCTGCCCACGCTGGAGCAGGAGGGGGTGGGAGTGAAAGCTCAGCCCGCTTCCCAGGGGAAGGGAGGAGAGCCACAGTCTCCCAGGGTCCCAGGAGGCTCCTGTGGCCGGGCAGGCGGTGCTGCAGCCGCAGGCGTGTCACCCGAAGCCTGTGATGGTGACAGCAGGTGAGGACCTCACTGGGATGGAGGGGCCGCACCCAGAGCATCTGTCTGCAACCCCTGTGTGGGGGCCCCCCCCACGCCGCCCCACTGCAACCAGCCGCGGGCAGAGAACCTTCTTGTAGGTGGTTTCGCCAGACGCGTCCACTCCCCGATGACCCAGCTTCTTCCCGTGGCCAGGGCCCAGCTGTCCAGTCATCGGCGGGGCCTGGAGAACAGGAAGCAGGAAGCATTAAGCAGCAGCATGGAGGCGCCACTGGGGCCAGAGAGCTCTGGAAATCCTGACCAGAGCGCCTGAGTCCCCGGCTGTCAAGCCGCATGCAGCAGAGGCTGGTGTGGACGGGCTCCAGGGCAGAGCAGGTGGCCTGTCCCTTGCAGGGGCCACATGAACGGTCTACCTCTGAACATCCAGGGGGCCCCGCCCAGACCAGACCTCCGGTTCCTCAGGAGCAGAACCCCAACCTCAGGGATTCCCCTGCCCTGCTGACGGGGGCGGGGGGGCTGGGTCATCCCCTAAGGGGCGTCTCATGCACTGTGAGCAGTGAGCAGCCTCACGCCGTCCTGACAACCACAGATGTCCTCAACGCCACACAGTGTCCTCTATCCCAGCCGAGACCCCTGGGCTGGAATGACTGTGAACCGGGGAGAAGTCCCACTGGCCTGGGGTCTGTGTGGGGACAGACAGGGCAGGAGAGACAAATTTGTGTGGGAGCCACCAGCACTGGCTCCAAGGGGGAGAATGGGGGAGGGGCAGGGGGGCTGCACTGTCACGGACGTTTCAGGACCATCTACTGTGTACCTGCCACCATCCGAACAGCCACGCAGCCCTCCGGCCCCCAGCTGGGGGCACTCAGACCAGCCCAACCCCCGTTGCCCCTCGGGGGTTCCCGGCAGCCTTCACTCCTGGGCCGGCTCCCGCGAGTTCCTCTCATTGGCCACCAGGGGGCGGGCCCTCCCCAGGAATCGGCGGCCTCGCCCCTGCTCTGCCCCCCTCGCTGACTCCCCACTGCCCCGTGGCCGCCAGGAGAGCCCTCCTCACAGGGGCCCCACGTGGCAGGTGGCATCGGGGGGACATGAGTGTCTGGCCCAGGAGGCTAGCGCAAGCGCAGAACGCCACGCCTGGGTGGTGCGCACAGGCCGCTTTCAGGACCAGGGACAGGGCCGACCCCCCACGGGGGCGGGGCGGGGGCAGGAGCGGCCACACCAGAGAACGCTCTCTGGAGACGCTGCACCAGCCATGTGGCCGCATCTGACCGCACAGCCCCCTCCGGGAGCTCCTCAAGGACCCACCTGGCCCGGCTTCCCACCGCTCCACGTCCCTGGCCCCCGGCCTCCGGTCCCTCTGTCCCTGGCTGTCCAGGCCGCGACCTCGCCCTTCCCTCCCCGGCAGCTCCCCCCCACCCCTCCGCCCCGAACCTCGGGGCGCTGTGCCTGCCACCTGCCTGCCCACGGGCCCAGGGAGGTGCAGCGAGTGGCCCCAGGCCGCACAGCAGGCCCGGGGCTGGTCTGCCTCCGGAGAAGTGGGTCAGCTGGGCCACAGGACACTCACCTCCGACGGGGCCATCTTCTTCTGGGCCAAGCCTGCAGAGAGAAGGGAGAGGCTTCAGCCGGAGACGGGGTGGCCCTCACCCCGGTTTCTCTGCCCTCGCTCAGGTCCCTGCGCCCCTGTGGAGGGAGAGCACCCCGGCCAGGAGCAGGGGTGTGGATGTCGACCCCGCACTGACCCCAAAGTCGTTGGGTCCTTGGCAGCAAATGGCCAAAAACCGCGGCCTCCCCCGCCGGCGGGAGCAGGGCTTAATCAGATCCTGGGTCCTGGGGCCGCGGAGGAATCAGGTGACCGGCTGGGCCAGGGGACGGGGCGGGAGCGGCTCCCTGGCCCGTTCACACTGCCCCCGGAAAAGAGGTGCTCGCCGTGGAGAGGCTCGCGGTGAGGGAGCCGGGGTTTTCATCGCTCGGGACCCTGCCCCCCAGCCCTGGCTCCCTGTGCAGGGCGGGCACTGGCCTGAGCCCTGGAGTCCTCACCCGCAAAGCACCTTCTGCTGAGAATTATCCGCTCAACAGGTATGGACGGCAGATACACCCCTGCCCCTACAGACGGTGGGCTCGGCAGGTGGGAGGGAGCCAAGGCCCTGAGGTCAGGGCCACCTGGGTTCCCGGGGGCCCAGTGTCCTCACGAGAGGGAGAGAGACGGGCGGACCCCATGCCGCAGGCCGGGATGTGGCACTTGTGGAGGCCGGAAAAGGCGGGAGAGGGTCTCTCTGGGGCCCCAGGGGGCGGGGACCAGCCCTGCCTGGGTTTCCCCGGGTGAGACCATCTTAAGCCTAGTGACCTCCAGAGTGGTTTTGGATCCAACTGTGGCGAACCGTCAGCCACAACAGAAACTCAACGCTGGGTACCTACGGTCAGGCCGGTAGCTGGCTTGGGTGACAGGGGAGGGGTCAGGTCAACAAGGGAGGACTTGAGCTTTCCCCCCAGGAAGGTGGGAGCCCTGGCGGGCTGTCGGCAGAGGGAGGGGACCTGACTCGGGTGCTCGTGGGCGCCCTCTGGTGGCCGCTGCAGGGAGGATGGACGGGGCAAGGGTGGAGGGGACTGAGCTGGTCCTTCAGGAGAAGATGGGCTGAACCAGGTGAAGGAGGCGGAGGGGGAGCAGGCAGATTTTGGACAGGTCTCAGGGGAGGACAGACGGGCTGTCCTCACTGCAGGCAGAGCGAAAAGCAGGGAATGCAGATGACTAAGGACTCTCGCTAAGCCGCTAACGGAAGGAACGAGTGGCCTCAGCTGAGACGGAGGGACGAGGCAGGACAGGTGTGGGGACAGTCGGGTGCAGCACGGCCGAGCGGAGTGTGAGACGCCCAGGAGCCCCCGCACAGAGACCTCCAGGATCAGCCGGACCCCAAGTCTGGAGCTCAGGGGGGTCTGGGCTGGAGGCACGGCTGTGCGGGTGTGCGGCCGAGACAGGGTTCCGGTGTCAAGAGTGGCTGAGGGCGCCTGGGGGCTCAGTCAGTTAAGCCTCCAACTTCAGCTCAGGTCATGATCTCACAGTTCGTGGGTTCGAGCCCCGCGTCGGGCTCTGTGCTGACAGCTCAGAGCCTGGAGCTGCTTCGGATTCTGTGTCTCGTTCTCTCTCTGCCCCTCCCCTGCTCACGCTGCCTCTATCTCTCAGAAATAAATAAAATATTAAAAAATTAAAAAAAAAAAGCAGTTGAGGCTGTGGATGGGGAGTGACTGTTAATGGGAATGGGGATTCCTTCAGCAGGATAAGAATGTTCTAGAATCAGTGGTGACTGGCACAACACTGTGAATACACAAAAAACGAAACCACGTGCTTCAAAGTCTGAATTTTATGGCATGAATTATACTTATTGCAAAAAGGAGACAGTGGCCGTGGGGCAAGCCCGGGTGAGCGGGTGGGTGACCAGTGTCCTCGTCCAGCGCCCAGGGCCACCACTGCGCGTGGCACATGCGTCAGAGGCGCTCCAGATGGGGACACGGAGGCTGGTGGGCGGCCGGCTGATGCCACGGTCACGGCTGCAGGGCCCAGCAGAGGACACCCCAGCAGAGTCAGAGCCGACAGACGGAGGCTGGGTCGCCTGCCCAAGGCCCCAGGTGCCCACCCGCAGACCCCCCAGCCTGGGTGCCCGGGCCCATCCTAAGGCTTGGCTAGAGGCAAGCAGGTCATAGAAGGTGCTAGAAAGCTGACATAATATTTTTGTTGGCCGCCCAACAGAACAATTCATGGTGTTACGTCCAGGGTGTGGGGGAAGGAGGAGGCGAGAGGGCAAGAAGCTGGCGGTAGACCAGGGCAGAACATTCTGGACTTCATCCTCTGCCGCTCCCAGGCCGAGCAGGCCCAACACGGAGGTCCCGGCCTCACCCCCGAATGGCTCCACCTGCTCCCCAGTTCTCCCGGCTCACTATCAGGGTCAGGGGCCTGCCCGGCCACGTCCACACCAGCCTCAGGGAGGAGGCCCCGTGGGGGGGGGTCCATCTGCCCCACCACGGCTCAGGCTCCGTGCCTCTGAGGACCCTCCCAAGTCCCCAGGGGGGGTGGCTGCTCACAGCAAGTCCCCTGCTGGAGGTCACGCGGCCCCGCCCTGTGCGGCCACCAGCCAGGCCGGTGGGACGACAGGCCACGATGTCGCTCCTCCCAGCCCAGGACGGGACCCACTCTCTTCTGAATGAGCCACCCCATTTTTGAGAAAATTAAGTTTTAAAAATAGCCTGGGGAGGGGGTGAGCGTGCCGTGCTGGGCCCAGGCCTGCCCCGGGACACAGCAGGGGGACACGGGACACAGCCGTGCCAGCCCCTGGGCGGGAGGCAGGGGGCACACTCGGGGCCCAGACTGTCGGGGCTGAGGCTGGGCTCTCCTGCTGTCCACCGCTGTGTGGCTTCAGCCGAGCCTCTCCACCTCTCTGAGCCGCTTTCCTGTGGTCTCGCAGCGCCTCCGTGGGTGCCCAAAGCTAGGGCAGCAGAGCTGGGCCCCCCTCCCCAGCCCGCCACCCAGCCCTACCACAGGACCCTGCCACAGGCCGCTCTGCTGGCTTCAGTGCGGGTGACCTCACAGCCACCCCAGGGCCCAGAGGAACAAAGGGAGCTCCTCGCGCCCTCAGGGGCTTCTCTCTGAGCCTGTTCCTCAGCCTGGAGAGGCCAAAGCCCATTCCTCCTGGCGTGCAGGGCCCACCGCCTATCAGCTGCTCCCTGCTCACGTGCTCCAGCTGGCCTCAGGGCCCCTGCCCTGGTCGTGTCTCTCCCCCCTCCCCCCTCCACACTGCACTGCGGGCCCCATCCTGCACACCCTGTCTTTTCCCTCCAGGCAACAATGACATCATATGTGCTCTTCGCAGGTGCCAGGGCCTCCCACCTCAGGGCCATGCCCGTGTGCGGGCTGACCAGGTCGGACACCACCCTCTCCCCTCCCCCCTGCCCACACCTGAGCTTCCACAGAGCCTCTTCTACGCATTTGTATGATGTGGAAACAAAAAGCTCAGGAAGGACCTTGGGCCCCTGGGACCCAGGGAGGACCCTGGTCACCTGTCTTTCAGCACAACCACCACCTGTGCCCTTAGAATCCACCCAAACTGTGCCCACTGACCCTGACCCTCCCAGCGCCGGGGCCACTGCAGCCCCCTCCACTGGGTCTTCCAGGCACTCGGCAGCCCCTGGTGCGCGTGTTACGTCTCCCCCACTACAGAGACCAGGTCCACTCAGTTACCCCGACAGACGCCTGCAGAGCTGAGTGCAGAGTCACCGCCGGGGAGGGCAGCGGGGGGCACAAGGCTGTCAGGGCTGCGCAAGGGCCTCCAGGGCGGGGCCGCTCCCAGGGCAAGGCTGCGTACACCCCGGTGGGGGGGGTGCTGGCGCCCCAGGACTCAGAGCGAGGGAGGAGGCCCGAGTACAAGCAGACGGGCAGCAGCCAAGAGCCAGGAGGTGGGGCCCAGCCGCGCACACGCTTCCCTGATGAGCCGGGGCGACCCGGCCCAGGCCCTGTGGGGAGGCGCGAACTCGGGGCGGGGGTGCCCCAGCCCGCAGGCTGGGCCCCGAGGGCGCTTACAGGCCACACTTGAAAATCCTCTCTCTGAATGGAAAGGCCCCGCAGCCGGTTCTCTGCAGCCACGTGCACAGAAGACACTGGATGACGTGGGGAAGGGTGGAAGCTTCTGGTTCTGCCCTCTGGGAGCCCTGAGCCCCAAGGTCCCGGCCGGGTCCCTGCCAGAGATCGGAGCCCCCCCGCCCCCCCAGTGAGGTGCGGAATCAGGGGCCGGGGCCGCAGGCAAACACACACGTGTGGGCTCGGGCCCAGGGCCTTTGGCAAAGGAACGGGAGGATCTGTTACCAGGGGCTTCTTTGCGGACGGAGAAGGGAGTTAGAACTTTAACTTCTCTTCTAAGTCCAACCTGAACTCGTTGCATTTAAAAAAGCATTAACTGGGGCGCCTGGGTGGCTTAGTCGGTTGAGCGTCCGACTTTCGCTTAGGTCATGATCTCGCGATTCGTGGGCTCGAGCCCCGCGTCGGGCTCTGTGCTGACTGCCAGCTCAGAGCCTGGAGCCTGTTTCAGAGTCTGTGACTCCCTCTCTTTCTGACCCTCCCCTGGTCACGCTGTCTCTCTCTCTCTCTCTCAAAAATAAATAAAACATTTTAAAAATTAAAAAAAAAAAAAACACTGCCCAAAGATATGCACCATCCAGAACCTTCTCCGGACTCCATTCCTTTCTGGCAGGCAGTGCTGTGAGGTGGGGGGGGGGGGGCTGAAGACGCTCCCAGGGCTGAAGTGAAGAACCCTACGGTCACATCTCAGAATCCAGAAAAGCATCCACTGTGGATTTCACTTCGCGTCCAAATGGCCCTAGAAACCAGAGCAACAAATAAACAGAAGCGGGGATTGGGGGGGGGGCACAGGCGGGGCAAAGGGCTGTAAGCGAAAACCCCCGAAAAACCCGCGGCAAACCGGCGGGGGCGCAGGGAGGGAGCCGGGGGGCAGCGGGGACGCTGGCTGGCACGGCAAGGACACAGAAAAGGAACGGACTTGGAAAGATGAAATTTCAGAAAACCCAAGAGCACCCCGACCAACGCCAGGACTGCG